GGCGATCTGGGGCTAGCCGTCTGCGTATCTGATTGCGATGACGTGACCATTTATCACCTCCTACGTCGACTTCGTACATAACTCGACCAACCCTTCTGACCACTCTCGCTTCTACCCAAGGACCATGGTTCGTTCTGTAGTCGCGGGCAAACACAGGGCATCCCACCTCGTAAGCGGATTGTCTTTGCTGCTTTGTCTCTACTGATGAGGGTGCATTGGTCGGATGCATCAGGCTGTGAATCGTTTTCAATCTTCTTCCCATCAGGATTTCAGCTGGGGACTTTTGCTCCGGTAACAATTCATTTGGTGTTGTCCGATAGACGTACAAGAAATTTTGTAACGTTTCGGCTGGCATCCCCTCCCCTTTTGACTTGAGCAGTGCTCTTTTAAACGTATCCACAAACCTTTCCGCCTGCCCATTCGATTGCGGGTGGTATGGTGGCGAGCGTAAGTGTTTAATAGCTAGCCGTTGACAGAAATTCTGGAATTGGGAAGAGGTGAATTGAGAGCCATTGTCGGATACGATCACATCTGGTATGCCATTTCGTGAGAAAATTTCAGTTAGGAGCTGTATAGTCTTAGTTGTAGTGGGTGGCATAACGGGGCTGATTTCCGGCCATTTAGAAAAGGCGTCGACGACAATTAAATACATAGTTCCATTTATTGGGCCAGCGAAGTCGACATGTATCCTGGACCAAGGATGCTCAGGTTTGGGCCATGAAACCGGCGGAATTTTGGCATCCATCTTTGCCGCCTGCTGACACCGGATGCATTTTCCAACCAACGCTGTGACATGTTGATCCATATGAGGCCAGTATGCATAACTCCTGGCTATGGACTTCATTCGTTTAATCCCAGGATGACCAAGATGGAACTGTCTGAGCACTTTTGCACGAAGGGATTCTGGCACCACTACTCTTTCAGCAAACATCAAACAATCGTTCACGATGCATAGTGAATCCCGCTGCTGATACAGTTGCTTCATGTCACCTTCAAACTTTTTCGACGGCCACCCGTTAGTGACATATTTCATCGTCATCTTGATGATGGGGTCGTTTCTAGAAGCATTTTGTATGTCTGTTGCAGACACCGGTAATGCGCGAACTGCGGTTGTCAGATAACATTCTGCGTGGTCTTCTACTGACAGAGATGCGATCACCATGTTTTCCTCAGCCTCCACTTGATCATTAATGAGTCGTGACAAGGCGTCTGCTTGACCGAATTGTAGAGTACGTCGATATTGGATTTCGAAATCATACCCCAAAAGTACCAAGGCCCATCGCTGAAGACGATTTGCAGAATGGGCTGGAATGCCAGACTTTGAACCAAATATTGCTAACAGAGGCTTGTGATCTGTGAGGAGCGTGAATCTCCGACCGTACAGAAACTTATGGAAACGGCGAACAGCAAACACAAGGGCAAGAGCTTCTTTCTCTATCTGGCTATACTTCTTTTCTGCTGGGGTCAGTGTACGGGATGCATGCATAACGGCTTTTTCCGACGCGTCTGGAAATTGATGTGAAATAACAGCACCTAGGCCATATGCTGAAGCGTCTGCTGCTACGATGATTGGCATGGATGGATCGTAGTGTGTTAATAACAATTCCGAGCTAATTATAGACTTGAGTTTACCAAAAGCCGCGTCACACTCTTTAGTCCAGTTCCATGTGCTATGCTTCTGCAGTAGACAATTCAATGGAGCGCGAATATCATGCATCGAGGGAACAAAAGCTGAATAATAACTGATCAAACCGAGAAAAGATCGTAATTCGGAAACATTAGTGGGAGTGGGCATCAGTTTGATAGCTCGGATGTTTTCAGGATCCGGTCTGCGACCGTCGGCATCAAAGATGAATCCCAAATACTTTACCGACTGCAATAGAAACTGGCATTTTTCTGGGCGTAACCGGAAACCATTGTCACTGATGCGTTGTAGTACCAATGTCGTGCGTTCCCGTAGCTGTTCTAACGTCTTCGCAACAATCAAGATATCATCGAGATAAGCTGCAACCCCTGAGATATCTGACAGGATAGTATCCATTAGTTGTTGGAAGATAGATGGGGCAGTCTTAACTCCAAAAGGTAGACGGTTATACTGGAACAAACCACGATGAGTGTTGATAGTAAGCAGCTCTTTAGATGCTTCATCGACTTCCACTTGCAAATAAGCATCAGCTAGGTCAAGCTTTGCGAAGAACTTTCCCCCATTCAGCATAGTGAACAGATCTGCTGGGACTGGCAGAGGATAATGATGCTGTTCTAGAGCTGCGTTGAGACCTGTAGAGAAGTCAGCACATATACGTATCGTGCCGTTGGCCTTCTTGATAACGACTATAGGTGCTGCCCAACTGGAGTAAGAAACGGGAGTAATAACTCCTTGTCGTTGAAGGCGATCCAGCTCTTCATCTACTGTTGCTAATGTAGCATACGGTACAGGTCTCTTTGGACGAAAAGCAGGCTTAGCCCCATGTTTCAACCGAAGTGTTGCTTTCATAGCAGTGCACCGACCTAATCCAGGTTCAAAAATGGTTGAAAACTCTGTCATCAGCTTCTTCGTATACGCTTCTGGGTCATGTCGTTGTGATACCAGGCTGCATATGGTATTTAGCGGGACATCAGCCAATTTTAGCTGGTCGAACCAATCTAAACCAAGTAAATTTAGATCAGCTGGCGTTATATAGCATACCCCAGTAAACGACGAATCTCGGAAAGCAACTTTACATTCCAATTGTCCTAACAGACGAAGATAATTACCACATGCTGTACGAGGCTTTTGTGTTGTGTGCTGCAGGCTTGGGCTGCCCAATTTGGTCCAATTTTTGCGTAAGAGGATAGTGACATCAGATGCAGTATCTATTTGCATTCTACACAAATAACCGTTAATATTAAGAGTAATAAATTTCCTCTCACCTGGTGATGAGCTTTGGCAGGAAGATATTAGGCTCAATGCATTGGTACTGGATCTAGGAACAGGCTTCTTAGCACTTCTGGATCGCTTTGGCTTTTTCTGTAGGCAAAAGCCATCTTTATGACCGATGACTTTACACTTCCTGCATCTATGCTGCCTAAATGGGCAGTTCCGTACATAGTGCCATGAACCGCAGTGCCAGCAAGCAGAAGGTGGATTCATTTTGGGTTTTTGGGCCGAATTGGAATTTTTCTTTTCACTAATGGAATGCACGTATGATGAGAGGCCCTTGTTTTCGACCATGGAGGTATCATGCTTCAAGTTTACTAATCTCTGGCACTCTGCAGTTATTTCTTGAAGCGAGATGTTTGGGCACTGTTCAATTTTACTTAGGATTCTGGTTCTTATATCAGCATCGTCAGGAGATTGTAAGCTGCACACAAACACAAGGCACTTAAACTGATCTTCCGTCATTGATGATAATTTAAATCGTTCGCATTCACGATTTACTAAGCCAGCATGCTTTACCCAGTCATCTTCATTTGACTTGATTATTTTGAGGCATTGATAACGAATATTAAAGAGAGATGACTGTTCAGAGAAGATTTGCGACAGCGTATCAATTGAAGCATCAAAAGAGAAATCTCGTGGGTTCTTTGGGAGGATGAAATTACTATAACGTTCGTGTTCGATTGTGCCGAGCTTTCTCAAAAGGATTCTGACTTTGGTGGCGTCATCAAGATTGTTGAGGTCGACCTTGAACAAATCCTCATACTTCTTGAACCAAGACTCGAAAGTCACACCAGCAAGGCCATCAAAATGAAATTCATGAATGGAATTAACTATCGAGTCTGTATGCGGATTATATGAATCATCGGCAAAACCTCTGTGATTCAAATTCATTTGTTTCATTAACAGCTCCAACATACGTTCCTGGAACTGTTCATATCGTTTACCTTGACGTTCCAGTAAAGATTCTAACTGTTCAAGATTAATTGACATTGTGAATTGTGAGCCCCGTCGCCACTGATATGTTCGTCACTTAGTATGCTTGAGGCTATTACGAGTTTACCTTAGTCGATAAACGCGAACGATTTTTTTACCAGCTTCCAGGGAGGCTACCTTGAATCCAAACGGTAAAACAGAAGTCTTGGTAAGCGTAGAAAGTATATTCTACAAACACCCAGCCATCACACAACAACCAAGCATACAACTCTCGTTTATTTATACAACATAACAACGTCCTTGAGACAGTTAAGAAAATAGCATACTAAAATACACTGCAGCCAATCACAGCCATTGATTTTGCTGGTGGGAATTGAAATCTCAAGGTCATCTGATCAGCCCATGCTGGCGAAACGTGAAAACCAAAATACGGCATTATCAAGCGAATTTTGGGGATCTAACATCCCCAACAGGAAGTTTAGAACTATTCATCTCAACAAATAACTTCAACATGATATCAGGGAAACTGCGATATGTAAACTCTGATTTCGTAACCTAACAACGTTATTACTCTGAGAGTATACTACCATTTTCATTAGATCAAACGAATTTCAGCATTCCTTGTCTTTCTCGGTAGGAGCAGACTAAAAGTATGAATTGTTTGAAAAACAGGATAAATTTGTTAATTAGTTATGTTCTTGCGCGATATTTATCAAGTCTTTACTTTTGATATCCTCACAAATCTGTGACTTTAAAACCTAGACTGATTAACAATTTATTGTGATGATCTTTTAGATCGTTATAGTCAACATCATTTCTGAACGAGCTATTCAAACAGTTTTTAAGAATATCCTAGTAGGTAATAAATGCCCGTTATTTTCTGAATGCCACTAGAGAAAAATGTATGTACCACTCCAATGTACAGTATGACCAACGAACGGTATATAGACTGTACACGGTTTTACCCCTTCAAATAATCTGAAACCTAATAAATTTTCTTAATTCCAACAGTCTTATAACGTTACCATTTGTTGTATTAGGTTATGAAAGTAATTATGAATTCAAAAGAATTGATCTTTCAATCAACATGACGTCAGATTATCTAACTGCTCTCACCTTTTTTCTTTTAAATTTTTTACTCTCTTAGGATAATACTGCATCTGTACCTCATTTACTGCATTCAGAAGTAAATAACTTAAATGAAATGGTTTCTGTCAAAGAGACTCGTATGTATAAGATTTTAAATGTTCTTGATCCTCGAACTGGTACTCGAATTGATCCAAATGAAGCTATCAAGAAAGGTCTTATCAATTTGGACTCTTTCACATATTATGGTGTTCAACCAAGTATTTCAATTGAATCTGCACAACAATTAGGCTACATATCAATTTATGGTAATGATTGCGAAGCTTCTCATGATAGTCTTATGATGGATTCCACAGATAAGTCACCATATACTTTGGTTCAATTATTTAATAGTGGTCAACTGATTAAACAACCTGGATCAAAATGTGTTATCCGAATGCCAGGATACACAGATTCAATGTCTTTGAATGCAGCTATCACGATGGGTTTAATTAATGTTGAACATACGATAGTGAAAGAATTTAACACAGAGAAATTGTATTCATTGGATAGAGCTATTTCAATTGGTCTAATCAATGATCATAAAGGTGTTTTATTGTGTAAAAATAAATGGATTCCATTAACTGATGCTATTAATCAAGGTTTGATAACTGAGAAAAAATTATCCACAGAAATAGTGACTTTTGAAGATGCTCTTGAAAAAGGATTAATTGATCCAGTCTCGAATACTTTTCATCAATCAGATAATATGAATAATTCTAATCGATCGATTTCTATGAATGTTCATGATGCTATTAAACAAGGATTATTGAAACCTCCCGCTACGGAAGTAAGTAGGAATAGTGTATTTTATCCATCCTTATTATGTATATTTGACGTTGCAGAAACTTTCATCTCATTCGACTCTTTTCGAGAATAGAAATTTTTTACATGAATGTTCACTTTCAATTCTTTTCGGAATTAAATAAATAGAATTCTTTTATCTATTCGAAGCAAATACAGATAATACAGTTGATTTTTCCGTTTGTTCCACTAAACTGCTAGTGTATCTTGCAGAAACTAAATAGCATATGCTTTTAACTAAACATGATGATCAAAAGAAGCTTGATTTTGAATTTTAGGTTGGCTACTGCTTGATAAAACAAAATATCAAACTTCCAAATGTAGTAGCTCTACCGAACTCAGGTAGGTTGACTAGATTGAGTGAAAAGGTATTCAGGATTTCTATGAAACGAACGAACAATGATCACTGTTTGCTGAAACTGTGCTCCTATGATGTATGGCGTGACAGTTTCGAACCACAACCACAACTAACAGCCATTGTTAGATAATAAAAGTAGAGACTTTCCCCTTCTTTTGTCACATATAATTCGATTGCGATCAAGCTTTTTGTTCCATCGCATGCATTTCTACGTGTTGTGGATAAGGGAAGACCAAAAGTTTAGTGTAATAATAACACGATCTACATCACCTACAAACTGATAGATAATTCACACAATGATTATGAACAGTGTTAGGCAGTGAAAATCGAAGAGTTGGGGAAAGTAACGGTGTTAGGTAATAGTAGATAACTCATCAAAGCGAATATATATATATATATATATATATATATGAATGCGCCACCTTAAAAACAGATCATACAGCTTCCAACTACCCTTCAGTCGCTTTCATTTAGCAGTTTCAGCAATGTTTGCATTAGAATATCAAATATTTAGTTCATATTATTTCAGCTTCCCTGTACACATATTATTACTTAGCCGTGTCAACTATTCGCTTGTAAGCTTTAGTGTTTTTATTAGAGAGTATATGTTTGTTTATCGCTTTCTCTATTCGTTATCTTTCTTTAGCTTTCTTCTATCTGTTTGACTATAAATCTAGAGTCATGTTTATTGAAACGGAGTAGGCTGAGAAGACTAAGCCAAGCTAGCACTTTTTGCAGTTTGTTTGAATAAATGAATGTCTGAAATCATTTTCACAGTGAAGTTTATGCACTGCTATAATATACTCAAGTCAAACTCATAAATGGCTAGGCTATAGCAGCTCACATACATTTACTTTGGCTAAGCCCTGTTGATGAACTTATTTAAAAGACAGTCGTTGGTACAGCAACAACTTGTCTGTATCACTGTACCTTTATTATTGTCGCGTTTGTATGAGCTGTTATGATTGAACATTGCTTACCGCATACACACATTCATTCTACTCGCTTTAGTATTAATCTCTTAAATAATCCAATGACTCATTCATTTTCCTAAGTATATATATGTACATTTTAATCCTATTCACCGATCTGCTCACTGGCACGCTCACAGGCTCACTCGCTCGCTTGCCTGCTTTCTTGCTCTCCGGCACTCGCATATCATTTTCGCCTCGTGTGTCTGTAGTTTTGTGATCTATGTGTGGTGCGATAATAAACGTAATCAACGCTTCGTATTCGTCTACTGATTTATACACCGTTGTGCGTTATCTAGTAACGGCTATCAGGACGAGCAGTATACGAAGTTTATATCGAATATATCGAATACCGACAGCCACAAGCCATAGGTTATACAAACATAAATTTACCTATTAACTTACATTCATATTTTATATACTCTAAAGATATTAAGATAGAAGTTGACAAAAATTACCATTACTAATCATAACTCACACTTATCATTCTAATTATCATCACTGATTTTTCTTTTCAGTTACCAAGTTTCAAATAATTGCTGTGCTTTTTTTTGAAAATTATTTTATAGACTTATAAAAATCTCAATGGCTTACCGAATAAAGGATATACTCATAGTATGGATTCCTTATTAGCTATCAAAAGACGAAATGTTAAAGATACAAACTCTACTGCTGACCTACGTAATAACACACTGCCTCCTGTTATACCATCGAATCACTTATTAAATAATGGAAATGATTTTATCACTAACAGTGGTCGTACTGAATCAAAATTGATTAAATTCTTAGATTGTCATGGTGTTGGACGACTGCGCGGTAAATCATCTCATTGTAATTTACGTCCAAAATCTAAAGCAAACGATGGTGATGAATATACCGTTTGTAAGAAGCCTAGAATAAAAAGTTGTGAAATACCTAAATTGAAAGAGCGTAACTGTGTACTGTATGCTTTCTATTATCTACATGATGATGTACTTGTTGAAGCCGCTATCACTGACACAATGGTTCGTGAAGGACGTGTTGATGTGCACAGGAAAACTGTTTGTGATCCAATCAGTGGACAATCCTATCCTATTCCAGAAGCACTTACAAAAGGTTTTGTTTTCGGTATTGTTTTTACTCAAGCTGAACAACATTTGGAAAATGATCAGCAAACATCTAATTCTTTATATTGGTTAGAAGTATTTCATTATCGTCATGATATATATCGTCTAGAAAAAGTATTTGATCCTTATTTGAATAGTTTAGTTTCAGTATATGATGCACTAGGAACTGGTGTTATTGATCCTATCCATTGTACATATACTCATCCGATAAGCGGAAATTTATATTCAATCGAAGAGGCTCTTTATCAAGGTTGGATACAAGCATTGCCTGTTGGAAATCCGCCACCATTTGATTTAATTGGCAGTTCATTTGATCATGTTCATGTACGTACAGTTGAAGAAGCTACTGTATTTACCACATCTATACACACCATACATCGTGGTAAACCACTTCTAAATAATGTAAATAAAGAAATCTATTCAACTGGTCAAAAATCTATGCATATTTCACCACATACAACATTAAATGTACAACGTCAAATACCGTGTAAAACGCCGCCAAGTTATCGACCTAATCATCGGTTAATGACAGATTCTTCTATCAGATATCAACTGAAATCAGACTGTCAGACTACACCAACTGAAAATGACCATGCTATGAAAAATGACAAATCTGCTGTTTCCACATATTTACATGCTAGTCAACAACAGTTTACTGATCATAAACAAGAATTGAACAAACCTATCCAGGTAAGTATTCTGATAACTTATTTATTGTCTTCAGTTTACATTAATATTTAGAAACTACTCAATACGGGGTCAACAGTTTATCAGCCATTAGGAAATTCACTCTTTGTGTTTGTGAAAGCAATATTCTAGTATAAGCAGTAGAGTTTAACTCAGTGAATCTATTTTTGGAGTTTCTTTGCTGAATACTTTGTTAGTCATTAGTCCATTACGTCAGTCAGCTAGCTGCAATATCGAACTTCTTACGTACGTATATCACTTCAAGCCGCCGCCCCTTAGTAGTAGAGGTTTCAGCAGTGTTAGCGGTGATGGAGATGACTACGAATCGAAGATATGATTGAGGAAAATATAAATCAGTGAGATAAATCCTAAAAACAAAGGAAAAGAAAGGTTATGGAGAATTCAGAAAATTAGAATTTCTGGGTAATGTACGATAAATGCTAGTTAGTTTTGATCATGGTTTGATACTAAAAATAGAGTATTATTGAAAATCATTCAAACCAATTGAAAGTCACACTTTTAGTTATAAAGGGATTTGATTTGAAATCACAAATTAATCGCTGAGTTTTACATGTTCGTCTAAATACACTGGATGTGTTTATTCATCATGTTTCCTATTAGATTGTTGACTAAAATGTAATTTAAAATTGTCATATCTCAAGTTCTAAATGGGTAACAAAACTCCTCCATCCAAAACGATTATAATCATGTGGATGTGATTGTTATAGTCGAGACCATCATTTCTGGACAACCTTTAATGAATCTTAAATGATCTTGAGAAATTTCAGCATATCAGAAAATAGTTGAAATAGATTTAAGATTTTTTATACAAAACCAAAAAGTTAGAGTGGATACACTTCTTTGACATGCTTTAAAAACTTGTCTAGTTTGGAAGAGGGGCTCTGCGATTCTGATACCGTAATGCACACTACACAGGAACTCATCCATGTGACTCTACAATAGTCGACTTTCGTAATTGTGATAGAGTCGCAGAAATTCTTTTAGCCTCGACTGCTTTATCGACTACTAGGTTTCTATAATCTCACCATTATTTTGTCTCCATTGGTGATCAGTCTTTTGGGCTTTGTTTTGATGGTTAAGTTCAGGTTAAAGGCCAGTTTGAGACCGAATATATGTCAGGCATTAAAGTCATAGATTACCGACTGCAATATGTTCGTTTTCATATGATATTTCATAAAGACTTGATATAATTTAGCAAATTGTATCGAGAAAGATAGTGAAAACATAGTGTGATCTCATATGAAGAAATAAATAAACATTCATTAAGATTAATCGATATTTCAATGTAGAAAATATTATCATACACGAACACTGGAAATTCTTTCCATCCTCTGTTCAAATATATATGTATATGGGTTCTTTTAACCTTAAAGTCAAAGTTTACTGAACATCAATCCTAGCAAACGTTTATCAAACTTGAACATTTATGATAATAAGAGTACCAATATTCTATGACAGAGTATCATATCTTGCTGTTGTTACGTGCAATATCTAATATTCTTTGTTGATTTTTTATAAACGATCTATAATTGTTTGAATCTCTATTTGAGCTGTTGAAAAGTTTCCAATATATCAGTGTATAGGTATGCATATAACGATTCATATACAAGATTAGTTGTAAATGACACTATTCTTAGTCATGAGTAGTTCATCAGCAAACGGGATATCGTACATGGTTTAAATTACTGTCTCAGCCTTAAAATTTTAATAGATGCTTTGAATTCTTTTAACAGTATATCTGTCTCTGGTTTTCTCAGTGGTCGTAACCGTTATTACTTGTCTACTCAGCATTAGTAATAACGATCATTTTCATCCTTGTATGACAATAAAAGTGTTAGTCTTTGAAAATATTTTATAGTAAATATTTTTTTTCTGTTGTGAAGTATGTATTTATTTACACAATTAGAATGTGGTGGAGTTGCGTTTTCCACTATCTCAAAAACAATAAGAATGCTTTGTATACTGACCAGTTCTACAAAACCATCATAGATTCCTGCCTCTTTTCATATGTTTCCCCTGAATAATCTGTGTCATTTGCATATCCTACTTCAATAAGAGGATTTTCATCAAATAGAATAACCCCTGGAATGTAAGAGTTAGACAGAGCAATCGTCCTTAATTCGTCTTTAAAAAAAACTAAGTAATATTGATATCAATGGTAACTTCTAAACTATATATGTCAAATCAGATGACAACTCGTTATAGATACTATTATACGACAATTTGAGTCTGACCATAAAGCCTCTGTAGATAGTTATTCCAAAGTCCAACCCCCTTGATTAACTGATTGAGACTGTAGTCGCAAGTTGAAATTATTGTCTGTCACTGATAAGTAGACTTACGTTCCAGTACCTAACGAACGGTACACTTGTGTCGGATATATATGATTAGGCTTAAAAAAATGACTTATCAACTAAATATTTTTACGTGCACCATACAGCCTAACTATGGGGAAACAATTACCAAGCTTTTAATGCTATTTTTAATAACTTATGTTAACAGTGGATCAAAGTTACGGTTATGCTATCTTCTCTGCTACACAATTTACTCATCGATTAGCTGAATGCCATACTGTTAAAGAACTGAATCATTCGACGGTTATAAAAGACGCTTACCTAATTCTCATTCACATTTTTTTGATATGATATTTACTAATTGATTAGTTAATTAATATGTACGTTTTATTACGTTGTATTAACTCATTATGTTTTTTTTTTAATTACAACTGTTATCTAATACTAAACTTCTTTCTTTTCCTCTTTTTTCCTCCATTTTTTTGCGTTGTTTCATTGTTGTCATTGTGATTGTTTGTTTAAATTATTATTATTATTATTATCATTATTACTATTATTATTGTTATCGTTATTATTGTAATGCAAATTACAATGATATTGAATTTCCATCATTATCATCGTCATCATTATACTACTACTACTCATTGAAAACATGAAAATCATTTATCCACGGTAATTATTTATTAACAACGTGATATGTCATTGTGCATACATAATCAATCCCTTGTTGCATCATTGCGTTCCTGTTTGTTTTTAAATTATTATTATTATTACTATTGTTATTTTTGCTTCTTTGCTTGTTGACCATTTTCATTTTATATCCCGCATCTGTGTCGTTTTGGTCATTGCTTGCCTACAATTTGCGTGTTTGCTTATTTGCTCGCTTGACTGGCCGATTGCATGCATGCATTTCTTATAATTGCTGGTAATCTCACTAATAAAATCTAATACAAAATATTCACTATGTTAAGAATACACATTTTAGGTATTCTTCAAGATTTCCATTGAAATCACCACTTCATCCACTTCAATCTGTTTGTCTAGTTGATAGTAGTACTACACTGCCAGCTATTTGTTTATCATTAGTAAAATATCAATATCCCGATCCTACACCAACAGTTACTTCAAATTCATTATCAAAAAATGCACCACGATATATTCTCCTTGAAACTGCTATTCAAAGAGGATGGATTGATGTTGAACGTGGTTTATTAAGAACACAGTGTGGAAGAACTAGTAACGTTAATTTATTAGAGGCTGTAGAAAAAGCATTGATCGATCCAAATCAATTACTAGTTTGTGTTCAGCATCATAATGAAGATAGCTTGAAGGAATATCCCATGTACGGTAATCAAGAAATACCTGTTTATTATAGTTTAGCAACAATACTAGATACAGCAACATTAATAATTCGAACAGAATCAACAGAGCCATTAAATAATCAGTGGCGATCTAATCTGTTAAAACTACTATTAAAATCAGGAATTAGTTCAGAATGTGTCAACTCCAAAATGAACATCAAAATTGACACAAGATTAAACGAAAGTGATAAACAGATTATTCGCAAAACTGTACTACAGAAAACATTAACATGGAATAGTAACGAAAATAAAACAGTACCATTATTTGACACCAGTGAAAGAATTACAATGAAAAAAACCATCCAGGATGACAGTAGGCAGATTGCACAAAATATAAATAATCACAGTCAGTCGACCACCGGCTCAGTAGATAATCAAAATGGAACACTGGAATCCTTAGGGACAGAAATGAATCAACACCACAATACTGAAGAGGCAAATAAAAAACATATGCACAAAAAACAAATGGAAAGTAACTACACTGATACCATCAACATGAAAACTGCAATATCCAACACAAACAAGGATATAATGTCACAGAACCAAAATCAGGATGCCATAAGTGTGGATTCGACGAGTGTGTCGGAGTTGTTGTCGGACGTGACGGAGCGACGAGGTGTGGACAGTGGTTGGGATTCGGACATGCTGTCGTCAGATGGTGTTAGGTCTGGAGAAGTGTGTGTTTCACCTGAGCAACGTGGACTTCAGTTATGTGAGGCGATTGAAGCGGGACTTGTTGACACGAAGTCCGGACTGGTTCGTGATCCGTCTAGTGGTGAGGTGTTGACGTTGTCGCAGGCTGTGAAGAGTGGGCTTATATCAGGCGAGCAGTCGTTGGTCCGTGATCCTGGTTCCGGACGTCTCGAGAGTCTTGGTAGGATGATGTTGACAGGTTTGTTGTCGCCTGCAGGTTTGATTGCTCTTGCGATGGAGTCGATGTCTTCGAGATCAGGAGATGTGGTGTGTCCATCGACGGATGGTTTGGAGCCAGTTGTAGATGTTGGTGTAGGAAGGTTGTCTGAGTTGGGATCTGTCGGTGGGACGAGTGATTCATTGTGTGTGGATGAGGTTGGTGCAAGTGTGGCAGACTGGAAGAGCGATCAACGCGAATCCAAGACTCGTCCATCTGGCTTGACGATGGCAGATGTTGGAGTGGGTGAACTTGGTGCGATGAGTTTGGGTGCTGATGCGACACCAGTGCATAGAGTCGGTGATGAATGTGAGGGTGTTGTGTCCTCAGAGAGTATGTCTGAATCCGGTGTACCCGATGTGGATGTGCACGACGGTGGTGTGAAGAGGCCAGTGATGCTGACGAGTGAGGGTGTTGTGTTGCCGAGCAGAGATGGTGTTGTGATGGGTGTGGGTTCGACGAGTGTGTCGGAGTTGTTGTCGGACGTGACGGAGCGACGAGGTGTGGACAGTGGTTGGGATTCGGACATGCTGTCGTCAGATGGTGTTAGGTCTGGAGAAGTGTGTGTTTCACCTGAGCAACGTGGACTTCAGTTATGTGAGGCGATTGAAGCGGGACTTGTTGACACGAAGTCCGGACTGGTTCGTGATCCGTCTAGTGGTGAGGTGTTGACGTTGTCGCAGGCTGTGAAGAGTGGGCTTATATCAGGCGAGCAGTCGTTGGTCCGTGATCCTGGTTCCGGACGTCTCGAGAGTCTTGGTAGGATGATGTTGACAGGTTTGTTGTCGCCTGCAGGTTTGATTGCTCTTGCGATGGAGTCGATGTCTTCGAGATCAGGAGATGTGGTGTGTCCATCGACGGATGGTTTGGAGCCAGTTGTAGATGTTGGTGTAGGAAGGTTGTCTGAGTTGGGATCTGTCGGTGGGACGAGTGATTCATTGTGTGTGGATGAGGTTGGTGCAAGTGTGGCAGACTGGAAGAGCGATCAACGCGAATCCACGACTCGTCCATCTGGCTTGATGATGGCAGATGTTGGAGTGAGTGAACTTGGTGCGATGAGTTTGGGGGCTGATGCGACACCAGTGCATAGAGTCGGTGATGAATGTGAGGGTGTTGTGTCCTCAGAGAGTATGTCTGAATCCGGTGTACCCGATGTGGATGTGCACGACGGTGGTGTGAAGAGGCCAGTGAGGCTGACGAGTGAGGGTGTTGTGTTGCCGAGCAGAGATGGTGTTGTGATGGGTGTGGGTTCGACGAGTGTGTCGGAGTTGTTGTCGGACGTGACGGAGCGACGAGGTGTGGACAGTGGTTGGGATTCGGACATGGTGTCGTCAGATGGTGTTAGGTCTGGAGAAGTGTGTGTTTCACCTGAGCAACGTGGACTTCAGTTATGTGAGGCGATTGAAGCGGGACTTGTTGACACGAAGTCCGGACTGGTTCGTGATCCGTCTAGTGGTGAGGTGTTGACGTTGTCGCAGGCTGTGAAGAGTGGGCTTATATCAGGCGAGCAGTCGTTGGTCCGTGATCCTGGTTCCGGACGTCTCGAGAGTCTTGGTAGGATGATGTTGACAGGTTTGTTGTCGCCTGCAGGTTTGATTGCTCTTGCGATGGAGTCGATGTCTTCGAGATCAGGAGATGTGGTGTGTCCATCGACGGATGGTTTGGAGCCAGTTGTAGATGTTGGTGTAGGAAGGTTGTCTGAGTTGGGATCTGTCGGTGGGACGAGTGATTCATTGTGTGTGGATGAGGTTGGTGCAAGTGTGGCAGACTGGAAGAGCGATCAACGCGAATCCACGACTCGTCCATCTGGCTTGATGATGGCAGATGTTGGAGTGAGTGAACTTGGTGCGATGAGTTTGGGGGCTGACGCGACACCAGTGCATAGAGTCGGTGATGAATGTGAGGGTGTTGTGTCCTCAGAGAGTATGTCTGAATCCGGTGTACCCGATGTGGATGTGCACGACGGTGGTGTGAAGAGGCCAGTGATGCTGACGAGTGAGGGTGTTGTGTTGCCGAGCAGAGATGGTGTTGTGATGGGTGTGGGTTCGACGAGTGTGTCGGAGTTGTTGTCGGACGTGACGGAGCGACGAGGTGTGGACAGTGGTTGGGATTCGGACATGGTGTCGTCAGATGGTGTTAGGTCTGGAGAAGTGTGTGTTTCACCTGAGCAACGTGGACTTCAGTTATGTGAGGCGATTGAAGCGGGACTTGTTGACACGAAGTCCGGACTGGTTCGTGATCCGTCTAGTGGTGAGGTGTTGACGTTGTCGCAGGCTGTGAAGAGTGGGCTTATATCAGGCGAGCAGTCGTTGGTCCGTGATCCTGGTTCCGGACGTCTCGAGAGTCTTGGTAGGATGATGTTGACAGGTTTGTTGTCGCCTGCAGGTTTGATTGCTCTTGCGATGGAGTCGATGTCTTCGAGATCAGGAGATGTGGTGTGTCCATCGACGGATGGTTTGGAGCCAGTTGTAGATGTTGGTGTAGGAAGGTTGTCTGAGTTGGGATCTGTCGGTGGGACGAGTGATTCATTGTGTGTGGATGAGGTTGGTGCAAGTGTGGCAGACTGGAAGAGCGATCAACGCGAATCCACGACTCGTCCATCTGGCTTGATGATGGCAGATGTTGGAGTGAGTGAACTTGGTGCGATGAGTTTGGGCGCTGACGCGACACCAGTGCATAGAGTCGGTGATGAATGTGAGGGTGTTGTGTCCTCAGAGAGTATGTCTGAATCCGGTGTACCCGATGTGGATGTGCACGACGGTGGTGTGAAGAGGCCAGTGATGCTGACGAGTGAGGGTGTTGTGTTGCCGAGCAGAGATGGTGTTGTGATGGGTGTGGGTTCGACGAGTGTGTCGGAGTTGTTGTCGGACGTGACGGAGCGACGAGGTGTGGACAGTGGTTGGGATTCGGACATGGTGTCGTCAGATGGTGTTAGGTCTGGAGAAGTGTGTGTTTCACCTGAGCAACGTGGACTTCAGTTATGTGAGGCGATTGAAGCGGGACTTGTTGACACGAAGTCCGGACTGGTTCGTGATCCGTCTAGTGGTGAGGTGTTGACGTTGTCGCAGGCTGTGAAGAGTGGGCTTATATCAGGCGAGCAGTCGTTGGTCCGTGATCCTGGTTCCGGACGTCTCGAGAGTCTTGGTAGGATGATGTTGACAGGTTTGTTGTCGCCTGCAGGTTTGATTGCTCTTGCGATGGAGTCGATGTCTTCGAGATCAGGAGATGTGGTGTGTCCATCGACGGATGGTTTGGAGCCAGTTGTAGATGTTGGTGTAGGAAGGTTGTCTGAGTTGGGATCTGTCGGTGGGACGAGTGATTCATTGTGTGTGGATGAGGTTGGTGCAAGTGTGGCAGACTGGAAGAGCGATCAACGCGAATCCACGACTCGTCCATCTGGCTTGATGATGGCAGATGTTGGAGTGAGTGAACTTGGTGCGATGAGTTTGGGCGCTGACGCGACACCAGTGCATAGAGTCGGTGATGAATGTGAGGGTGTTGTGTCCTCAGAGAGTATGTCTGAATCCGGTGTACCCGATGTGGATGTGCACGACGGTGGTGTGAAGAGGCCAGTGATGCTGACGAGTGAGGGTGTTGTGTTGCCGAGCAGAGATGGTGTTGTGATGGGTGTGGGTTCGACGAGTGTGTCGGAGTTGTTGTCGGACGTGACGGAGCGACGAGGTGTGGACAGTGGTTGGGATTCGGACATGGTGTCGTCAGATGGTGTTAGGTCTGGAGAAGTGTGTGTTTCACCTGAGCAACGTGGACTTCAGTTATGTGAGGCGATTGAAGCGGGACTTGTTGACACGAAGTCCGGACTGGTTCGTGATCCGTCTAGTGGTGAGGTGTTGACGTTGTCGCAGGCTGTGAAGAGTGGGCTTATATCAGGCGAGCAGTCGTTGGTCCGTGATCCTGGTTCCGGACGTCTCGAGAGTCTTGGTAGGATGATGTTGACAGGTTTGTTGTCGCCTGCAGGTTTGATTGCTCTTGCGATGGAGTCGATGTCTTCGAGATCAGGAGATGTGGTGTGTCCATCGACGGATGGTTTGGAGCCAGTTGTAGATGTTGGTGTAGGAAGGTTGTCTGAGTTGGGATCTGTCGGTGGGACGAGTGATTCATTGTGTGTGGATGAGGTTGGTGCAAGTGTGGCAGACTGGAAGAGCGATCAACGCGAATCCACGACTCGTCCATCTGGCTTGATGATGGCAGATGTTGGAGTGGGTGAACTTGGTGCGATGAGTTTGGGTGCTGATGCGACACCAGTGCATAGAGTCGGTGATGAATGTGAGGGTGTTGTGTCCTCAGCGAGTATGTCTGAATCCGGTGTACCCGATGTGGATGTGCACGACGGTGGTGTGAAGAGGCCAGTGATGCTGACGAGTGAGGGTGTTATGTTGCCGAGCAGAGATGGTGTTGTGATGGGTGTGGGTTCGACGAGTGTGTCGGAGTTGTTGTCGGACGTGACGGAGCGACGAGGTGTGGACAGTGGTTGGGATTCGGACATGCTGTCGTCAGATGGTGTTAGGTCTGGAGAAGTGTGTGTTTCACCTGAGCAACGTGGACTTCAGTTATGTGAGGCGATTGAAGCGGGACTTGTTGACACGAAGTCCGGACTGGTTCGTGATCCGTCTAGTGGTGAGGTGTTGACGTTGTCGCAGGCTGTGAAGAGTGGGCTTATATCAGGCGAGCAGTCGTTGGTCCGTGATCCTGGTTCCGGACGTCTCGAGAGTCTTGGTAGGATGATGTTGACAGGTTTGTTGTCGCCTGCAGGTTTGATTGCTCTTGCGATGGAGTCGATGTCTTCGAGATCAGGAGATGTGGTGTGTCCATCGACGGATGGTTTGGAGCCAGTTGTAGATGTTGGTGTAGGAAGGTTGTCTGAGTTGGGATCTGTCGGTGGGACGAGTGATTCATTGTGTGTGGATGAGGTTGGTGCAAGTGTGGCAGACTGGAAGAGCGATCAACGCGAATCCAAGACTCGTCCATCTGGCTTGACGATGGCAGATGTTGGAGTGGGTGAACTTGGTGCGATGAGTTTGGGTGCTGATGCGACACCAGTGCATAGAGTCGGTGATGAATGTGAGGGTGTTGTGTCCTCAGAGAGTATGTCTGAATCCGGTGTACCCGATGTGGATGTGCACGACGGTGGTGTGAAGAGGCCAGTGATGCTGACGAGTGAGGGTGTTGTGTTGCCGAGCAGAGATGGTGTTGTGATGGGTGTGGGTTCGACGAGTGTGTCGGAGTTGTTGTCGGACGTGACGGAGCGACGAGGTGTGGACAGTGGTTGGGATTCGGACATGGTGTCGTCAGATGGTGTTAGGTCTGGAGAAGTGTGTGTTTCACCTGAGCAACGTGGACTTCAGTTATGTGAGGCGATTGAAGCGGGACTTGTTGACACGAAGTCCGGACTGGTTCGTGATCCGTCTAGTGGTGAGGTGTTGACGTTGTCGCAGGCTGTGAAGAGTGGGCTTATATCAGGCGAGCAGTCGTTGGTCCGTGATCCTGGTTCCGGACGTCTCGAGAGTCTTGGTAGGATGATGTTGACAGGTTTGTTGTCGCCTGCAGGTTTGATTGCTCTTGCGATGGAGTCGATGTCTTCGAGATCAGGAGATGTGGTGTGTCCATCGACGGATGGTTTGGAGCCAGTTGTAGATGTTGGTGTAGGAAGGTTGTCTGAGTTGGGATCTGTCGGTGGGACGAGTGATTCATTGTGTGTGGATGAGGTTGGTGCAAGTGTGGCAGACTGGAAGAGCGATCAACGCGAATCCACGACTCGTCCATCTGGCTTGACGATGGCAGATGTGAGAGTGGGTGAACTTGGTGCGATGAGTTTGGGTGCTGATGCGACACCAGTGCATAGAGTCGGTGATGAATGTGAGGGTGTTGTGTCCTCAGAGAGTATGTCTGAATCCGGTGTACCCGATGTGGATGTGCACGACGGTGGTGTGAAGAGGCCAGTGATGCTGACGAGTGAGGGTGTTGTGTTGCCGAGCAGAGATGGTGTTGTGATGGGTGTGGGTTCGACGAGTGTGTCGGAGTTGTTGTCGGACGTGACGGAGCGACGAGGTGTGGACAGTGGTTGGGATTCGGACATGCTGTCGTCAGATGGTGTTAGGTCTGGAGAAGTGTGTGTTTCACCTGAGCAACGTGGACTTCAGTTATGTGAGGCGATTGAAGCGGGACTTGTTGACACGAAGTCCGGACTGGTTCGTGATCCGTCTAGTGGTGAGGTGTTGACGTTGTCGCAGGCTGTGAAGAGTGGGCTTATATCAGGCGAGCAGTCGTTGGTCCGTGATCCTGGTTCCGGACGTCTCGAGAGTCTTGGTAGGATGATGTTGACAGGTTTGTTGTCGCCTGCAGGTTTGATTGCTCTTGCGATGGAGTCGATGTCTTCGAGATCAGGAGATGTGGTGTGTCCATCGACGGATGGTTTGGAGCCAGTTGTAGATGTTGGTGTAGGAAGGTTGTCTGAGTTGGGATCTGTCGGTGGGACGAGTGATTCATTGTGTGTGGATGAGGTTGGTGCAAGTGTGGCAGACTGGAAGAGCGATCAACGCGAATCCACGACTCGTCCATCTGGCTTGACGATGGCAGATGTGAGAGTGGGTGAACGTGGTGCGATGAGTTTGGGCGCTGACGCGACACCAGTGCATAGAGTCGGTGATGAATGTGAGGGTGTTGTGTCCTCAGAGAGTATGTCTGAATCCGGTGTACCCGATGTGGATGTGCACGACGGTGGTGTGAAGAGGCCAGTGATGCTGACGAGTGAGGGTGTTGTGTTGCCGAGCAGAGATGGTGTTGTGATGGGTGTGGGTTCGACGAGTGTGTCGGAGTTGTTGTCGGACGTGACGGAGCGACGAGGTGTGGACAGTGGTTGGGATTCGGACATGGTGTCGTCAGATGGTGTTAGGTCTGGAGAAGTGTGTGTTTCACCTGAGCAACGTGGACTTCAGTTATGTGAGGCGATTGAAGCGGGACTTGTTGACACGAAGTCCGGACTGGTTCGTGATCCGTCTAGTGGTGAGGTGTTGACGTTGTCGCAGGCTGTGAAGAGTGGGCTTATATCAGGCGAGCAGTCGTTGGTCCGTGATCCTGGTTCCGGACGTCTCGAGAGTCTTGGTAGGATGATGTTGACAGGTTTGTTGTCGCCTGCAGGTTTGATTGCTCTTGCGATGGAGTCGATGTCTTCGAGATCAGGAGATGTGGTGTGTCCATCGACGGATGGTTTGGAGCCAGTTGTAGATGTTGGTGTAGGAAGGTTGTCTGAGTTGGGATCTGTCGGTGGGACGAGTGATTCATTGTGTGTGGATGAGGTTGGTGCAAGTGTGGCAGACTGGAAGAGCGATCAACGCGAATCCACGACTCGTCCATCTGGCTTGACGATGGCAGATGTGAGAGTGGGTGAACGTGGTGCGATGAGTTTGGGCGCTGACGCGACACCAGTGCATAGAGTCGGTGATGAATGTGAGGGTGTTGTGTCCTCAGAGAGTATGTCTGAATCCGGTGTACCCGATGTGGATGTGCACGACGGTGGTGTGAAGAGGCCAGTGATGCTGACGAGTGAGGGTGTTGTGTTGCCGAGCAGAGATGGTGTTGTGATGGGTGTGGGTTCGACGAGTGTGTCGGAGTTGTTGTCGGACGTGACGGAGCGACGAGGTGTGGACAGTGGTTGGGATTCGGACATGGTGTCGTCAGATGGTGTTAGGTCTGGAGAAGTGTGTGTTTCACCTGAGCAACGTGGACTTCAGTTATGTGAGGCGATTGAAGCGGGACTTGTTGACACGAAGTCCGGACTGGTTCGTGATCCGTCTAGTGGTGAGGTGTTGACGTTGTCGCAGGCTGTGAAGAGTGGGCTTATATCAGGCGAGCAGTCGTTGGTCCGTGATCCTGGTTCCGGACGTCTCGAGAGTCTTGGTAGGATGATGTTGACAGGTTTGTTGTCGCCTGCAGGTTTGATTGCTATTGCGATGGAGTCGATGTCTTCGAGATCAGGAGATGTGGTGTGTCCATCGACGGATGGTTTGGAGCCAGTTGTAGATGTTGGTGTAGGAAGGTTGTCTGAGTTGGGATCTGTCGGTGGGACGAGTGATTCATTGTGTGTGGATGAGGTTGGTGCAAGTGTGGCAGACTGGAAGAGCGATCAACGCGAATCCACGACTCGTCCATCTGGCTTGACGATGGCAGATGTGAGAGTGGGTGAACGTGGTGCGATGAGTTTGGGCGCTGACGCGACACCAGTGCATAGAGTCGGTGATGAATGTGAGGGTGTTGTGTCCTCAGAGAGTATGTCTGAATCCGGTGTACCCGATGTGGATGTGCACGACGGTGGTGTGAAGAGGCCAGTGATGCTGACGAGTGAGGGTGTTGTGTTGCCGAGCAGAGATGGTGTTGTGATGGGTGTGGGTTCGACGAGTGTGTCGGAGTTGTTGTCGGACGTGACGGAGCGACGAGGTGTGGACAGTGGTTGGGATTCGGACATGCTGTCGTCAGATGGTGTTAGGTCTGGAGAAGTGTGTGTTTCACCTGAGCAACGTGGACTTCAGTTATGTGAGGCGATTGAAGCGGGACTTGTTGACACGAAGTCCGGACTGGTTCGTGATCCGTCTAGTGGTGAGGTGTTGACGTTGTCGCAGGCTGTGAAGAGTGGGCTTATATCAGGCGAGCAGTCGTTGGTCCGTGATCCTGGTTCCGGACGTCTCGAGAGTCTTGGTAGGATGATGTTGACAGGTTTGTTGTCGCCTGCAGGTTTGATTGCTATTGCGATGGAGTCGATGTCTTCGAGATCAGGAGATGTGGTGTGTCCATCGACGGATGGTTTGGAGCCAGTTGTAGATGTTGGTGTAGGAAGGTTGTCTGAGTTGGGATCTGTCGGTGGGACGAGTGATTCATTGTGTGTGGATGAGGTTGGTGCAAGTGTGGCAGACTGGAAGAGCGATCAACGCGAATCCACGACTCGTCCATCTGGCTTGACGATGGCAGATGTGAGAGTGGGTGAACGTGGTGCGATGAGTTTGGGCGCTGACGCGACACCAGTGCATAGAGTCGGTGATGAATGTGAGGGTGTTGTGTCCTCAGAGAGTATGTCTGAATCCGGTGTACCCGATGTGGATGTGCACGACGGTGGTGTGAAGAGGCCAGTGATGCTGACGAGTGAGGGTGTTGTGTTGCCGAGCAGAGATGGTGTTGTGATGGGTGTGGGTTCGACGAGTGTGTCGGAGTTGTTGTCGGACGTGACGGAGCGACGAGGTGTGGACAGTGGTTGGGATTCGGACATGCTGTCGTCAGATGGTGTTAGGTCTGGAGAAGTGTGTGTTTCACCTGAGCAACGTGGACTTCAGTTATGTGAGGCGATTGAAGCGGGACTTGTTGACACGAAGTCCGGACTGGTTCGTGATCCGTCTAGTGGTGAGGTGTTGACGTTGTCGCAGGCTGTGAAGAGTGGGCTTATATCAGGCGAGCAGTCGTTGGTCCGTGATCCTGGTTCCGGACGTCTCGAGAGTCTTGGTAGGATGATGTTGACAGGTTTGTTGTCGCCTGCAGGTTTGATTGCTATTGCGATGGAGTCGATGTCTTCGAGATCAGGAGATGTGGTGTGTCCATCGACGGATGGTTTGGAGCCAGTTGTAGATGTTGGTGTAGGAAGGTTGTCTGAGTTGGGATCTGTCGGTGGGACGAGTGATTCATTGTGTGTGGATGAGGTTGGTGCAAGTGTGGCAGACTGGAAGAGCGATCAACGCGAATCCACGACTCGTCCATCTGGCTTGACGATGGCAGATGTGAGAGTGGGTGAACGTGGTGCGATGAGTTTGGGCGCTGACGCGACACCAGTGCATAGAGTCGGTGATGAATGTGAGGGTGTTGTGTCCTCAGAGAGTATGTCTGAATCCGGTGTACCCGATGTGGATGTGCACGACGGTGGTGTGAAGAGGCCAGTGATGCTGACGAGTGAGGGTGTTGTGTTGCCGAGCAGAGATGGTGTTGTGATGGGTGTGGGTTCGACGAGTGTGTCGGAGTTGTTGTCGGACGTGACGGAGCGACGAGGTGTGGACAGTGGTTGGGATTCGGACATGCTGTCGTCAGATGGTGTTAGGTCTGGAGAAGTGTGTGTTTCACCTGAGCAACGTGGACTTCAGTTATGTGAGGCGATTGAAGCGGGACTTGTTGACACGAAGTCCGGACTGGTTCGTGATCCGTCTAGTGGTGAGGTGTTGACGTTGTCGCAGGCTGTGAAGAGTGGGCTTATATCAGGCGAGCAGTCGTTGGTCCGTGATCCTGGTTCCGGACGTCTCGAGAGTCTTGGTAGGATGATGTTGACAGGTTTGTTGTCGCCTGCAGGTTTGATTGCTCTTGCGATGGAGTCGATGTCTTCGAGATCAGGAGATGTGGTGTGTCCATCGACGGATGGTTTGGAGCCAGTTGTAGATGTTGGTGTAGGAAGGTTGTCTGAGTTGGGATCTGTCGGTGGGACGAGTGATTCATTGTGTGTGGATGAGGTTGGTGCAAGTGTGGCAGACTGGAAGAGCGATCAACGCGAATCCACGACTCGTCCATCTGGCTTGACGATGGCAGATGTGAGAGTGGGTGAACGTGGTGCGATGAGTTTTGGGCGCTGACGCGACACCAGTGCATAGAGTCGGTGATGAATGTGAGGGTGTTGTGTCCTCAGAGAGTATGTCTGAATCCGGTGTACCCGATGTGGATGTGCACGACGGTGGTGTGAAGAGGCCAGTGATGCTGACGAGTGAGGGTGTTGTGTTGCCGAGCAGAGATGGTGTTGTGATGGGTGTGGGTTCGACGAGTGTGTCGGAGTTGTTGTCGGACGTGACGGAGCGACGAGGTGTGGACAGTGGTTGGGATTCGGACATGCTGTCGTCAGATGGTGTTAGGTCTGGAGAAGTGTGTGTTTCACCTGAGCAACGTGGACTTCAGTTATGTGAGGCGATTGAAGCGGGACTTGTTGACACGAAGTCCGGACTGGTTCGTGATCCGTCTAGTGGTGAGGTGTTGACGTTGTCGCAGGCTGTGAAGAGTGGGCTTATATCAGGCGAGCAGTCGTTGGTCCGTGATCCTGGTTCCGGACGTCTCGAGAGTCTTGGTAGGATGATGTTGACAGGTTTGTTGTCGCCTGCAGGTTTGATTGCTCTTGCGATGGAGTCGATGTCTTCGAGATCAGGAGATGTGGTGTGTCCATCGACGGATGGTTTGGAGCCAGTTGTAGATGTTGGTGTAGGAAGGTTGTCTGAGTTGGGATCTGTCGGTGGGACGAGTGATTCATTGTGTGTGGATGAGGTTGGTGCACCTGTGGTAGACTTGAAAGCTCAACAGCGGGATTCTAGTGGTCCAGATGCTTTTTATTTGAACTCTCATCTGACTGATAATCATCCTGTTTCGATGAGGTCACACCTTTTTGAAGGTTGTGTGTTTGCCCATGTGACTCCTGTTGCATCAATATTTAGTCGTTCGTCTGCTTCCACATTGTTCGACGTAAGTTTCTTGTTTATTTCGAATATTTGAATTTTCTGTTTTTTCTTTTTTTTTCGTCGTTGATATTGTGATGCTTGTGATTGTCGCTGTGTTTTTAGTGTTTTCGACAGTGTTTTCGTATCAGAATGTGTGTTCCTAATTGTGTTTGTTTTTTAACCTACTTCATTGACGCTTATCGTTCGCTGATAGTTTTTGTTTCGTTCAATACAAATTCAATTTGTTAATACCTTGAATCGTAATACACTATTTATTTATGATTGTTTTTTTTGTAACCTACTGATGTTTTTTCATATATTTCCTCTCCTCGTATTTTCTTTAAGCTATCCTTGACTAATAATAAGTTTTTTTCAATAACCTATACTAGGTCACCAATAATGACTTTACTTCCCTTAAATGCGGGGAAATAAGGTATTACGTTCACAGTATGGTCCTGGCTCTTTCCATTGATATAATGTGTAGTTCACATTTCGTTTCACCTGTTTTGGGCGTATATAATAATTTATTAGTGAAACATTCTTGATCATTTAATTTTGACTTGTTTAAACTTTCTTGATGTTAATTACTCGTTAAGACATTTGTTTGCATGATTTGATAATCTTTTTTATTGGATCTGTTCATTTTGGGTTTCAATTTTCCAGTTATTTCACTTGATAGCTTCCATTAATGAATTATGGTCCTAATTAGTTTTTGAGCATTGTTTATAATTGTTTAATATTTTTAAGTACCTCATTGAATGTTCAGTTACAGTGACTTACGAATCTTTTTTATTCATGACTTTTAATGCATTAATCGTTGTTTGTGGTGGTTATCGTGTTCTATGAATCTGACTATTTATTTTCATTGCCTTGTATCCTCTATTTTGAAAGCAATAACCTTATTCATTAGATTTAAGCGTGTGAACGGATAATAGTTTGTCCACGAAAAACCAATATTTCGAATTGGAACAAAATATAAAATTATGTGATTTTCTTGAAAGCAGACTATGTATGATACATGTTTCCTTTTCTCAAAGGTTACATAGTAGTACTATTTGAGAAATTTGTATTCACTTCAAAACAAATGCTCCAGTTAATGTGGCGAAAAAGATGCAAACAGATTCATTTAGTTAATGATTTTTTCAAAAAGTCTAAAACTGGAATCATATCAGTTTTTCACTTTGACAGCATATTTCTGAATTTTCATTGCAAAGCTCATAATTTTTATGCATTCTTAAGTTAGGTGCTGATTAAACCCTGCTGTCTTCACAAATAAGAACCTCAATGGAGAACGACGATGTTTACAGAATGTAATCAATCCTTTGTATCCCATTCTATGCTTTTCAGCACAAATGTTTGTTCACATTCTGTTGGTAAAGTTGGTAAAGAATTAGTTGTTAATTCCAGTTAGGCAACACTTCTGTTATTCTACATGCTGATTACATAATCATTGCAAGAGTTCAGGTTACTTTTCTGTTTTCGTATTTACTACTAGTGTCATTATAAGTAATATCAAAATTATATTATCATACTGTTTATCAACTTTGAATCTGTAATTATTAAAACAAAAATATTTTCTTCGTTGTTTTGCTATACGGAACACAATAAAATTGATTCGATTACAACATATAAATAATCCTATAGTCTACAGAACCAGAGACTACAAGAAAGCTGATATCTCAACTTTCTACTGCTTTGGATAAAGAAACTTCGTGGATAACTGGTTTAGAATTAAAACTTCTAGAAATGGGACATTTAACTTTAGATGACAATTTAAACCGCCATCTCTTAGACGATCACCAAGTAAGTTTGTACACATTTTTATGCAACTATAATTTTTTGTTATGCTTAGAGTTGCTCGTTTATCCTTTGCAACCAAAAAAACTATTTTGTGATTTACAGCCTTATTAGAAACTTGTTCTTCTCATCGGACAAAGAAGCATTAAAAAATTAGGACTAGTAGGTGTTTCATTGATGTTTGATAATTCTACAACAACTTCCACACAATAACCTCATTTGAGCTCACGCCTAGGACCTTGTCTTGGTTGGGCATCGAAGATGACTAGTATCATTTGTTATGTAAGCGAAAATTATAGTACTCCGAACACTTAACAATTTTTTGCTGATACATTAAACATTCTTGAAAAAAAGTTGAATTTTAAAAATGTAAATTAAACTATCCAATCATGAACTTTACATCAAAAGCTCATCATATGAAATCATCTCATTTCACTTTGATTTACTTTATTTAGTTCTAGACCTTTTTGACAATATTTACTTATAGCTATTTTCAATACTTTAACTCCTTAGTTTAAAGTTTTTCCCAGTACTTAAACGAGAATATCAAAAGTAATCAATTGTACTACTTATTTCTAATCTATTTAAACATCTAATCAGATGATAAGATATACTTAAAAAGGTGGCGTAATTGTTTGCAATCAAACAAAACCTCACCACTTATATGGATATATTCATCCTTGGGATTACAGAACCATTTCTGTATTGTTAGCTTGGTTTATATATAATCTTAATTATTTATGATCTTATGATCAAAATTTTGTCTAATCGATAGATTGAGTTATTTATCACAGAGAATATAACCATTAGTTAGCGTAAATGCTTTTTGAGTAAATAACAATTTATACATCCCTTCGCACAAAATAATCAATAGTTGGTGTAGTCTTTTTAAACAAGAATAACTAGTACTTATTAATTATAAATTATGTGCGTATATTTATGCTTTATCATCATAGGAAATTTTAGATACAATTCGTACTCGTCAATCTTCAAGTAGATCCGTGTTATTCCAAACTGAACAAGCTATTGAAACTTTACGTCATACTAATCAACCAGAATCTGTTTGGAAATCATTAGAGTTGAATTGTCAAGAATTACGATCACGTTTAGAAGATGTAAGTTGATTTTATTAATTCAGTAAATTTCAAATGATATTCTGAGAACGATAACAGTTGAATGATATCCATGTTTGTTCGCCATCAATTACACTTTGAATGTTTATTATACACAAACGTGGGATCGAATCCCATGAAAATCATCAGTTGCATCAAGATCGTAGATATAGCTTAATGATAAGTTCCATCTGGCTTAAAGTTTACACTGAAGCTTTTCCACTTATTGGTTCCAACTACCTTAACTCAAAATTATAATGCATAAGATGTTGAGTCATGTGAACTCATGACTAAATTTCCATTTGGTCGGTAAGATTTGATCAACACAATAGACTAAGCAACTTTATTATTAGTTACTTTTCAGTGAATAATCGGTTTAGTAAAAATATTATCCACTTTTCATGCATAAATTTTCTTTTTTTTTTCTAAAATCTCAAGCTACAAACTGAAGCTGAAAGTCGAGTTCGAATTCTACTTCATAGTCTAGATTCATTGGAACATCTTACTGATAAATTACAAAGTCTTCGTAGTCTATTGGAAAATTTAAGTTCTGTTTTGATTGTTGCTAACACACCATCTATAAACACTACTACTACAACTACTACTGCTACAACCACCATTGGAAAGAATCAATTGTCGAATAACCTGAAAACAATTAATCATCCAAATGAAATAGATTCATGTATATTACAATTGAAAGCAGCATTAAGTGAATCGAATTCATCACATAACAATATGATCAGTACATTACCAAGTGTAAAGCAGAAATTCATTTCATCTGTTAATCGTTATGCTGATAGTAAGGTAAGAAGATGTTTATTATTAGTTGACAATTCTAATTTACTTGTAAAATAAATAGGTGGCTAAATAGTTGAGCCATATCTTCGACTCCTTAATAACTAGCAAATTAGGTAGTCTAGTAAGGAGAATAGCAAATCATTCACAGAAATTGTAGGGATCAGTGGGAATATGTATCAATGCAAGTGGATATAGCCTGTAATTATAACAACTTAAGGGAATGAACGACAGAAAAACCTGACAAATGTAATTAATAATACCAATTTTAGGAGAAAAAAGAACACAGCTAAAGTTAGCAATGTAAGCGGTATAAAAGTTAAGCACCAGTTGCAATGCCTGACGATCCTAGATTCGATATTGAAATAAGGCTATAAATTCGTACTATCGAGCCATTCCATACTCGAATTGAAAAAAAAAATACAAAACCATTACTTTCTGATTTTTCACTGGTTGTCTAAACCAAAGTCAATCTGCTACATAAAATTACAATAAGAAGTAGGATTTAAAGACAAATAAACCAATAACCAGTATGAAATGAAAGTAAAGTACAAAGTTTTTTAAAAAAAAAGATAAAATTGAATTTTGGGGCAGAGCTTTGGAGGTTTGTGTTTTTACACATTTGAAATCATCAATCAATCATTGTTAGACCACCATTAGAAACCTGGAATTTACACCTAGATTATGCGATTATATTTGAAGTTGAAGACCTTCCAATTCTCATGGCAGAGTTAATAATGGTTTGAATTATTTTTTGTGGTTAGCGTTTTTTTTCGATGGGACGGAGTCGCTAACCTTCCTCATTTATCCGGGCTTGGAACCAGCAGTAACCCCAGAAGGGCTCTAGTTGGAGTTCTGAACTTATATCGTCTTAATCCCGAGTTTCTTATTTTATTATTATGATTATTATTATTAGTCATGTTGTAGTCAACAAGTACAAAATAGATTCAGTGTAATTCTATTCATTCAATAACTTACATTGTGAATTTGATATTTTCTAAAATTATTGTTTTGTTTTCTTGTTTTTCTAACTGTGTTTCTTATTCTCTACTATTATTACAACAGAAAACTTATAATATCAAATTGAATCATTTCACTGGATTAGATTGTAAACAATATGAAAATGAAATTCAACGAAACAATACAGAATTAGAAAATAGAGTAGAGTGTACAGTGAAAGAAGCCAACCATCGACTTATACATTTGACTAGTTGTTTAGACACTCAATTGGCATATCTTACAGAAATTAATATTCTATACAAACAATATGAAAAACATGTAACTGATGAATCAGTGGATCAATTGAATAAAATTAAATTACAATTAAATAACATTCAAAAATGTCTACTCCAATCTAACGAGTTGCATACTTTCACAGGGAATAAAATTAAAAAGCTGAGTCAAGAACAATTAAATAAATTATATGTCATACATAGTGATTTAAACACAATTGAAAATGATTTAAAAGTAAGATTAATTTAACATTTATAAATTGATCATTTTTTATGTAGTAGACAATTTGTTTAATTGAATTTTATTTTCTTTAGTATTTCAATAAATAGGTAGTTTTTATTTTCAATATTAATAGTACAATTAAGGCAAAGAAAAATGTTTGTCTTTTTTTCATTGAACTTTCTGTTATATTGTAAAGTGAATTTTTTTTCCTGTCATCAATTCAATGCTTCCATGGATATCAAAGTGTGAAATTCATTCATAGAAAGAAAACTAGTTAAAGATTGTTGCTAATTGCACAATTTTGCGTCATTGTCTTAATAAGGTCTGAAATTCTATTTGCTACTGCTCCATTACAGATTTAAGCTCCTTCCTATATAGATATCAACTTCGTTGAATTCACTTTCATGAGTATAACTGAAAATTCATTGCCAGAAAATGATATCTGCTAGAACCATCCGATTTCAGCACTGATTTATACACTTTCTATAAACATGCCCAAATCAGCTACTGTTGGGGATGTTAGATCCCCAGAACTCGCTTGATAAATGCCTAATCTTGGATTTCACATTTGAGAGCATGGGCTGACCCGTTGACCTTGAGATTTTATTTCCCACCAGGAAAATCCATGACTGTGATTGGCTGCTGTGTATTTTAGTGTGCTATTTTAATGACTGTCCCAAGGACGTTTCTATGATGTATAAATAAACGAGATTTGTGTGCTTGATTGTATCGTGTTTGCTGAGTGTTGTAGAATATACTTTCTACACTTATCAAGACTACTGTTTTGCAGTTGGGAATCAAGGTAGCCTACCTGGGCGCTGGCAATTGTCTCGTTCGCGTTTTATCGACTAAGGTGACCTCGTAATAGCTTCAGGCATACCTAGTGACGAACATATCAGCTACTCAAGTGAAAAAAACCAGGAGTAAAGGAGGCTGTGACTGCTTAACCGAATCTACGGTTCAACTGTATCTTGACCGAAAATTCGAACCAGAATAATTATTACTTACATTTCCTGTTCTCAGTAGTAGGAATCTAATTAAGCAGTTTAGACAAACAGCAGTATTTTAACAGTTCTCTTCAGGAAAATCACAGTCGGTAAAGTAATGACTTTAAAATTCACAGTCTCTACAAGTACTTAATTTTTTCACTTATCATGATTTTGTGAGAACACTCTTATTTACTTTTTTTCATCTCATTTTTTTTCCTAACTGTTGTTGTTGTTGTTGCTCTTTTCTTAGAATTTGAAATCGATTGAATTACAGTTAATCGAAGAGAAATGCACAGAAGCTAATCTTATGACAAATAATTTAATGCATGCAATTCATCAACCAGTACAAAATGCTTTCAATTATCAACAACAGTTAGTTGATCAATGTGAAAAATTACAAAAACAATTTATGAAATATTTGCTAACCAATCAAACAACACAAGAATGTTTAAATGAATTTTTAAATAAAACAAATCAAATTGGTGATCAATTATCAACGGATTATAATACTGATGATGTTAACAAACAGTCTACGGAATTGCCTCCTACAGATATAAATAAATTAAATGAAACTTTAGCACAAATTAATAATATACAGCTGGCTTCAAAGACAATAAGAAATCGTTTAAATCAAACAATGGAACAAATTAAAACAACTGATCCTAGTAAATTACGATTAGCACAATCGGAATTGAAACAGACGGATATTCTAGACAATCGGTATAATAATTGTTATTTCATTGTGTATTTCAATATTCTACATAATAATTGTTTGAATAATTTTCTCTGTGATCACGTAAAACGGTACTTCACCTCCATGTAACTAAATTTGAAAATAGAATGTCACTAGATCCTCCGACTCCATAGTCTAAAGGTATAGTTTACTCTAATTAACCTATAGGTGTTTCAATTCTATTCCGCTGTGAGGTCGTAAGTGTACACGACTGAAGATTAACGAATATGAACCATAAACAGTATATACGGCTACTTTTTCATTGATTGTCTCTAGGTAAAGGGATTCTGTGTTGAAAACTTTCTTTAAGTCGAATAATCTACACAATTCCAGCACAGTTATTTCAAATTGAGAATGCAGCTTTTCTGTTCATCGAATTTCCATAGGATTAATTAGTTGCAACGATTGACTGATGTCGTTCATTGTTCAATTTTATAGTCATCTTCAATGTAACTGAACTGTATAAAATTATTCATCTTCAACTACAATTTCATCGCAATCTAGTTTATAATAATGGTTGCTTTTTTTTCCAGTTTTTATTGGCGTCAACTAACTTCTACGCCAACTTGTCTTTTACATCAATATGATTTTCATTTACAAGAATAATGATACATTTTACTTTTTTTCACTGCAATCGCTCAATCAATAATACTAACATGGATAAAATTTTCCAAATAATTTATAACTTCATTAAATTATCATCGTCAAACAGGCAACCATTATTTTCTAAGCGAATTGTCATTTTAATCACTTTGACTAGACTATTGCATGAATACAAATATAATTTGTATGAAGTGTATTTAAAGTGATTAGGTTTTTGAATTGTGCAACTTTCTACACCGAAGCATTTTCTTTACATAATTGAAGTGTCAATCAGTGTCAATCAATTAAAAACCTGCTAGTACATTATGATTTTACAACTAAAAATAAAGAATTATCATCAAAACATAGAAATACAGTATAATGGATGATTAGAATATTGAATTATATGTTTCTTAGAAATAGCATAGCGAATGTCCATTCATGTTACAAGGATAACTATGCACCTGCTTCACCAAGTATCTTTAACCATCAAATTCACGTATACTGAGTACACCAAAATTCAAATTCATATGCATGCGGATGATAGCTAACTGTGACATATTTGACAAGATTAGATGGCTTTGATTAAACAAATCCCAGTGACAGCACATGCTGGCCTACTCTACAAACACCCCTTTATTTCTACTCTCAACTCGTCAGTGTTAACTGTCATCGGTTGTATTTTAAAAGTGATTAAATAAATAAACTATGGAAATTCATCGTGAATTTTAAATAATTTACATTATATTAATAGGTCCTCTATAATTAATAGATAATCATCAATCAATGATTGTTAGACCACCATTAGAAACCTGAGAGCACTGGACGGCCATTTCGTCCTGGTATGGGACTCATCAGCAGTGCGCACAATACCGAAGGTCCTGGGTTCGAATCCTGCGAGGAGCAGGAGTCGTGGATGCGCACTGCTGATGAGTCCCATACCAGGACTTGACGGCCGTCCAGTGCTTCCAGGTTTCTAATGGTGGTCTAACAATGATTGATTGATGATTTCAAATGTGTAAAAACACAAACCTCCAAAACTCTTCCCCATAATAGATAATTATCAATCTTCTGTTTTTAACGTTTATTGGTTACTTTCCAGATATCATATTTTTTTTTCATATCCATTCAGTGGATCAATGAATTTTATACTTTTCACCTATTTCCCATATTGTTATTATTATTGTTACTCTCTTTTTTTCTCTCTCTTCAGACTTGAAACTTTGAAGGATGATGTTATTTCACGAATTTCACAATTGAATACATTGACAAATCAGTTGGTACAATGTGAAAATGAAATAAAGGAATTCAATATATGGCTTGATCAAGTTGGAAATCAGTTAAATTTTCAAACGACTGCTCATCTACCAGAGGACTACTTAAAACATAAACTTCAGTCAATTAAAGTAAGTTTAATGAGTGAAGTCTGTTCTACTCTTCTTTTTAGGTTTTATGTCAGTAGACTTACATCGCTTTTTCTAAGAGAAAAGGATTATCTCTTAAAAGCACACTTTTCAGAAGTTTCACCATGAATTCACCCAGAATTCAATTGATCAATTCGTTACACCAATTTGTTTCTCATCAGTTGATTTTCTTAAGTTTTAATAGAAGAGTAGGATTTATGGTTAATCTGTTAAAAACTTAAGACTGATGTCTATCAGTGACAATATCTAGCTATGGTCATATCATATCACCAAACCAATAAAACTGAAAAGCATGGAAAATTGGATTCTGAATCCATAACTGAATAGAAAAGTAAACGTCGAGACACTTGAAAAGTTTTACTCTTGACACTGTAAGTACGCTACTGTGAAACTTCAAATTAAGGTAACATAGCTACTTCATTCCCTTTACACCCAACTTATTTCATTCAGTGATGAAGAATCGCCTTGTAAACCGCCTAGTTGAAGAGCACTGTTTTACTCAAAACTCCTTTAGAATCCTTATCTCCAGTCTTTTGGTCATATCCCAAAATACACATTGTCTCCGACTATAAGTACATACCATCTATATTGACGCATAGATTTAGGTATGCCATAATACTCAGTGTGTAATAATTGTTAGGACATTACTTTGACCAATTATCTACCTTGTTCATTGTTAGACTACGTGTCGATGTAAACTGTTACCTGAGCTTTGGGAGATTAGATTTGTTGCCATGGTCTATTCAAAAGAGTGACTTTTGTCAACAGCTTCATATGAGAAGACTATTTCATTCATGCACTTCATATCTCTGGAATTATTTCAAAACCGAAGATTGGTTTGTAAGACCTTATGACGAATAACTGTTATTTTTAGAAGTATATGATAAAACTGAATGAGACTAGTATGAAGAGACGAAATCGATGAACACTAACTAAATATATATCGTTTCTATTTTTTCATTTCTAATATTGAACATGAACAGAAACATATACCGAATCGTCAACTACAACTAGACAATATACAACAATCCATTAATAGTTTATTGACTAAACTGCCTGAAAATGATGATAACAGTAAATCGATAAAAGAAAATATGACCAATTTGACTAATCGTTGGTTACAATTACTTCGTTTAATAAGTACACGTGAAAGTGATTTGAAAACAAGAGAATCTTTCAATCATTCTTATGTACAAGTACGTAATCAAGTACAAGAAATGTTATCGATTGCCGATGGACGTTTAACTACTTTATCAGCGCCTTTTACATTGAATGTGAATTCGTTGAAACAACAAATGAACAAATTAAATGAATTGCATTCATTGTTGGAGACAATCAAACAAAATTTGAATGAAGTTGATCAATTAGGCACTGCTTATGATACTGTATTGCATAAATCCAGTGGAATTGATAAGAATTTTGAACTTGCCACAACTGCATCAAATGATGCTGATATTTCGTCTGCAGGTAACTTTGACATTATTGATTAATTATTTATGTGAATACAATGTCAACTTATTTGCCTATTTATGTTTTTGCATTATACAAGTAATTCATAAATAAAAGCAAAAAAAGACACTGTGATGTTTGCTAATTTACCGAAGGGCCTAAAGCAAAATTCTAAATACCAATCAATAAGACTTTATCAACCATCAAATCAGCAGTATATTTACAGTAGCAGCCCTTCACATTCATCACGTCACAGACCAAGATGGTTAAACGTCTTAACTATGATCTAGATAATTAGGGAAGGATTCGGTTAAGCTATTGATCAAGCAAGTCACAGATAGAATCACAAATAAAAAGTTTGATTATATATTTTCAACGACTCTATTGATTAAATATCATTGGTCAGTGATATAAGTGCGACTCAGTAAATTTATATGTAAGAAATACCATTCTCATCTGATTCATGAAGTTAGTTTGTGAATGGAAGTCGCAACTCTAAAAATTTGTGAAAATAATGAGATTTGATGAGTAAATCCAGTTCTATATGAGGAATTAAACAGTTGATTTTTTTAAAATTTTGTTAATGGTATTATACATTGTTGACTTAAATAGAGGAATGCTAACAAGTGAACAACAGTAACTCTTTGTTGGTTATTAGATGTGCATACATTTCTTATCAACTATACTCTGTATAGTACAAAAGCATCTAGGTATTAATTCGTATTGCCACAATCCCAGTAATTGATGTATGATCAATACTTGCTAAGTCAGAAATGCACAATGACTGCCTAAACCCCAATACACCGATTCGATAAACTAACCTATCCTCAACTGCGATATAATTTTACCCTGTTTGATGTATTCATCATTAATATGATGTGATGATGACATTAGCAGTAACTTTAGTGAAACAAAAGACTTGACTCATCTTCACAGTTGATAAAAAGGAAGATACGAAATAGAATCATTATATTTTAGAATATTATTATTATTACGAAGAATCGATAAACTGGCTCTTTTTTGAAAGACGTTTTTTGAAGTTATACTCGTTTGTTTAAATTTCATCCTGTAACCAATATTGCAATGTTATACGTTCAAGAGCGACTCTCTGTTAAGTCGCTGATTCCTCAAATTTTTCGGGTGTCTGATTAATGCGATAATAGTTTTGTCAAAATGATTGTGCGAATTTCTTGCTCAAGTAAATCTTATCGCATCTCAATGTGCAAACTATAAATCAAATACCAAAAATCATATCTTAACGGTATATTTATGACTGAACGTTTGTTTTAGTCTGAAATTTTAAATCATCAACTTAGTGTGATATGAATAAGTCATCATCTAATTAAAGAAATTGTAGTGATCTGTTCTGTGACATCTGTCGATAAGAAAGGGAACTAATGGAATTCATGACCCCCACCATTATTGTTTCATCCGGTCAAAGTTAAAGTGTATTCATGTGTACACTATAATAATATAAATTGAACCGTTGTAAAAACAAGACTGCGTATAAAATACTCGTACATAGTACTTTTCTTGCCTTTAATTAACGAATAAATCCAATCAGTATTACATCTGCCATACTGTTTCGTATTTTGCATACATTGCATATGACCCGTGATATTCTTTACAAATTCACTTTATCCCAACATATATGTGTGTGTATGTACTATAATTCAACAGCAGTACCACATGTATCCACTTCTACTGCTTACAAACAATCAAAAGACAATAAACTAATGAATGTATTAAGTCCAATGGCTAGCAGTGCATCGAGTGGTATTTCCAGTGCCGATCCAATGTATAATCTACATGGTAAGCTTAATTTTCTCAAGCATTCATTATAAGTATGTATATAACCGAGCATCAACAAACAACTGTACTGTTATTATTATTGTCATCATCACTATCTGCATGTAACAAAATAATAACTAAACATTTAGTGCATGTTTTTCGCTTTTGTTTCTGTTTACATTCTTGATTGTAATTAAACTTTTGGTCTCATTCACTTTCGTCTATTGCTAGAATTTATTTGAATTGATACTCTTTTTTATCCAACTTTACAATACTTGATAACAGAGTGAATATAGTTTGCATCAAAAGTAAATAGTACATTGAAATAAATGTTTTGGCTTAGTGCTCTTGATTCATCAGTAATATATGCAACACGGGCCTATATACACTGGACCTTCGGTTTAATGATCAATTCAATAACTTTTCAACCACTGAGATGGAATCCTATATTCCATATTTTCTAAGTTGAATTATAAGTGCATACATACTACTAGAGAATCCTAAACTAAGCCAAATCACTTGTTCATTGCTCTGTGATTTTCATTGAACTAAATATATATGAAAGATTCAATGATTTGTTGCAAATGAAATATCACATCGTATTTTTTTTATATTGGTGCCTTAATGTTTAAGGTGTTTTTGAATGTGTCATGTGTATAATGTTGCGCTTGTGCGTGCATATAACATCGCATCAATTCAAGTGTTAATATATATATTTCAATGATTGTTGAATATTAAATATATCTGATTATCGGATAATGAATGCATGTATAGCATAGTTTTGATTCTGGTGATAAATATTGTTATCTTTCTCTATGATTTACATCAATTTTGACATTTTCCCTGTAGATTACTTATTTTATCGAAATTCTCCTTAAATGTGTTGTTGTAAATTTATTCAAATACTAATCACTTTTTATTTAGTCCTTTTGTACAAAATATCCTCATGATTTGTATTGATAACCTCTCATATCTAATCATCTCTTTTATCGTGTTGTTATTGTTGTTGATTTATTTTTGTCGCAGTCGTCATCGATAAAAAGTTCATTACATTTCTGGATAATTGCATTTAATAGTTCCCTAAAATATTAAACGAATCGCTCTCTTTGAGCAAATCGTATTATTGTAAAATACGTGTGATGTTTGTCGGTATTGTCATCAGCTTATTTGGCTATGATCGCTTAAAACTTATTGACCAATACGGTTGCAACCAATGGTTCTGCTTATAAACATCTAGCATCTCTTTGTATTGTTAATCTTGAACTAGGCAAAATAAATGATCGCTACAAAAAATGAATATTTAAAGTTTGTTGAGCTATGAAGTTAGAAGTTAACACTGTTAGATACCGGCTCAGTGGTCCGATGGCTAGGCGTTTGCGCACAATACCGGACGTCCTGGGTTTGAATCTTGCGGGGTGCAGGAGTCGCGGATGCGCACTGCTGAGGAGTCCCATACCAGGACTTGACGGTCGTCCAGTGCTTCCAGGTTTCTAATGGTGGTCTAACATTGATCGATTCATGGTTTCAAAAAAAAGAGCTATGAATGTTTGGAAAAAGTATCATTACTGAACACATGCTAACTAATCGATAACAAAGTTAAAATAATGATAAATGCTCCTCAAAATAATCTTGAACAATGAGCTCAAAGTTCATCTAGATGATTACATTTTTTCAACATATAATGATTTACAGTAAAGATAGAAACGTAGTGCATCATTAACAGAGGTAAGAAAAGCCAACCAGAATTTCAGGTTACGTAAAAGTCAAAGGGCAGTGTCAAAAAATAACTGACAGTGAACTAATTTATTAGATATACTGCTACTACTCAACACAAGGATCTAACTTAAATCGATTTATCATCGGAAAGACTTCACTATACGCAAATTATTTTTCATCTGTATTCCCTTAGAAGCACTTCATTTCACTTTATGAATATTTTAAATATGGATTCCGCTAAAGATAAATGGCTACAAATATCCAATAATCTAGCTGTTGTGTGATTTGCATACACCTTTCGATAACCATGTTGGATAGTGTGTGTGTGTGTTTTTTTTTTAACTCATTTGGTAGTATATATTATTTAAAAATCATTATTTTCTAAACAATAATAAAACAAACACAATAGCTATGCATGTTCAATAATTATTTTTCTTACCTCATACATGTGAATAATATTTGCTCATTAACAATTTCATATATTCTCATTGAATTTATATAAATTTATTTGAAATAAATTAAGAAAATCAAGCCATAGATTCAATCGACATCGAAAGTTGTGTTTAACACTCATCTGTTTCATCATGATAAAATAAAAAATCAAATGAACGTTGTAATAAACTTTTTTTTTTACAAAATTATGTTTTGAAACCATGGATTGATCAATGTTAGACCACCATTAGAAACCTGGAAGCACTGGACAGCCGTTTCGTCCTGGTATTGAACTCACCGGCAGTGCGCATCCACAACCGCTGCCCCCACAGTATTCGAACTGCTGACGAATCCCATACCAGGACGAAACGGCCGTTCAGTGCTTCCAAGTTTCGAATGATGATCTAACATTGATTGATTCATGGTTTCATAAAAATGTGTAACTTAACAATCTTGGCAACCCCGTAATAAAATTATGTTTCTTAATAAATAAATTTCAATCGAAGTGGTTTATTCAAATTTTGATTTTTTTTAAATTTTGTTTTAAAAAAAAATTCATACACAATTTCTATGAAAGAAATCAATGAAATCAATCATGAATTAGACGAGTTACATGAACGTTATGATCAATTAAGTAATTGTTTAAATGAACGTCGAAATGAATTTCAATCGACAATAACAAATTTAAAGAATTTCGAAGAAAAACGTTTTGAATTAATAAATTGGTTGGAAGATTATATGAAAACAGTGAATAATATGAATAAAAATATCTCTACTGTACAATCTGTAAATCAAACTATAAATGAATTTAAAAAGTAAGTTGTTAGTATTTTAATTAACTTAATTATACATATTTGATAATGAGTATTGTTTTGTTTCTAGCCCATAATGCTAATTGGAACTGTATTTAAAACTCTACTGTATTCGAAACTGTACTGTATCTAGAGCCGCCAAGCAAAACACTGGAAAACTTAAATCGCTAGTCATGATTACTTATAGTTCTTAGATTTAGGACTTATATGATCATGTAAATCAAATAGACGAATACGACAAATGTTAGTCTCAATATGTATAAGCTAGGAACATTATTTTCATTAACAGGTTTTGCTCTAAATTCAGCATCAGGACAGATATAAGTTATGAACTGTAAATAATATAATCATGATTACTACACAAAGAGTAGCTTTCAATTAGGATGATTTAGCAATGTCATGAAACAACTCTTTGGTAAATACTCGTTGCAAACTAGTTTGCAAAAGAATAACATATGTTTCGTTTTAATAGCTATGGTAGTGGTATCCAGAACATGTGTAATGTTCTCTGTTCTTCCGTATCAGCTAGTATCGTATGTCATACAATGTACCTCAGATCGGATAATTAGGTAGAAATGTAGATCTTTTTTAAAAGAATGTCGGAGCCAATAATTAAATATATTAAGTAATTTTGTAGGCAGACATTCACTGAGAACTAGCTACGATTATTTTCTGTTACGATATAATTGAGACATATTTAGGCTAAAAACAATACAATTTTATTCAATGTTATATGTTGACATTTCCCCCTTCCTTAAACAATTTTATTCCTACGAATAAATATTCAGTGACATTGCTTCCGAATTCGTCATTTAAACTCGAACTGTAGTTGAAATATCTCACTTATTCTATTCGTGTCAGGAAGCGGTATATTTGATAACTTAAATTGATTTTTTGTTAACTAATCATAACTGTTTGGCTTTTTTTTCAATGCAGATATCGTGCTCAGTTGAATGAACAAATACCAAAACTTGAAAGTGTCCGTCAAAGTTTTACACAAATTCTACACAATCGTGATCATATGCCAGGTGCTGTAGAATTAAGAAATTCAATGCATTCTCTTGAACAACAATGGAACGAAGCTGTTTTATTTAGTGATAAGTTACAGCAAGATTTAAACAAGTTACAACATGATTTGAATGAATTTCATAAACTCAATGCTGATCTCACACAAATACTACAAGAAAAAGCGAGTCGAATACACAATGTGCATGATAAATGCCTTGCAGAGAATGAAATAGGAAGCGAGAGTCATTTGAATGAAGTTAGTTTTATTATTTGTTTATGTTCTTTAAAAAAAATAATATCAAACGATTCATCCGAAGCTAAATATCCTATATCTACCGCATATTTTGGAAAATATAATCTCGTTGATCTGTATTGTCCCTGTTGTGGCCAATATCTGCGTGTTCTTATGCTTCGTAATTAGCTCGTCTAGACAATCGTTACAAAGTGGCGTCTGACGGTTGTAAATCAGAAGATGAATTCGAAGTAATGAATACATTTATTTTTAGACACACCACAAAGCGAAGTTGAAAAGCAGCGAACAAAGCGTACGAAACGACGTGAATTGGAGAAGGCTAATGAGCCAACTCCTAGGATTACAATGCGAACGAATGGGCGAAGGAAGCGAATGAATAGGCGAAGCGCGTTGGAGAAGGATAAGAGCCAACTCAAAGAAATAGTGCATGACTAAGAATATATAGTCAGACAAAAATAAGGCAGACATATGACAAGCGAAATAGGTATGCACACATGAATAAAAGCGAGGAATGATTGAAAAGGTCAAATCACAAGTGGGACATGTCATGTGAGCTCATACAAACCAGACAATAATAAGAACGAATGGTACATATAAATTGTTACTATACAAATGGCTTGGTTAAATAAATTAATCGAAAGGGCTTAACCAAGTTAGATGTAAGCGAACTGGAATATATGTGGAGGCACTACATCCCTTACTAAAACATACTGACAAACTGATCAATTCAGTATTTGTCAACCAGATGACCTGCTGCTGTGGAGGTAGTTATGTAGGTCGCTGGCCGAGACCATATCTTCATCGTATGCAGAAGCATCTACTGAAATGAGTTGACAGAGGATAACATGAATCAGTTATATTATTTAGGCTGTGACGTAACGGTATATTTAGGTTCATATCCATCACTTGATATGTTTAGTATACTTTAGATCATTTTGTTTATATTTCATATTGATTAAAACGTAGCTGATAACCCATGGAACAATAAACGATCAAGAATTTGTAATGCCTAATTTACTTGACTGCTTTCACGACAAAAAATAAAGATTTTACATAATTGATAACAATTAGGTGACTTGGACGAACTCAGTAAACAGTAAAAAACCCTGCTTTTTATGATCTGTATTGTGAATGAAAACCAACCCGAATCACTGAATTTATCATGATAGAAAGACTAGAATATCGTTATAACTTGATAGCTCACTAAGCCACTTCCCTATGGCACAAATCCATGAAGTCACTAGAAAAATGGAGTGAGTCACGTTGGTAGATGCAGACTACCTAGCTGTGGTCCGCGAGATGATAGTAATCGATGGTTAAAGACCTTGAATGACATGGCTGAAAGTCGTTTTCAATGGCTCAGGTGCATTTACTCTTTGTGTTCTATGAAATTCTAATCTTCTGAATTTGTCATCACCTCTAACTTTATATTTTCTAAGTTTATTTCACTGAGTTATACTTCTTGCATACTATCTTGAAACCCTAATCTTCTCCACTATTGCCAATATTTCTACTATTTCTACCACTATGGGAGTTGAACTGACAATTGCGTCTCTGTGCTAATGTGGTATAGAAACCTGAACTTATGTACTCATGTACGAAGTTCTATGTTGTAACTGACTGACCGACTTGAAATTTCCCTTCTGACGATCACCGCCTGATTCTTTAATTTGATTAGTAATATTTTCGAAGTATTTTTGGTGGTGCAATCTGTAAAATTTGGTCCGTTAGATTAATAAAGTTTTCTGGTGTAAAACATGTATCTAATTGGAGAAATACTATTGATTACAAAGCTTTATTAAATATTTTCGTGTGGTAAAAACGATCTTATTTAACTGGTAACTTTATACTATAATGATTACTATGAACACTGTATTCAATTATATATCTGTCTCTTTACTTTCTTTGCATTAGATTTCTACACTTCGTGAAGAATTGGACAGTGTTGTTCCAGAATTAAATAAATTTAATCATTTAGTACAAAATTTAAAAAATTCTCTTCCTGAATCTTTAGTAAATCAATTAGACTTGAATTCGTCAAATCAACGTGTTCGTAATGATTTCAGTCAGTTAGTTAGTGAATTATCAACATGGGAGAATGAAACAATGAATAAAATTGAACCGAGAGATAGTTATGATCAATTAGTGCAAAAATTAGATTCACAATTGAAATCAATTAAAACAAACATGGACCGGTAAATTGAAACACTCTACTATTCTTTTTCTTTTGATTACTATGATAAATTATATGAAATTACAGATAAATTATTTAAAAGTTAAAGAAATATTTAGATTAGGGGATTTTGTGAAGATTTCCGAGTTTTTATTGGTAGTATTATGGACTAGTCTTAGTTAGATTCTGGTAAGAAAAACTGCAACAGTGAATACACGCGATCCCACTACAGGTGACTGAAATTGGGATGTCCATTCTCCCGTAAATGTTCCAACTCTAGATCACTGAGCCTGATTTCAGTGATGTGCTTGTCTAACCACAGTCAGTTCATGATATTACGCTACTATCTTATATTTTATGCTGTAGATAACTGTGCCAAACTATGAATCAGTTGTGCGATTAGACTGTATTCTATACAACTTTCAGCATCATTACTTTTTTTGCTATCTACTAAAAAATTCATTGGCTTATGTTAGCCGGAGATGGTTTTTATTTAATTGTTAACTAAATTATATTACTTAATTATATCTGTAATTGAATTAATAGATAATCTGTTATTCGCAGCACTAACAACAATTCACCAAACTCATAAAATTTATGTTATTTATAAGTCTACTGATGTGAACTTCTCTGTCACATTAACTTGGTTGTAATTAATTATTATTAGGCCATTTAAATAACGTGAATCATATATTCATTTTTAAATAATTCCTATTGATTGTTTCACTGGTAACAATCTAAAACGATTGCTTACAGTGTTCAAAATTACCAATGTTACTTCTTTACACTTTGAAACTAGAACTTGTTTTTCCTTTGATCATCTTTACTAAAACAAGTACGTAATAACCACAAGGTTACTGTGAAATAAGTTAAATATACTTTTTACTGGATCAGAAATTTTATACATTTGTTGGCATTGCAGTTGCTAGACAGTTCAGGTGAAATCTATGATTGTAGGGATTAAAAGAAAACCAAATTAGCATAAGGCCAGTAAGCTTTCCTACATTGTCAGTGGTATATTTTAAACATATAATGGTTTAATCCTTCATCTGAAGTAAAATCAAGTCCACTGTAGAATGTTGATTAATTATTTGACAATTATTCATACTACTTTATACACTTATTGCAAATTGTAGAATTCCAGAAAGAGAACCTCTTGAAAAAACAATTGATTTAAATGAAACAAGTAAGAAAATTCAAGAAATAAAACCAATTTTACAAAAAGCTGAACAATTGTGTACACAATTATGTGAACAGTCTACAAGTCCGCTGGATCGATGTAATATGAAAGCGAAAGTAAGTATGATATTTCTACTTCAAGTTAATTATTACCACTGCATAGTTAATTGTCTGTTAAATTAACTTTTTCATCGAATAAGTCTTTTCAGTGGACTCTAGATTAGAAATTTTTTGCTTTGAAAAAAACGTACAGTTTACATTGGTCAGTTTAGTTCATACATTTCCAAAGGTTAACTTTCCCTTACTTAGTCTGGAATATGATGCAATACAATATAAGCTTCTTAGTTTTTCATAAGAATGTTTCTGTCGTCCGTTGAAATTTAAATTAATTTCCTTTTAGGAGAATGTTTGTCCAATTTTTGCATTCCACCATTGTTAACTAGAAATAAACCTAAAATTGACAAGATAATTCATTCTTAAACAGATACACTATGAATTTTATATTTTGTATCAGGACCGAAGGTTCTGGGTTCGAATCTTGTTTGGTGCAGGAGTTGTGGATGCGCACTACTGATGAGTAGTCCTATACCAGGACTTGACGGTCGTCCAGTGCTTCCAGGTTTCTAATGGTGGTCTAACAATGATTGATTGATGATTTCAGTGTGTAAAAACACTAATCTCTATAACTCTAATTGAAAATACTTAACTTCTATCACGTATCGCTAGAGAAATTATTATTCCCATATATATATATATATATATATATATATATATATATATATATATATATACTTCCGGCACATATATCTTTATCATCTTTAGTTAGATCGGTTATATATTTTTTATGATATCAAGTTAATTATGCTTATTCGTTAGTCTGTAATCAGATATGATAAGAAATTGTTAAGATTTTATGTTTTTTTGCTACTTCCGATTAGAATAAGGCTATTTTGAAACAAATTTGACTAATATTAATTAAATAAAATCATCATTTATGTATTAAATTGTAGCTTAATTATAAGAATGATTATTTTTATTGTTCTGTTGTAAATTTATGAATTTCATTTATAATATACTGATTGATATAATTATGGAAGAGAATGATGGATTTCAAGATAAATTATAAATTAGGAACCTATTGACCGTCCTCCTCTATTTTTCACACAGACACACATTGAAAAAAATACATTAGGCTGCATACAAACTCAGCTATTTAAGCTACAATTAGAATGTTAATTATCTTCAACCAAAAAATTCAGTGACTAATAACTTCTATTCAATCGTATCGATTGTAATTCTAGCTTTCAGATCTTCAACATTCATATGATCAATTAATCAAAGAATATCATAAACATGATAAAGGAACACTTGAACATTCACCATTGGTATCCAGCCAATCTCAAATAAGTCCAATAAATCAACTAGATGAATTGAATCAATGGTTGTCCGTGAAGAATAAACAATTACAGAATATGTCCCATGATCTGTTAGATGCTAATCGAACACCTCCTACAAGTATACCGGAGACAAAGCAAATTGAAAATGAATTAAAAAATTTAGAAGTAAGCTTTATCGTCATCATTACTATTGTCATTAAAGTTTTAACATTTACAGAGAGATTTCAAATTCAAACATTTTTTATTTTATGAATATAAATGTAGATATATGAGAAAATTTATTGTGAAATGATCAATAAACTGATCAATTTTTGTACTGAAGAAATTCCATGTTTACCATGTCATCGAATTCAAGCTAAACTGTATAACGAACTATTCCAAATTATATATGATTCATAAAAAAATGATCGATGATTGGAGGATATTTTTCACACAGAACCGGATTACATTCTAATGAGTTGATTACAGAAATAACTTACCAATAGACACGAAGAAATCTCAGATTATGCTGGGGATGTTAGATGCCCAGACCTCGCTTGATAAATGCCTTATTTTTGGATTTCACGTTTGAGAGCATGGGCTGACCCGTTGACCTTGAGATTTTATTTCCCACCAGGAAAATCCATGACTGTGATTGGCTGCTGTGTATTTTAGTGTACTATTTTTGTGACTGTCCCAAGGACGTTTCTATGATGTATAAATAAACGAGAGTTTTATGCTTGATTGTATTGTGATTGCTGGGTGTTGTAGAATATATTTTCTACGCTTATCAAGATTTCTGTTTTGCAGTTGGGATCAAGGTAGCCTACCTGGACGCTGGTAATTGTCTCGTCCGTGTTTATCGACTAAGGTGAACTGGTGATAGCTTCAAGCTTCAAGTAAAGATCTAATCAGATTAGCTCTGTGCAGAACTGACGATCATACACTCTCTGAGAAGTGTCTCAGTGAAACATCTCCTTATATATTTTGCTAGCTTCTCAACTTTTATCAATTTCGGATGTGAATCACTTTTGAACTTAACAGTAGATATATACAATCTAATTTATTCTTCATACTTTTAAATAAATTTCTTTTTTTTTTTTACAATTTTACTCTGAATAAATCATTATCTTTATCGTTTCCATTGCAAATTCTCTGTTGATTGTAGTTTATGTCAGAAGAATTAAAAGTTAAACAAAGAGAATTACAAGATTTAAAAGAAAACAGCGAAATAAAATCATTGCCTTTACCAATAGATTCAAAAACTGTAGATTTATGCATCAATCAAATGAATTCATTGCAGAATGCTGTGACAGCACAACAGAAACAGTTAAAATCAAAAATGAACAAAGAATTTCTATTATCTGAACAACTGAAAGAATTGGAAGTAAGTGACTACATTCACGTATTTAAGGAAAGATACATTTTCCTCAGAAAAATCATTAAACTTATCACCTAGTATTACCGTTTATTTTACATGGTTGATTCGTTTCACTCAATGGAATCTTGTAAATTATTATACCCTAGCTGCAGTTAGCATAAATAGTAGTCTATATTAATAAGACATGAATTTTATGACCAATGTTGTGTTATGTAATCCGCTATGTTAACACAATCCTACGTTTAATCGAATGCTTATTTGTTTGAAGCCAGTTTATCAGTTACTGTATGATCGAAATGTTATATTATTACACGCTGAACAATAAGATTCGATTGAATATACCCATTTTTACCGAAAAGCCCTGTTGAACATGAATTCGATTCTTTCCGGAGCTGATTGACAGTCAGTTACATCATAGAACTTCGTATGTATGTACGTCAGTTCAGGTTGCCATACCACATTAGCACAGAGACGCAACTGTTAGTTCAAATCCAAGAGTGATAGCGATAGTAGAATTATTATCGGTAATGGAGAAGATTAGGGTTTGAAGATATAATTCGAGAAGTATAATTCAGTGAGATAAACTTGGAAAGGAAAAGTTATAGGTGATGGGAACTCAGAAGGCTCGAATTTAAGAGAACATAAAGAATGAATGCACCTGCGACATTGCAAACGGTTTTGAACCAAGTCATTCATTGTCTCTAACCATCAATCACTATCATCTCGCGGACCCCATCCAGTTAGTTTTCATCTACCAACATGACTCATTCTACTTGTCCGTGACGTTATGGATTTGTGCCATGTTTTGGTTTGGCCGCCCCTAGCTTTCTTCCTACCTACTCCTACACTACAAAACAAAGCTCGACGAGGCAGTTGGTGGTTGGGCGTTCCCAACCACCACAACTGATGAAGTTTCAATACTTCATCTATTGATTTTCTGTCCCTACCTAGAACTCGTTTCCTAACAGCAGCATTGCTTGCTCGGCTGTCCCAGGATACAAGAGAAACACCTCGAAGACATCTACAATAGAATACTAATAACTTAAGAATGTCCTCTACTCTTACCGGCCATGTTTCGTAGCCATAAAGTAGGACGGAACGAACTACTGAGCAGTACACTCGTCTTTTAGTCAGCAAACGGATATCTCGCCTTCGCCGTAAGTGACGCAAGTTGGCAAAAGCCAATCAAGCCTTCTGTATCCGTGCTGAGATTTCGTCAGCCATCAGCACTGACGCGTTTCCCGAGATAGGTGAAGCGGTCTACACGCTCAACTGCTTCACTCCTTATCACCAGTTTAGGTGCCGACCGTAGCTGCTACCTTGACGTGGTTGTCAGGCTCGTCTATCGTGATGACCCAAACGAGCTATATTGGCTGGAACATATGTTCTTGTTGGTTCTACCATGCCATGCAGGTCGATTGGAGAACGGTGAGACTAAAAGCAGCAACTCAGGGTCTGAGGGAGAAGTCGTACTGCTGACTGTAGAGGGATGTAACAGCGGTAGGGTGCTTCTCTCGGACAGCAAGCACCTCCATTGATGCTGCCTTCTCACAAGGAAGTAAAGGTTAGAAAAGGTTGACCCTAAAAATGTCACACCTCACCTTACCTCACGGATTTCCGTCTCCAGCGGTAAGGTCTTTTAAACAAGAGCGAATCTAATACTTTAAAAACAACTGCAAAAGAGTGTTATTTACACTTCGCAACATTTTAATCTCATGTCTATTATCATTGGAATCATAAGTAGCATCGTTCATCTACTCAGTGGAAGTTATGTATATATTCAATTAAATTAGATATTATTTTATGTTATGTATTTTTTTCCATAACTTGAATTTATAAAATTCTGCTATCAACAAATTAAGGTATGGATAACAAACGAAGCTGTTCAATTATGCAATGAACCTTTAGCTGCAAATGGACAATATTTAGAAGAAAAACCTCTACCACTGATGAATTATCAAAAAACATTACAAAATCGTCTACAAGTTATTCATGATAAAAACAATGAATTAAATTCTTTCAAAGAAAAATTGCATTCCATTAAAACTGATGGTAATGATAAATTCAATGAATTAACTGAAGATCAACTAAATAAATTACAAATCAATACAAATGGTTTACAGAATAAACTTAATAAACTAGAGAATGATGTCAAAGTGAAACTTGTAAGCTTTTATTCAGTTTTCAATCACTTTTTTTCCTCCCTTCAACATATTAAAATGATTTAAAATATCATATTATTTTGTCTTATCTGAGCGATTATAAACAACAAAATTTAGTAGATGCATAGATTCTTTGAAATGATGAATCGATCAACAGTCTTCACAACTGCATAAGGCAAATCATAGAAATTCACTCGCTAATGACTTGCTTCTTGAAGAAACTCTCGGAGTTCTAATGAGAAACACTGGCCAGTGGGGTTCAACCACGTCGAATGTAGGCAGTCACCTACCGAAGAGAATGGGTGAGGTTGTGCACTATCTTGAATTGATCATAGTTATAGATTAACATTGTCGAATGCTTGCTCAGGGGTCTAGAAGTTAAACGTTGGTGCACGAGATCGCTTACGGGGTTCGTGGATGCGTACTGCTGATGATTCACATACTAGGAAGAAACGGTCGTTCAGTGCTTCCAAGTTTTTAATGGTGGTCTCACAATGATCGATTGATCATGTCAATGAAACCAAACAATCTTCACAACTTTATGATGTAAACCACATAGATTCTACCATTTATTAGTAATAGTTTACATTGTAGTTGAAAATTTTCTTGTATTCTCTCCTAATAAAAACACTCATTGCCTATAGTATTCGTTATTCCATTTTACCTGTTAAAAAATGAATATCTGAGTAAAATGTTAGAAATCCTATATTTGATATAAATCAAAGTAGACTAGCTGATGTTTTTTATGATTAAATGTGATTGTAACCTGACTTTGTATAAATAAATCCTAACAAAGAAAATACACCGGACTGTCATATCGTTGCAGACTAGATTTTATGTGCGGTTATAGATAGATTTTCGCTGACGAAATGTTCCGAACTATAACGAAACATCTGTGCAGCTCTTGTTGGTATCTATGGTTATCTGTATGAAAGTATATATTCTACTGTTTAAGTCTTACTGTATTGATACTTACCAGCTATCCACACATAACTTGTGTTTAAAACCATTTTCTAGGTTGTTATCTGGTAACCGAAAGTTAGGGGTCTGATCTCTACCTCCTTGTCATAAAATAGAAAATCACCATCAGTACTCGTTTCTACACATACTTGAATTTTTCTCTAGCCAACAATGATGCAATCTGAATCAGAATACTTAAATTAAAGTGGAAGAACATTATTGTTTGGGCAGCGAAACTACAGTGTTAAACGTCTTGATTTAATTTTTTTATCGCCTTTATCTCTTGTTATTGATTAATGTATCGGATACTTGATAAAATGCCACGATGTAAAATCACAGTATGATTCATGTCATTTTACATTTTCTGTTAACCCTTGACACAGTCTTCATTTTTATTATTTGACAATCAATTAGTCTTGTTCCTTATTGTGCCTTTTTCTTTTTTAAATAATGTTCTCTTTTCATTCAAAGTCTCATATTGATGAGATTCAAAAGGCTTATTCAATGGCACAAAATTCACTTGATACTTACAAACAATCATGTGATAACCTAGAAACTCGATGGTTAAATCTACAACAAGTTTTATCTACCATAGAACTAAACGATCTCAAATCATCGTCACCCTCATCGCCAATATCGTCATCACCGACTTCTTCGGCATCAAATCAAATCCAACAAATACGTGGTCAAATGATTGAATTACAAGCTGAACTATCAGAATTAACCAGTTATCCGCAGAAATATTCCAATTCAAAAAATAAATCATCTCATATCAATTTAGTTTCTCAATTAAATCAATTGGAATCATTGATTCAAGCAAACGGTGATACAAAACCGAAACAATCAATGCAGAAACTTTCCAATGAATTACAACTAACCAATAAACGATTAGAAACTATTGGACAAGCATTAGAAATGAATTTTGAAATGTTCCAAGTTAAAGAGATGGATCCATTTGCAATACATTTTATTAAAAAATTAAACTATATTTATGCTGAATTGCAAAATATTCAATTAAATATTAATAAAAATGAAAAAATAATTAATTTAAATTCGGAGACAACAAAACAAAGAATTGAATATTTTGAAGAGTTGTTAAAACAGGTAATAGTTTCTACTGTTTCATTGCTTTTTGTCTTAAAGTATTGTGTAGATTTTTCCTAATTTTAATTGTGGATGTATTACTTTTTTTGTCAATAACGATCTAATCAATGGTTTTTTATAGAACTCAGAGAATAAAAACGCAATTGATCCTTTTTCAATTAGAGTTATGGAGATAAGTGTTTTTACACATTTGAAACCATCAATTAATCATTGTTAGACCACCATTAGAAACCTGGAATCACTGGATGGCCGTTTCATCCTTGTATGGGCGTTCGCGCACATTACCGAAGGTCCCGGGTTCGAATCCTGCGAGATGCAGGAGTCGTGGATGCACACTGCTGATAAGTCCCATACTAGAACTTGACGGCCGTCCAGTGTTTCCAGGTTTCTAATGGTGGTCTAACAATGATTAATTGATGATTTCAAATGTGTAAAAACAGTTGGTCCTATAGGCTAAAATCAAATGAACTACGAATTTAGAATTAGTCTAACTGAAGGAGGAAATTAAGTATTTCACCTCTTTTTAAATTTTACTCATCCATTTATATTATTCGCTTGAATCAGTAGTTCTATTCTGTTGTGATTGATTGTTACTCCATGCCATTGATGAAACTTGTAGTCTGAACAAAATCCTTGACTCAATGACTAGTATTTTTTTGGATTCTAACGCTTTGCGATATGGCTAACATCTTTTACTCTTACTAAAAAGTATTTGTCTTTCACCAGTTCAACAGCTTGTATAATGTCCACAATGTATTTCTTAATAGGTGACGGGAATAGTTTTTTCCTCATCTCTCTTAAGAATGACCACTTGTTTTTCTAACATATTCGAAATACTATTATGATTGAGGCTGAACAGTAAGCCTTATTCAGTCTATCTGACCCCATAGTCAAATTAAGGTATATTAATTATAAGGTAGTTGCTATACAAATAGTAAATCACTTCTTTTAAAATTGAAGCTGTTTAAATACACTTATGAATGTAGATAAGCTTAGTTTTCAGAGCTTGATTTACTCAATGAATTGGAAGATATTCACAGTCTGCAGTATTTACCAATAGTTTGTTGCAGAATTCACGACACACACTATGCATATTTATAATGATTGACTGCTAAGTAGTAATCAATATAATCTCTATCTATACTCCCTAGTGCTGAGTGAATCTTGTTGATAAGTTGAAATGTAGTTGCAAGTCTAAGTGATTCATTATTGTGTGGTATTAGGTAGTTGGAGATAGTTAGCTGGAATTATTTACTCTCAAACTCAACAGTTAGCAATCATTATTCTCAAATGGATTTGCATTTTCATTCTAATTCTTTAATTCCTTGCTTATTTTCTTGTTATTTCAAAGTATTACTACTGTTAATCAGTTTCCATTCATTCACTCTACAGCTTAATGATTGCAAACAAAATCTGACTGCTGGACGTATTGAATTAGCTGATAAAATGACATCGTTGCCAGATGAAAGGAAGCTTAGTCCAATTTACTCAAATTTTTCAACAACATTGAATCAATATGACACACAGTGTAATAACATGTCAAAACAAATAAACCATATTATCAGTGCATTGAATAATCGCGTTAAACAAACGGAACAATTGTCAACACTTCGTCAAAATATAAATAGTTCATTGAAAAAAGTTAGAGAATCTCGTCAATTACCTTTAAGTGAACAGTAAGTTAGTGCTATATATTTAATGTTGTTCTCTTTAAGTAAAATATCTTGGTAAATTCCCTTCGCAATTTTTTCATTGGACCGTCAAAATGAATTAATTACCACTAATAACCAGCACAAAGTGGCATGCATATTTTTTAAGCTTGGTATATTTTATCCGTATGTTTATTTTCCGAGGTTTCTAGTTTCCAGAACTTATAGATTCTTTGCATAGACAGCTGTGAATATCACAGAACTAGATAAAATTCAGGATAAACGTTTGATCCGGTAACTAAATTCATACAATCTGTTGACCCTTTAAATAAAAATAAACATGCTCACATTTCTCGATCTCCGACTAATACATGGTCTCATTAATCCAGCGATTCTTCGTCTGACATAGAAATAAATAATCCCGACGTTTTTTTCTGTATTTACACGTTTAACTGGTTGTTCATCGATAATAAGCAATAAATATGTTTGAGTGACCTTATGGCTAACTTAAATAAGTTTCAAATGTGGTCATGTTAGAGCTGGAGTCCATCTGCGACAAAATTTTTAACTAAGACATTCTATAACAGGGAAGCAGCATTTGTCTTCTTGATAATGAAGAGTCCTAAAAACGTCTTTATTTTAGACTTATACGGTTAGCATACATAATGAATTAGATAAATTAAGTCTGAAACAAGAACATTTGCTGCAATATTTTCACAAATGGTTATGATTAAGTGACGACGCAAAATTTTAAGTAGTCCACTAATAGCATGATTTTATAGTGCTTAACATTGTAAAATTACAGACAAAGATTTATTCAGTACTTATTTTGTCTTTCAATAATTATCTGATTGCGCCTAACTGATATTATTAACTTGCAATACAACACAAGTGTATTTCGCTACTACACGTGATTTCTGTCAATTGATTTTTTTCACTTTTTCTCTCTCCCCCTTATAGTAATCTTCAAAAAGAATTAGATGAATTAAATTCTAATATGAAATCATTGAAAGAATTAAGTGAAGCATTGTATCAATCATCAAATGATTCATCTGATAAACCAATTAGTTCACATCAATTAGAATATGAAATAAAATCATTAGAGAATATGATTCATGAAGAATCAGTCAGTTCAAAAACTGTGATATCATCGGAAAAACAAGCTGAACGATTGATATCACATTTACGTGATACTCTAGTCGAGGTAAATGTATTACATATCATAATCAGATGTTTGTTGTTTATTATATGAGTATGTTTTTCATCTGATCTCCTTTAAGTGAGAACTAAGTTACATAACTCAGTCAGTCAGTCAGTCAGCTACAACGTCGAACTTGTTACGTACGTACATCACTTCAAGTTGTCATATCACACTGTCAGAGAGACGCAACTGTCAATCCGAATCGCATAGCAGTAAAGGTTGTAGCAGTATCAACAGTAATAAGGAAGATTAGGGTTCGAATATATATGATTCCAGAAGTACAATCCAGTAAAATAAATTTGTAATAGGAAAAAGGTCATGAGGAATTTAGAAGATTAGAATTTAAGTGAAGATAAAGAATGGATGCACCTGCGCCAGTGTAAACGATTTTGAGTCACATCATTCAAAGTCTCTAACCATCAGTTACTGTCGTCTCGGGCATTCCAACTAGGTAGTTTATATCTACTAACATGACTCAGTCAAATTGTGTAATTATCGCTTACTAATTTGAGATTTCTCTTCCACTAAAATTCGGAGTACAAACATATGGCTGTCACATTAAGCATTTTATCACTGAACTAACAGGTTTATAACCTTTCTTACTTACCAACATCATAAGTACAGAGTTTTCTATCGTTTCTTTCAAATGGACAATGTTTAATGTTCTTACAAAGCTAGAACTGTACCGTTGAATATTCCAATGTTAAGTAAACGCACAATTTAAATATTTAAAGTAAAGAATTTTCGATCACAATAAAATAGCTCCAATATGTCTAGTGTATATATAAAAGTTGAAAATTTACTTTCTGAATATTGAACTGAACAAATTAAAAAGGGTTAGATTATTTATTCATTAAAAAATTATTATACTTCTTAATCGCTCTACTGATACTTCATTGATTTAAAGAAATATTCCCTCCTGTATGACTTCTTTGTCTAGTTTTTATTGTTCTATTTCGTTTGAATATGCTCTTTGATGAATCAAACGATACTACTCTTATGTAAAATCTGGTATAACTTGTTTAATGGTGAATCGCAGAGAAAAATTAACAACTGTTAATGTAAAACTCTGAACCAACCAAAATTTTACATACACTCAACTAACTTTCTTGACTGTGTTTTTGATATTTCAAACACCTCTAGTATGATCATTACTTAAATTTCTAGAAATTGAATAACAAACTACAATGAAAAAAATATCCCGAAAAAAATATCAACTACCTTGTTCCTAGATGAAATCATTGAAAGTTCAATGTTCAAAACAACTTGATATTCATTGAATATTTCAATGCAATTAAACAATCTCCTGAAAATCCCTTCAAAAACTATTTCACGCATCCTCCTTAAACACTGATTTTTTGTCTTTAAGAAATCCATTTAATCTATTATTTAAACTTAAGAACACGATTTAAAAATTATTGGTGTGTGTCTGTTATTGTATTAAATAATTGAGCAACTCTTCTCCTTTTTCTCTTATTTAACTAGGTTCAACATGATTTGCATATCTTGACAAATCAGTTCTTATCATCAGATCTATCATCATCACCTAATCCGGAAGTGATTACATTATTAATTGATGATTATCATACATTGAATAGTCGTATCCTAGCAAGAAATGATAATTTTGACCAATTAGACAAATTAATTCAATCACTTCCGAATGTATCAAATCAAAATAGATTGAATTTTGAAAAACAATTACTTAAAGATGATTATGATTGTGTACGTAAAGAGATACAATTTAATTTGAATAAATTTCGATTGTGCCATGAAAGTGAAAAGCTGTTCAATGAACGAATTCATCAATTATTAATTTGGTTGAAACAAAAACAAACTTGTTTAAATGAATCAATGCAAGTCACTACAACTACCCCAGGTAATACAACAATTTTAATCGATCTAACGGAAGAATTAAAGAAATTAAAAGTAAGTCTTATATTATCAGACAATTTTCATGTGTTGTCATAACTTGTTTTTCTAATTTTTTTTTTAGCCTTTTGACCATCATCCGCTTTTGTTTATATAAAACAATAAATTAATGGTAGTAAATGTTTATCCAAGTACAATTTCGATAGAACTCATTACGTCTCTTCATTGTGTAACTATAGGAAGAGCATTTGAAACTCCATACTATGAGATGGTGGAGAAGATTTGTAGCTCAGGTGGATGATTGTGGTGGTGGTGTTTGGTTCTCTGAGCTGGGGTTGTTTTGGTTGTGGAGCTTTCATTGTTCTTCTGAACTACTACATCATCAGCACAAACTTCAGACAGAAGTGAAGCATTCGAATTTCTCCACGTTTGACATGTAGCTTGTTCCGCTAACCTCGATCTTGATTGGTTGCTGTTGACCTTAAACATGTCGTTGTTTGCAACTTTGTTTTGATTGTATCCTCTTTTTGATCTGTTTCTTGATCCCATGTCACCTATGATTTTCCTGATTGGTTGATAAATTGGGTCATTGTCGGTGTGTTTGTTGATTGCTGATTGACCTGAGTGCCAAGCTTCTAAAAATTCCTTAGTGTTCTTTGTCCTCCCCCTACCTAGTATTTCCACATTGTTCCAATCGAATGTGTATCCATAATTGTCGGTGTGTATTGATATAAGCGAATCGTTGTCGTGGCGTTTGACTGCTAATTGGTGTTCACGTAAACGAAGCTGAAGAGGCCGTCCACTTTGTCCTATGTAGTATTTTTCACAGTCTGAGCAATTTATTTTGTAGATGGTATTTGGTTTTTCTTCCTTTGTCATTTTGTCCTTTGGTCTACATAGGATTGATTGAAGTGATTTTGTTGGTTTGTGTGCCACACCTATTCCAAATGGTTTCAGTAGTCGTGCTGTATGCTCCGATATGTCTTTTATGTATGTATGTATGTTATAAAAGTAGTCTCTTCAAACTTCCGAAATCCTGTTGTTACATTGAGTGAAAGCAGTTAATATCTTTCTAACATATATTCGTTGTCACCATTCTCGTTCAAATTCTCCGCAGACGTGTTGACCAAGATTGCTCTGTTTTTCTTCAACATGTCCTCCGGTCGATTTCCATAAGACTGACACAAACATTGAAAATATTTTAATGCAGTATAAGTTATTCTTATTTACTGAACAGGCGAAATGAAATATACCAATTATTCTTCGAAAGTTGCATGACAATCGGTTCAAGAATGACTCATTATTTTCTTGTAAACATCAACAAAATAAGATAATTCAATTTAAGGAAAAATTTTTGTTTTAGTCTTATCGTGTACTGTTTATTCATTCATTCTCTTACTACTTTCTCGATTGATTTGTTTTCGCATATTCAGAATTTATCAGAAGACATTGAAAATTATCAATCCGCTATTGAAGAGATTACATTAAGCGGTGAACAATTATGTAAATCAGGTGGATGTAAGCATTACAATAATTTTTTAAAAATATTTTATTGAGTTTAATTATTCGCATTGATCACTTAAAACGTTGCTTCATAATTGACAAAATAGAAAGAACAGATAATATACGATTGATATCAAAATGAAAAGCTTCGCTGAAAACTAGTAACTGTTGTAGTTTTAAGTCTATTCTTACACTTACCGTCATATCGATCAAACAATAGGTCACCTAGAATTTTTCTCACATCCTAAATGAGTTATTTTACAACCGTTTAGACTGTAACGGGTGAGGCTATGTCCCATATCTATTAGATATACAATCAATCCATAAACTTCGATCTTGATAGTTTAGTAATGTTGTGGTTTCAGATGACTGACTATGGTTAGACGATTATTGAAGTTCATGAGGCACTTGACAGCTGTTTCATCTGAGTATGGGAGTTATGATCAGTGCACACTCATGACCTCGCCAGTTATCCAACCCAGGATCCCTAGGCCCCTACTTAGTATCATTGAATTTTACACGTAAACCTATGACTCAAAGGTGAGTACATAATGTTGTACTTGGGTTATCAGCTTTATTAATCACTGCAATTTAGCTTAGCACTTTCATCGTTGACCTCATAAAAGCATCGTCTCGATAGTGAAATCAACTAATCGCATGAATATCATCTACACAATAAACCGTTTAGTTACATTCCAGATATATGATTTTTGATAGAGACTATTTGGCTTCCTAAAAATTAGCAGATGAAGTGAACTTGAAATTCACGTGACTCTGTACTGAAAATTTGACTCATTTAACCATCCAGTTTTTATTTATCTATACATAAAGATACAAATCCTATTATAGAAAGAGTAGAAATTGAGTGAAATGACATTTTGTAGAGTAGATGGATTATGACCATTAATGATAACAACAATAACAATAATAATTAATGATAACAGTAGAATCTAGGACGCGTGTTCCGTCCTATCTGGAACTCCGTCAGCTGGATATGCCTGAATTTCGGTGTCAATTTTCATACCGATACTCAAATAAAATTGAGTTTCTCTATTCAGAAAAACTGTTAGTGGAAAGAAAGATCAAAGTCTTTCTTTTGAGTAGTTTGAAATAAATATGGATATTCATATAGAAGCAATAATAATAGCAATTACTATTCATTAAAAGCTTTATTCTATGATTTCTTTCTGCCATAGTCCTTATAAATGAAGAATCTATACAAAATCGATTAATCAATCTAAGTGATATGTATGAAGAATTACGATCAGATACAAGACGAAAACTGTTTATTTTAGAATCAGCTTTACCTGTCGCTCAATGTTTAACATCCTCTGTGAATACGCTTAGTTTGCGTATGCTTAATGTTGAATCACGGTTTGATACATTACTGAAAAACAATACAACAAAAGACGTTAATTTAACCCAAATGGAGAAATCAATAATAGATCAATTAGAATATGAAATGATCAATGGATTAGAACCACAATACGAACAGGTTCATAATCTTTGGAATCAATTAAAACAAATTTGCAAACCTATGGATTTGTTTACTAATCCTTCAACATTGACAACAATACAATTGCCTAACCATTCGGACAGTAAACTTGGACATGTGGAACAAATCGACAATGAATTAAAACGATATGATGAATTCAATAAAAAGGTTAGTTGGAATTAGTGCTTTATGATTTGTTAGTTAAAATCGATACCTCCATGATACTTCCATCTTCAATCGATCAAGTAATAGAACGATTAAAAGCCAGGGAGTTATAATAAAGAGATATTCAACCTTAAGCTGGTAATGTTAAATAACATGCGTTCACAATCCCACACGAAACAGAAGTCAGCCGCTTCATGTTTCAGGACCTATTTGTAATCCGTCGGGGCCTACACATTGAAATTCAATCAGTTTTACCATAGAGTTATAGTCACTGAACACTTTCGGTTACTCCCGACTTAGTTGAATTCATATATAATAACTTCTCAGTTGGAAATTCATCTGGAAAGCTATTCATTAGTGACCCCACTCTTGAATACAACTTGATATAATACAATCAAGAAATACTGAGCGTTTTACTAGCATAACGTGTTCCAACCTTACCAATGATAAATGAAAAAGGGAAACAATAGTAAAGCGAAGGAACAGTATATTACAATCCGTACGAAGATTGCGAACAGATAGTTGAAATTGTTGTCTCATGTGAACAATAATGTTGCATGAATTGTAGTGGATTTTTTGGTTGTACACCTTAGGAACGTTTAAAATATTGTATAACTAAAAAGTAGTTTTCATCATCAATCTACTACTCTGTGGTCAGTGCATATTTTAACAATTCACTTTGTATTCCACTTATATATACATATATGTTCTGCATTCAGTAATTTCTCTACTTTTATCTTTCATTCAAATTTATGTATGTATACAACATGTATAGCTTACTGATTTAGCCAAACTTCTGGGTAGTAATCGTCAAAAAGCTAAACAATTAATGCATAAATTAGAAATTAAATCACAATGGTTAGACTTGGCATTGAAACGTTTCGATCCGAAAATATCCACTACACCATCGCTAGATTGGGATCATTATTCGGATGAAAATCATTTTAACATGAATGAATCAATGGAGAAAATGCCAACTATCAATTCACTTGGTACGGAATTTCCTTATTTAGCTGTACTACCCTATCAACCTGTTATGTTAGATAAATTACACACCAGAATAGAACAATTTCAAGGGAATTGGAAAAAGCATCAAATTGATTTACAACAATTATGTGATCAAATTCATGACATCATACAACTATCTACATTATCAACCAATTCCGCTAATCGCAATACAATTATCACCTCATCACCTATGAAAACAAACAAATCTTATATACCATTCACCACAGATAAATTTTATCATGAATTAAGTGATGCTGTGTCAAATGTTTCAAAACAAATGATCACACTTGACAATCGATTGAGTCAAACAGAAATTAGATTTGCTGAAGTTTATCCATTAGCTAAATGTTTCACAACAGATATGGTTGAATTTCAAAAATGGCTTCAACATATTGAACAAATGAAAAATGATCTTGTTGACACTGTATCCGATGCCAATATTACCGCTGATGATTTCGGTGGTAATCGTAAACAAGTTGAACTGATTAAGGTAACTACTGTTAGTGTTTCAAAATTAAGCATAATTCATTAATTTTATTGAAAAAAGAATTCAGTAGTTATCTGAAGTTAATGATATGGTATTAGTAGTAGTAGTACGGCGTGATAGTCAAGTCTCCATGTCATCAGTTGATGAATGACTTGGAAAATTTGATTCCTGTGCTTCTTTATGTGATCAAGATTTTTATATCTTTTGATCATTGCACTAATATAAAGCGTCTCTTCTTTTCGATCAGTTGTTCTGTCATTCCAAATTTTGAAGTTAATAGTTCAGTTTTTGAAAGTAATTCCTTCCCTCACATATATACATAATCAGATAACTGTCTTCCTTTGCAGCAGTTAGTCTAAAAGTTTGGTTTGTAACACTATAAACATTCACTATAACTTTAATTATATCAAAAACATTTTGAAATATTGATATACCATAATTAAAATTTGTAGTTATCAGTACCATGGTTAGACTTGATAGTTTCAAAGAGGTTGAGCATTAATACTAGTAAAATAATTATAGTTTTTGGTAATCTCCTAACGGGTAGAGATTTGTATTTCTGACATTTTGTGACTTAATGTGAGTCACTTCTTCCAAGGTCTACATGGACAATCTGTCACCGTAGTCACGTAATCTATTTTACCAATCTCTATACAACAGAAAAATTTCACAAAAAAGTAGTACTATTGAGTTATTTATCAATAATAAACGATCAATCAAGGATAAAAAATAAAAGACACCAAACAATCCATGGCCATTTACCTATCTAGGTCAATTAATAATAGCCCCCACTGTTCCATGATATTTTGAAGCATATCGAACTAATATTACGTCGTCCAATTGCAGCTGTCCTTGAATGAAATCGATTTTACTAAAAAATTACCCTCAAGTCTAGACGCAATCATATTCCCCGGCTAGTTGGTTTATGGGAAATCTTCTATAATATTTATTCTCATTGGAATTGTGAACCGAACAATGTTAGGCACCCATCGGGAACCTAGCAGCAGTGGACCGCTGTTTCTTCCCAGTTTGAGACACATCAGCAATGCATATCCACGACCCCGCGAGTGGGAATCGAACCCTGGACCTATTTCGTTGCTCGTGAACGATTTACTTCCTGACCACTAAACCGGATTCCAATGGTGGTCTAATATTGATCAGTTCATGATCTCAATGGGATTCAACAATCTCCACAACACTGTAGTGACAACTGTCATGTGCTAGCTACCGGCTAAGTTTGTGAAGAGTTCCATTGAGAAGCTGTGATCACTGAAGCTCAGCCGTGTCAAGTATGGGGCAGTTACTTACCGAAGATGATGGATGATGATCTCGCAGTATCATAGATTGATTGAAGTTTTAGACATTAATACTAGTGAAGTTAGCGCGCGTGACCAGGAGTCGTGGGTTCGGTTCCCACTCCTGGGGTCGGGGATGCGCTTTGCTAAAGTGTTTCACATTAGGATAAGACAGTGGTCCATCGCTTCCAAGTTTCCAAGGGTTCCTTAACATTGTTTGATTCATGATTTCAGTAAAACTCAACAACACAACATAGCTAACCCTTTACCTTATGTTTATCGCTTATTTTTATTCGACAATTTTCAGATAACCGTTAACTATGTGTTTTTAAGTTCCTTAATCACTTACCTCAATACCATCCATAGTTTTTTGGTCAGCGTACTCCTTAATTGAATTTGAGTTGGATACGGTCATATCAGATATTTGTCTAACTTAGGCCTCTGCTTATTCAAACTTATGAAGTTTTGTCAAACTAAACAACTCTTTAATTGCCCACAGTACAACATTCTATTCCACAAATCTCAAAGTATACGTGTCACTATTCAGCTATGTACATGGAAGTTTATATGTGAAAAGTTTTGAAAAAAAGATCTGAAGCATAAAAGTTAGCTGTGTAATTCGTTTAGCCACAGTTCCCGAGAATTCTTTCATCATATTGACACAATAAACACTGTCTCTAGAAATATCATCAAACAATCAAAATACACGAACTCATTCATCATAACCTAACATTGAACTCAAGTACACCAAATATGCATTCACTTAGTCTAGTGGATGTATATATTGTAACTCTACCAACCATAGTTAGTCAACATTAAGGATAAGGCGAATATGATCAACCTTATTGCTGAATGACTGTTTTGTGTGAATAATGACTAAAGTTTTATCATTTTTTAATGAATATTTTCTTATATCTTCCTAATATTTACGTATTATTATTATTGACCATTTATTTGTGAAGAGTTTGGATGATGAGATCGAACGTCAAAAATCTGTATTGGATAGAATTTTAAGAACAAGTGGACCATTATTATCTTTAATTGCTCCGGATGAAGCTAATGCCGTTCGTTTGCAAGTTAAACAAATCTGTGATAATTATGCTAATTTACGTAAGCTGATTAAAACTCGTGTAATCAAAGCAGAAGCGAATTTGAAACAATCAGATGAAGTGAGTTTGTCTGTTAGTTTTATCCCATATTATACATCCTCACTTAGTTTTATTACACACAATTAAAAGCATGTTTAATGACATACTCTTATCTTTACTTAACTGCTAATCAGTCGTACACGTTTTTCTCAGCTGAAGAACTACGATGATATGTTGCTTTGAAATCTCTAATATTGTTAATTAGTCAGTCAGGTTACGGTTATGATGGCGGATGTCACTTCCCATCCGTCCACACCATTTAAGAGCTTTTCTTGAGGAACATGAAAAGGAAATTGGATTAGCGTTGATCTTGGCAACCTGAAAGTGTGACTGCAGAGCACAAGGGACAACTGCTTGAAGCCGGTCACATGCGGCCTTTTGATGGGAAGTTTTTGAGGTTTTAGCTTTGCTCTTCAAATGGCCTTATCGCTGGAGATGGAAATCCGTGAGGTAAAGTGAGGTGTGATATTTTTAGGGTCGACCTTTTCTAACCCCTTCCTTCCATGTGAGAAAGCAGCATCGATGGAGGTGCTGGATGTCCGAAGAAAATACCTTACTGCTGTCACACCCCTCTACGGTTAGCAGTACAAATTCTCCGTCAGACCTTGAGTTGCTGCTTTTAGTCTCACAGTTCTCCAATCGACCTGCCTGGCATGGTAGGATCCAAATGTATACATGTTTCAGCTAATATAGTTCGGTTGGATCATCACGATAGGCAAGCTTGACCACCACGTCTAGGCAGCAGCTACAGTCCAATGTACTACAACTAGCAGTAGTCATAATAACGATATATAACTGTGTCCTTGTTCATGTCATAGTTTCCATATTTGAAATTTGTATGAATGTCTGTCTTCTAACATTTTAGTTTGTCGAGCAATTACATTCAATGTCAGACCTTTTTGCTGCTATATCAGAACAAGCTGTTCGACTAGGTGTTCCTTTGGAAGTTTCTGGTACAACTATTAAGCCATCCATATTATCTAATGTTCAAAATGAAACTTCAAAACAGTTACTTGATCAACATCAGGCTTTAGATATGTTGGGTAGAATACATTCAATGACAAGTGTTCAACCAGATCATTTAGAAGAACATATCAATGGAACATCTACTCTTATAGAAGCGTTGGAATGTCGCTTACCAGAATTGGAAGCACTTACTATTAGTATTCGTGCTCAATTAGAATCGAAACCGACTGTCAAAGAGTCGACTACCACACGTGAACCAGGAACAGTTGAAGTAATTGAATCGGTTGATTTAGAAGCAGGTTAGTTTGATTGTTCTATTATATTCCCCATATTTCATGTTTCACTGCTATTTATATTTTGCTGAAAAGTTAACGTATACTCTTCTCTCTCCAATAAACATATTTGATCCATACAAGATTAATCTCAAAGTACTACTAAACAGTTCACTGCCAGGTGTCCAGTGCTTTTAATTTACATTGGTTGTTTAGTTAAATTCAGTCCACAGTATGAACTAAGAACTGTAGAACTTCGACGAACCTCTATCACTTATTTACACTATTTATTGCATAAGTCCTCTGAAAATATTTCTGAACTATGGAGTCTTTCTTGAACACCGCATAGATTTCAATAGTATTTACAGTTTATTTTATCAGTGTTCAAAGTATCACCGAAGTTGGGGAATTCCAGTGCTACTTACAGATTAACTGGTTTAAAAATATTGGGTAGCATAGTCATAAAAATGCAAAAGCTATTAACTTCCCATAGAACATTACTCCTATGCATATGAGACTGTTGTTATTTCATGTCAGATACTACTCGTCAATATAATTTGTTAAGATCCAGAATTCAATCACCTGTATAAGCCAAATTATTTTATTCATTTAGGTTTAATAGTAATTTCTTAATTGATTCAACTATTTTTCTTTTCAAATTTACATAACATACTTATTTTCCAGGCCAATTATACGCTTTACATAGTTCCAGTAAGCATTTATGATATGATGCATGTTACGTATCGTTTCATTGATTTTATTTTCTGTTAGTACATTTTTTTTGGAGAAATCATATCTAGTTATAGAAATGCATATAATTTCTTTCCTAATGATTATAGAGTTGCATAAAATAATTGAAACAGTATATTATTTATGTAAAAGCACGTATGTTTAATTGGTGATGGTAACTTTATTTAATGCAATAATAATTTAATGTAATTACGTAGTGTTGACAAAAAAGTTAACTAATACCATACTGACATCAGACAGTCGATTGTTGAAAACAATCTTTTCACATGTGACCATCCACCGTATCTATAAATTTATGTGTATCTGTTAAAGCAGCTACATTGACCGAACAGAAAGAAGAGCGTACCTTTTATGAACATGTTCTTTAAAGCGTTTGTACAATAAAAAGGTTCACTTTACACTGTGCAATCACCAAACATCTCTTGAATACAGGACTTCAGGTTGATACTTTGCAATCTTTCAAGGCGATTTAAAAACAGTCAAGCTCTAGTCTTCTGAAGTTTGCCTAAGCCATTGCTATCAGGCGCATAAAACCTGATCTAGGTGTTTAAAAAGAGATAGTTGTTAATCTTTCTTTATCTTGGCAATAAATATTCCTCCATTACATCATTAGATTTCGTTAAACTCTTTCTTTTAACCAATTATCTTATTACCTTTGATTTCGACTTTCTTCTAGATTAGTAATTTAATTTCGATAAACTAAGCTTCAATCATTTTATTCTCATTTATTACTAGAGTTTATTCTTTACCTATCCACTTGTTTCTAGCCTTTTACACTTTTTTTTTACCATCGATGTTGTAGAATGTTCTTCTGTATAAAGTACATATTTATTCGCAATCTTTTATCTATTCTATGAAAATCATTTACACTTTTGCTTATACCATTCTGATGTATGATCAAAGCACCTTCCAACTAAACTCTTTCATGTTAGTGATTTGAATCTAATTCTGAGTTAAGATTTTAAATATTACACATTTTAAGCAGTAGACAAGAACCAAACGAAATAAAATGAATTCATCTTATTCTGCTCAAATTTTTGTGTTTGCTCTCTTCAACGTAATAAACGGAATTGTGTATAAAATAAGAAAATAGTTTGTTTCATCAAACTACTGAGTTTTATTAAGTAGTACTAATTTAATAAAGTCATACACGAAAACCGATAAGCGAAAAACTGAAACGTTTATATCCTTTCAATTCAAAATGTTCAATTTGTCACCACTAAATATGTGGATTGTTTCCATTACCATTCTCAGAAGGAATCGTTTATATCGTTTTGTAAATGATCGCTATATTTTCGAAAATCAATAAATTCCCTATATTTATCCAGTCTTAATGATTCACTTGTAATGTATTTCCTATTCCATACTTTAAATTGTTAGTTTTCGCATGTTAGACGTGTATTGATTACTTATCGATAAGATTATAATTTCGATAGAATGGGGATTTTGTTTTTATTTTAAGTTGTAAATTTTCTTTTTGTTATTCTTACTTTGTTAACCTTGATTGTTGTTTTATATCGAAATGTTGTTTGAAGGACTAGTGTGTCATGTTTTGTGCACCTTTTCATTTTTCACATGTGAATATATTTGTGTGTGTGTGTGTGCATGTGTATATATGTTTTGCACGATTAGTTCAACAATGTTTTGTGATCATGAATTGTCTCTAGTGCAATGAATGAAATATGTTAGGATCTGATTACTTTATATCTCATAATATATTGAGTTGAACACGTTAATGAATTACAGAATAAAATAAGTTATCTACAAAATATATATTCAAGATATTTATAGTTCATTCATTCGAATATTAAAAATAAGGATAAACAATCCGAGATGAAGTGAGCATGAGAGTTGATAACACGCACACAAACTCTAGTTTAATGTTTATAAGTAGTATATGAAATACAAGTAAATAAATGCATGTAAATATACATAAAGCTCTCAAGATTACCAGTAAATAAGCCTAATATACATTGTACAAGATAACCAATCAAATCAAAATGATTCATTTGTTCATAAGTTAACATAAACTCATATGAGAGTTTTTTATATGTAATCATTAGAAAGAAGTGTTTGATATATTCGTGAAAATAAAATAATCCAATACAAATTGAAATGAATGTTTATTCCGTTGAAAAGTTAAGGACCATTTTTATGCCGGTTTCGTGTTGTTGATGCTCCTTGTTGTTGTCGGTGCTGGTGTCGTTCTTTTTCTTCTTGTCATTTCGAACATGAACTACTGTTGATCACAGTTTCTAGCAAAATAAGACATGACAAGAAAAAACAACACAAATTGTTCATGATGACTCTACTGTCTCCTTCCCTCTTAAACCACTAGCTAATGATTTCTAATACATTTTAGTGATTAACAAGAAAAACCAATCAATGATGACGTCATATTGTCATAGAAATGCCAGAAATATTAGGAACATTTCATACGGGTTAAAAAGTATACAATTATGCTAATATAAGATTATTGCATGATAGAGATATGCAGAAATTAATCTGTTCAACACTGGTTGTGGCATTCAATAGAATAACAAGTTTTTTTTTTAATTCTAGACGAAAACTAAAATTCACTATTGTTCGGATCATTATTCATAGGAATTAGTATTTTGACAGAAAAATGAGGAATTACTGTAATCATTCTCTCTTTTTTGAAAAAAAATAAAATAAAATCTACAATTAGTTTCTTATTACGTAGTAAATAATTCATATTTGTAAGATGAGTTATGTTTTTTCTAAAACTACTGTATATATATATATATATATATATATATATATATATATATGTATATATATATATATATATGTATATATATATATATATATATATATATATAAGAAAGTCTTCAATACTGACTGTATTGGTTGTTTTATTTTTTGTAATTCTTACAAATATGTTGATAAGATTATTATTATTATTATTATTATTATTATTATTATTATTATTATTATTAATCACTGTTCTCTGCTTTTCTCGTTTTAATTAGTTTTGAAAAATGCTGAAAAACTTCAAACAGACTGGATACAATTGCACAATAAATTAAATTCACGTGTAACTACATTACAATCAGCTTATAAAACATCATCAGAACAATTTTGGCCAATGATCACTGAAATAAAGCATAGATTAGATCAAATTCACCAATCATTAGATATTATTGGATCCGGTTGCAGTTTAAATGATCCATGCATTCGACGTGATCCATTCGATGCAAACAGTTATCAAGAACAATATAAAGATTTGCATGAATTACGTGACGAATTAAATGATGTCCACCAACAATTGAATCAATCCTATGAAGCTGGTCAAAAATTAATTGATTTAATGAATGGACAAATGAATGATCATTCAGCACAAACAACAACACTACAACCAACCATTAAAAAAATGACTGATAGTTTTACTTTAAGACGAGATGAAGAACAAGCTATACGTAATGAAGTGGATTATGCTTTGCATGGTTTAAAAATATCACAACAACAACTTGTTGATAAATGTGAACGTTTAATTAAACAATGCCATGAACGTGAATTAAGCGCTGTACAATTTAAGGTAGGCTAATCAATAAGTAATTCACTTCTTTGTTTTTTGATTAAAACAAGAAATCGGAACATATTTATTGTCTATATATTGATTTGTTATAAATATCCTCAGTATATTTTTTCATTTGAATAAGCCATAGTCTTCTTTTCTTTTCATTGATAATAAATGTAAATCGGATGGTCTCTCAATACATGGTCAGTAGTTAACTGAACCTTTACTACTTGCTGAATAGTCAGTTAGAAAACAGATGCTTTCTCATCGAAAGTTTAATTGAAGTTTCTGAACAGATCTGCCAAAATTTAGGTTGAATGGTCGTTGACAGAAAGAACTGTGAATACCTAAGTGATTATTTGATCTACAGAATGATATACTACTTTAAGTACTCTAACTATAGTATATTTTTGTGCATCACATATGTACTTTGACACAAATGATGACTTAACAAGAAGACGACATTATATATATATGTATATATATATATATATATATATGCTTCAAAGTCCACACATCATAGTTTGTCGACACATTTGTTTGATACATTCTTTGTTAGAGAGTGATGATACGAAAATTGTTCTTTGTAGTATGAAATTTCGACTAAAACCAGCTTAGCTTTGACTTATATAAGTAATAAGAAGTACTACATTTGTATGAGAAGTCCACCTCATTAAATTCCTAACAATCATTATTGACCATCGTTTTTCAAATTATATTCAAAGGTTTTATTTCGCTTTCTCTCAGATATATAACTCAATTCACTATACTCTTCAACGTGTCCTTTAAAATATCTCCCTATTCTTTCTCGTTACTTAAACGCTAATACAGTAGTATTTTTTTAAATCAGTTAAAATGAACTGACGGAATACGCAATTTTTATCATTGTGTACATACATACCCTTGTTTCCTATCTTTCTTTTCATTCTAGTCTGATTTAGTAGATTTAATGAAATGGTTAACAGAACAAGAAAATATATGGGATAATTTCCAACCTATATCAAATAATGTTGATACTGTTACAAAACAATTAAATGAAGTTATTCAATGGAATGATAATTTAATGAATAAACATTCAGAAGTAGAAGCATTAAATTGGTTAGCTGGAAAATTAATGTCTAATTCCGATAACGAACGTTTCACCTTAGATGATACAAGTAAGAACAATTAATTAATTAAATAGTTTTGCTTATTTATAATTGATTCATAGCTTATATTCTGTTTTCTTTTAAATAAGTGATCTTTTTTTGAGAAATCCTCAGTGTTAGCCTGATCCTTTCTACTTACTAGTAAAGCTAAATCATACAACGCTATTATGTATTATGTTTAGTAAGTGTGAAAAGTAATTCATTGAAATTTCATTAGCTTATTCGCAAACATGAAATGATCAATATTCAATTATGAAGCTAATGATTGATAACATTCAGAATACTTTATATTTTTTAATCACACCAGCTTCTTTTTCATCGCTATTTGTTTTGTCAGTGTCTGGAGCCACTTTAACGATCATCCAATTTATTACTATATCGCTATAGATTCATCCCTGATCAAGAACACTATGATATCCGTTTTACTTTACTTTTTCGGATCTATGGATTTTTGAAGTTCTATAACTCTTCATATCCAACTATTTTATTGTCTGTAATCCAAGGTAATACAAACAGGATATTGTCAACAGTGTCAACGGTATAACTGGCTTTTCTTGAGTTACTTACAAGTTTCTCTCATGATAATCTATCCTTTTCATTTTTGTTGTGCTCGTTACCGATAACAATTGACGTAAAACAAGAAAGATTGGTTGAGCAAAGAGAGAGTTCTCTTTTAGGCGAATTCATTTTCAAAGATGTATAGTCGCAACTATATATACGTTTTTTCACATGGTGATAATTATATTAATAGTGATCGTAAAAATTCTGCTAAACATGATAATATTGAGTTAAATTAGATAAAGGTATAAAACGTTATTTTGATGAAGGAAATTAAGAATTATATTTCTGTTGATGACGGCTTGGTATATTCATCATGAAGATTAATAAAGAAGTTATCGTTGGAAAGGAAACACTCAACGTGATCAGATAAAATGTTTAAATTAAGATGAACTGTAATCAGAAGGATCATGGGAAGAGAAACAACTCAGTTAGGGGGGTAAAAGGTCTTTTGAGAAGAAGACGAACAGAAAACAGATAGCTGTGAAGAAACAAAAAATTTTATTTTAACGACAGATTAAAACCATGGTAGAAAAAACCGTTGTAGCAGTTTCTGCTGTACTCATAATTTTGGTTTTTCCAGATGTATGTCAAGTGTTTCGGCAAAGCTAACTAAGTGCCTTTGACAGCTTTCTGTTTACTTTAGAGATGACTTTGAGCGCAGAACCCATTTTGGCCGAATGGCGAGGTGTTCGATTATTGAACTTCTCACTGACCCTTTTCCTCCTCTTTCCAATCAAGCTGAATAATGTTCTCGAATTTTTCTAGATGAAATACACATCGAATGATCTATATACTTAGCTCCACAGGTAAATTGATGAAAACACATGAGTTAAAGAACGAAGATGATAAGATCATATGAAAGAGAAGATACAGTTTCTTAGCCTGAATGTATACACTCTATCATAAAAATTCATTTGCCAAACAAATGTGTTCTTGATTGTCTTCTTTTACATGTCTTCTAGTCTTCAAATACTGATGATACCGTACCTCCAGATCCGACACTTCGCTTCGGCAATAACCTCGAGGCGACACTCTGCTGCATATCCACTGCAGAACACTTGTAAGCTCCATAGTGAGTAGTATACACCACAATGGAACTGAAGTGTGATTATTATTTGATCGATAGGCAATATTTAAATGAAATCTCTAATCAGAATCAAATCAGCTATCTATCCACTTCATAACTAATAGATTACTATTCAGTCCCAATAAATTTCATTCAACTATAATTCTTCTTTTAATAGGTGATGATGGAACATTTCCTGTACAAAATACAACATCATTGCAATATGATCTAACTGCAGCTAATCGACGATGGGATAATTTATTAGATTCCGGCAATAACAGACGTCATCGTTTACAAACTGTTCTACTTGGATTAGGTGAATTTGAATGTGCTATAGACGGATTAATCAAATGGATTGATCAAACACAAACAACTGTAGATCAGATACCTATACGTCGAGCTAATATTCGAGGCTTAGAAGCGGATTTAGCACGTATTAAAGTGAGTCATTAGTTTTTTTTTTTTTGAGATGAACAACATTTTCATTCAGTGTTTATTCATTTGCTATACTGATGGTATGATAAGCACAGTTATTATTGATTAGAACAGTGTTCATTGTTCGAAATCGGTTTATTTCCTTAATTAGTAGTGTCTTCATTCCTTATCGATCAACACTTTATCGAACTATTCATACCAATCTCTCTAGGAAATGATCGTTCACTTCTCCATAATGGATGGCGAAAAAATCCTTAATATTAGGTTAATTGTGATAAAAGTGAAGTTATATGAGTTTTTATAGTACAGAAACTAAAACAGTACTCAATGCACATTAACAATACAAATGTCTAGTTAACAGTCCATACTAATCTGTTTTTTGTAAAAGTGAATGTTACGGTTTGACTAACTAGTAAAATATCTCTTAGAATCCATTAACCACTCTCAAATACCAGTATTCGATAAATGTTCTTCATGTTTTTAATACTAAAAACAGAATTATTTATTTAGAATGTTGTGATCAATAGAATAATAATATTCAAACTAGAGGGTGAAAAATGGTGACATTGAATATTTAGGAATTTTGAATATCAATACATAGTTTGTTATAAAGTTAAAGCATGACAACAAACTACTTACTTACTTACTTAGTACGAGTGAACAGTTGATGATATTGAGTAATAATAATAATAATAATAATAATAATAATAATGATAATAATAATAATAATAATGTCTGGGTTTTTAACTATTTCTATATTTAAAAAAAATCCGGCTTTTGAATTGAGCAAAACCAAGCTCAAGATACTGATGAATAGCTTGTTCGATCGAATATCTTCGTGTTTAGAGTAACAAATTTTCTAACCATTTCTAAAGAATAGGGTTTCTAGAGGAGGACAACGCTACCAAACAGGTTTCGATTCCAATTATTCCCTATTTGTTTTATCCACAGACTTGATATCTTTACCGGCATATACTATAGTTCAGAATCAAATTAAGAACTAGTTAAAATCTCTGATTTGATGAAAAATGTGCTTCTGATTAATTGTCTCCTTAACTTCAAATAAGTCATCATTTCTTACATTTCTCCCTTTTTTCTATCTTTTCCATATTCTTTGGTTTGTTTCATGTGGTTTTATCATTTTAATGTTGTATGATGTTAATCTATGTGGGATATGGTGTAAATGTGTGCCTATTTCTGTATGTGTTCGTGTGTGTTTATTTTTTCGTTTGATATGGTTATGGGCATAAAAATTGATTTAATTAATAATGGCAATTATTATTTTGGTTATATCTGCTCATACATCATAAAGTTATTTGTTAAACTGATTACACGCTACCAGTACAATGTTATGGTTTTAAATCGTCTCGGTACTGAGAATGAAAATGAAGTAATGATTTTTAATAGTATCGTGTTTATTTTTCCAACCTCAGACTTTTAAGTTACTCTATGTGGTGGTAGATATACATATATGTGTATTTTTACGTTGGATTATGAACAAATTACACTACTAATATCTTTGATTTATCTATACTACTTACAAGTAGCTGTGAGATATTTTCCTAATATTAGTTAATAAGGCATCTAGTTAATAATCTTTGAAGCATTATTTCATTCTTTCATCATACTAACATCCTTTAGTATCCATTTGAGTGTACCAAAGTGGGTTGTCAGTTGGACAGCATATTTCAGGAATTCAAACCGGATTTTCAAGAATACAGAATGCATATGAATTGGCCAAGGAATCAGTAATACCAGACTACACTGTCATGGACTTTCAGTCAAACATCCTTTTACGTTTGATGTTCTTCCAAAGGCTGTAGTATCCTTTAGATAGGTTTACTAAATAGTCATCATTTTGAGATATATAGATCCTTAATATGGTACAAAGTTATTTTAACTCTTTTTAACATCATACTGTATAATTTCTTTATAGACATAACAACTCTGAAATATATACACAAAATGTCTAGCATAAAGTATTTCTGGTCATAATAAGCATCCTGAGAAACACTGGATTGATAATTTGACTAACTGACTAGTAATTCAGTACATTTCAGTTCCGAAATAATAATGCCTAGTTGTAGCTATAGTACTTTAGTGCCTGTTGTTGACTCCATAACAATCAAATATCGACCATGTTAATGAGCTATATATCCTACTTCACTTCGTCTATGTTCTGTTGACAAGTCCCGTTAATAACAACGAGGATATACAAATTATGAAACGATTGTCTTGGATGCTCGTATCTCAAACAGTTTTTGTGGCTGTATTAGATTAGGCGTTAGGCTCACCACTTTTTCTTTCTTTTTCCCGTTAAGGTAATTCATCACAATATTAACAGTCATCAATTAGCTGTGGTAAGAATAGAAGAACAAGCAAGAAAATTAGAACGTGCAGATTCCAAGAAAATAAATAAATCTCCTGCATTAGATTCTACTAATAAAGATGTCAAAAGCAATGCACAAACTCCAGATTTGAAAATATCAGATATACGCGATAAAATTATTCAAATGAATAAAGCATGGGAACATTTGAAATTGAGTGTACGTAATAAACAAGCTGCATTGGAAGAAGCATTGAGTGAGGTATGATAATCTATGAAAATAATCCCTTCTTGTTTTTTGTTTTAAAGCAGTGACTGCTTATTGATTCTTCAAACCCTCTAGTTTTGACTTTCTAAACTTTTCTCACTGAATCATACTTCATGAATAATATCTTCTAATCCTAAGCTCTCTGATTACTTCTAATACCTTTACTACCTCTACTACTATTGGATTTGAATTGACAATTATATCTCTGTGCTAATGTGATATGGCAACATGAACTGATGTACTTACGTACGAAGTTCTACGTTGCATCTAATTGACTGACTGACTTATTGATAGTCCATATTAGTTTGAGTAATAGAGAATTATTACTTATCCACAATCCACTTCACGTAATACATATCTATGCCGAGAGTTCCACTTTGTAAGTTATTAGAAAATATCACAAGCTTCATATTTATTATTTCAATGATGACAAAAGAAAGATAAGACTTTCACCGGAACAGTAGAATCTGAAAGAGGATAATGGATTAAATATGTAGTAAATTTGACCTTAACCATCAGTTGAATGAAAGAAACATAACAACTATCTTTCAATATAATGTCTGCAATTCTCTTACAGACATTGATAGTTTAAATGATTCCAAACCGTTTTTTCTTAATTTTGTAGACCTTTAATTTTCATGGTCGATTGGATCAACTGATACGTCGCACTCGCCAGTTAAAAAGTCGGATGCCTCCACCAGGTGCACGCATTATGGGTGGTTTACCAGATAGTGCACGTGAACAATTACGTCGTTTTATAGAAGTTTATGATGAACTTGTACAAATTGGATCAGAGGTAAATATTGTCTTATACTCTAACTATTTACCGTATGCTTATTGTAGACAACAATAGTTACTTGTGTATTATTCATTCTTTTTTATTTGTCTTTCATGAACAGCTTGATGAATTGCGTCGAAATTCAGCTGCTTTATTAGTGAATCAATCTGCCACAGAACCATCGAATCAATTAACTATGAATCTTGAACGTTTCTGTCAACATCATGCTCAATTGTTAAAACACGCTCAAGATATTCGTGATCGTATGGAATTAGGTTTAAAACAAGTAGAAGAATTGCATGATCAATTATCACAAATGATGCAATGGCTTACACAAATGGAACGTGCTATATTACAACAGAAACCAGTTAGTCGTATTGTAGCTCGCCTATTTCAATTAATACGTGATCATACGGAATTACGCAAAGAAATTACTGGACATCGTGATGCTTTAATTAATTTAGATCGTTTAGGAAGTCAAATACAATGTCAATCACAAAAACAAGATGTAATATTGGTGAAAAATCTTCTATCTAGCATTCATACAAGATGGGAACAATTAGTTTCACGTAGTGCAGAACGTACACGTCAACTTAATACTGGTCTAAAGGTTAGTTTGTTTTCTATTGAAATACCACAAAAGTTGTTTTATTTTCTGAAGCAAATATTTCCTACAAAAATTGTTTTTCTCTACTATAAACTATTAGTTATGAATGAATAAATGACAGTCAGTAGGATGAATATATTTTGATTAATATGTAAGAATAATTCATTCACACGATTCATCTTAGCTTTCTGTGACTCAGGTATCAGATAAATGAGTCTTCTTAGTCGTCTGAATACGTACTTTCTTTACTCTAACATGATAGTTTATTGTAGGTAGTGTTCGTTGTGCCTTTACTTTTACATAACATGATGTTCGCCGTTCCATTTCATTTGCTCATCTAACATAAAATTCAAAAATTACAATGTCTTGTTTGATTCCTCATCTTTGACAATTTTGATGGCACATGAGCGCATTGTTTAGGGGACTTAGCTTTCATGACTTAAGCACCATAATTGGAATCTGCTTGAAATACTTTAATTTAGACAATCTCCTTACTATCAATGGTTCTTACATAGAAGTGCTTTTCAAAGATGAATAGATGAGCACGTTTATTTCCGACCTTACATCGCTTATCAATGACTGACTCAGCATATCTCTGGTAAGCTAACTTAAATACAGTTTACTTTTCAGGTAGTGTAGACAATACTGTAGAGATTAGTTGCTCATAATTCAGGAATAATTCACATAAGAGATTAATAATTAGCGATAATAGCCCAGACACATATTTCAAGACGAATTTCACATGGTTAGCTTCAGATCTTAGAAACTCTTCTGTATTCGTATTACTGTACAACAGACTACTCAAAAACACTTTATGTATGAGGGGTGATGAACGCCTATTTTTGAAGATTTGTTGTTATTATTATTACTCATTATAACCTTCTTTAAACGTTTGTATGTAATTTTCACTATCATTGTTAATAAGTGGATTATTCAGATTTTTATTTATCGTAATTATTTTCTCCATAATATTGATTTTCTTAATTCACTGTAGATAGCTTTCTCATGAGAATGCACAAACGAGTTTTTCTTAAGTCGACTCTTTCTTATCATGTTGAATTTGTAAAGTAATGACTGACAATAGAAATACATATACTACTTAAAGGTTACAATCTTTTCCACTAATTTTTAGGAGGCCAGTAATTTTCTGGATAATTGGACATTATTAACAGATTGGTTAAAAGAACAACTAGTTTCATTGGAGGAAGATGGTGATCGTGTTGCTACAAGACCTGAGAAAGTTGCCTATCAGTTAGCATTACATCGTGAGTTACAGCGTGCATTAAGCACTCGCACAGTAGCTTATGATGGAGTACGTCGTTACGCTAGACAACTACGTGATAGAGCACCAGTATGTGATCATGATGAATTAGATGATATGGTCAGCGAATTGAAACATTTATGGCAAGCAGTGTGTACAAAAGCCTTAGCCAGGTAATTCCATAATCTCTAATCTTCTCCTAATTAATATTAAACATGACCAAATTTGAAACTCATAAATTTATCAAACAATAAATATGATCTACTACAGAATTTCGCATACATAATCTATGCATACATGGATAAAATTATTATGATTTTCATGCTCCCCGAATTCATATTAATTCTACTACTCACTCTGAATAGTGTCAGTCTGGTTGTTCAGTATTCAGAGTACAAATAGTAAACCAGTACTGTTTATTATATTTAGGGTCAATGATTGAAACTCAAGTGAAACTAGTTTTAGCAGTGTTCAATCGTCTTCTCTTTGGCGTAACCAAAGGATAGGAATAAACAATAACTGGACTAGACAGCTAGAAAAATAAGCTACTGTATTATCTCCTATCCATATAAAATGCAAGAACAACACTGTATGAATGAAATGAAAAGCAGATTTATTTAGCTGTTAGGCATTGTAGTTTAGTCACTAGACAATCGAGTAAATTATCCGATGATCACTTTTTTTCAAGTTTATTGATTGTCAGTTATTGCGAATATCAGTCTATCGATCAAGATAATCTCAGACAGTCTATTTCATTACTCATGACTTTAATCTTCTCTGTATATCATTCCAACAACAAAGATTTGAAAATGAAAGGTCATACATATTGGTAAATTAAGACTAGGAAAAGGGTCGATTTCATTAATGACCTTTCATTATTTAGATTATTAGAAAGAAGGCAACTTAAGTTGTACAATTGTATGGTGTAGAATAATATAAATATCAATAATAATAATAACAACTTGAAATAATATCACATCACGAATGGTTTATAAAACTCAAATATTGAGAGGAAATTACGTAATAATCGCTAATGAAAGGTGCTAAGGCGAGGATAATTGTTCACTTCATATGTACCACGAACAATAATCGCTAGAATAGTTCAATTATCTTTCAAATTTGCAAGTTCATATTCTTTGAAACAAATGGCACATACACAGTGAGTTGATTTGTAGAAGTTTGTTTAGTGTGAAGATATATATAATTGCATATTGACATCTGAAAAATCACTGAATGATGATAAGCTTATCGTTAGTTGTAGGTAAGCAGTAATTTTTGTAAATGACCATTTGAAACTGTCAAACTGATCTAATTTGTTCTTCATATACATTTTTACTGAAATTTTATCGATGAGAAATTTCGGAATGAAGATACTGACCATTGTAGGTTCACTACTGATGTATATTTTAAACAATAGTTTCACGAGGTATTCGATTGGTTTGTTTTTGTAGTCTATATCGCAGACTGACTTTAATTAGACGACTGTTGGAAATTGTGAATTACTGAACAGCTGTTTTGTCCCGGTAGGGGATTCCTATCAATTTCACGATATCCAAAACCTCAGAGAAGACCCTCAGACCTTGTGGAGAGTGTTTATCCTTCAGTCTACTGAGTTGACATCTACTAGTCTGCACTCCTAACTTCAATCAATTCATAACATTGTGTAATCGCCATCCATCGCCATCGATGAGAACCTGCCTCTTTTGGATTTAGCCTTTACAATTAGTTACTAATTAGCTCATAGTTTCGCTTCCATGAATTATATGCTATATGAAATGAGTGTAATTTTGGAACTTCTGTCCTTGATTTGAGCTGCTTTGGTCATAAATGATACATAATTTAGCTGCATGCTTCTGAATTTCAGAAATATAAACGAATCATAATCTTCACTTACTTACCTACTTCTGTCACTTCTCTTGGAGCATAGGCCTCTGACTAGTATTCCTCAAACGTTTCCGTCCTGGACCCTACTTTCCAACTTTTGAAAAGTTGTAATGTGTTCTTTCGTTTGCCTCTTTTCCTTTTGCCTCAATAATTCTAAGTTAGGATTTGCCTCGTGATACAGTTTGGAGATTTCCACAGCATGTGTCCTGTCCACTTTCAGTGTCTTACATCAATTTCTTCAACTGGAATCTTCCTTTTCCTGAAGTCCTCCTGGTATTACTGACGGTCCTAAGCCCAGATAAAATGTGAAGGGTTGGGGCGCGGGAATATCGACTCTGTCCCGTATAAAAGAACCCTGCTAAAATGCTAACCAGAAAAAAAGTGCTAATTTAGATCGAATAAAATGAAATTGATTACAGAGACAATCGAGCATAACACAGTTATTTTACACTGTATTAAAAAGTGGCTGAACCTTTTGGTTCCATCCACTTAGCTGAATGATGTCAAGAGTTTGCTGGACACTATTTAAATCATTGATTTTCACTATATGCTATTTATCCAACATTTTCTATTGTCTTTTAGACAACGCACTTTAGAACAAGCTCTTCTAGCAGCTGGTCTTTATAAAGAAGCATTAGAAGCTTTACTTGATTGGTTAAGTAAGATTGAACCACAGTTAGCTGAACAACAAACAGGAATCTATGGTGATGTGGATATTGTTGAGGTTAGTCACTGATTACGCATAATTTTTAGTTTGTTTTCTTTTTATTCTTAAAAGTGATCTAATACGAATTTGATTCGAAAGGTTTGAGCTAAATTTATAGTTTTTTTGGCTAGTTATTATTATTGTTGTTGTTGTGTAGCTCAATACCAACTTATCCAATAATGTTATTGAGTAATCTCTGTGATCAGAAATTTGTTCAATGTTAATATTTGCACCTCACTAATACCGGCAGCATATGTACACTCGTTCGATATTACACTAAGCCTTGCTAACAATTATTAATTATAGATATTAGGTTTATGATTAAATGAACTACACACATTGTTATTGTTATTGTTTGGAATTAATTCATATGTTGAACATTCCACTATTGTGGATTAGAACAACATGTGTAAGCTAACATTAATGTTTTTAATTAGATCTTCATTGGGCTTTTTAGTCTGATATACAATACTATTTATATGCTTATATGAAATGATTAAACCAATCAAGGCAACTAATGAATGAGTGATAATAGTGAAATAAACAGTACAAATATCGTTTGTGATAAAAGGTGTACTAGTTATGAAAAGGGAGTAGGTCAAACGGCTTGAAAAAGTAGAGGCTGGAATAACTTTCATGAGAATGATAAATTACTCAGTCACAAGTGTTCAGCTAGTTGGATAGTGAGGCATGTATTTGAAATAAGAAAGTGTGGGTGAAGAAAAATAAGCGAACAGAAAAGAAGTATGTAAAATAATGATAAACAGATAAATAAAGTCGTCTATTAAGGCCAATTCGGTCAAAGAAAAGATAGAGGTGTCACAAATTTAGTATGAACACAAGAAGACTTGAATTGTTAACTCGAATCCTGATAGCTTCTGTTATGTGTAAGAGACAATATCGATATCGAACCATTCAAAGAAAACCAATAGGTACGGGATAAATTATTTTAAAAGACTTATTCCTATATACAATATGGCTGCTACCGATCAAGTGTGGTAGAACTGAGCTGCATATTATCTTGATTATGTCCTTTCTTAACCACGAAGGGAGTTGTTTGCCTAGTTCGTTGGCTTAGTTGTTTGGTTGTATGCCAAACATAGCTTTTGTAACAGAACTAGATGAATTCGTAGCTACGCATGCATGTGAAAAATCCAGATAACTTATCGTTTGTTTAACGAATTAGCATAGGTCTACTAGCAAACGACAGATAAAAATTAGCTGCATTAAATGCCCTCTTTGTTACTTTAGCCACTCTATCTTGGAGTACGTCACTAGCCATATGTCCGTTAAATTGTAGCTTCAGCAAGAAATGTTTCTAATTCACGTCAATATCTCTAGTCTTCTATTCATTGTGTGCAGGTGTTTCTTCAGAAAACCTTATGGATAACCCATTTCAATCAACATATTATAAATGAACTCCAGCTCGTTTTTATGTAGTCGTCTGAGCATATCTTACTAGCTCTACTTGCAAGAGATCTAACTAGGATTCTTTTGTAATGAATGGGTACAATGTACTGGCTTGACGAGGAATTTTTTCTATGCACACATCAAGACAATCGTAACCGGTGGTTAGAGACTTCTCAAAATCGTTTGCGATGGCGTAGATGCATTCATTCTGTCTTTTAAATTCCTTTTTTTCTCTGTTTCTAAACTTATTTCACTGGAATATACTTCTCTAATCACATCTCTGATTCCTAATCTTTTCGATTATCATTAATACTGCTACAACCTTTACCAGTATGAGATTTGAACTGACAATTCCAACTCTGTTTGCTAATGTGGTATGTCAACTTGAACTGATGTATGTATGTGTCAAGTTCTACGTTCTACAGAACCATTTTCTTTTCTGTATTATAACAAAATGAAGTTCATCCGTACACGTGTATATTGTCACATTGCTCCAAGGGTTTTTTCTTTAACAATGTTCCAATCCACGATAATAAAAGTATCTATCTATTAATTTTTTTTCTGATACAAAATCGATTTCCTCATTTAATGGTACATTGATCAACAGGAAAGTAACATCTAGATATATCATCTGTTCCCCATGCAAATTGATAAATTATATCCTGAAACTGAAATCAAAAACACTTTTAATGCTTCGGTTAACGACTAATTCTTTGTAAGGAATCTAGGATTTGAATTGATCATTTTGCAGTTATATATATATATATATATATATATATATATATATATATATATATATATATAAGAACGAAGAGGAAGTCGTGGTTTGTGAACTTCATTAGATTAATAATTTCCTATGTGTCTAGAAATATTATTGTATATTAGCGTAAAGCCTGATGAATAGAATAAGTTTAATGTAGTCACATTTCCTACAATGATAACATTATTTTCTCATAAAAGCTATTATAGTTAATACTATCAAATATTTCTTTGCATTATATATATATATGTATATATAAATGTAAATTATTTGTATTTGATATTTTAGCAATTACTAGAATCTCATGAATGTTTCAAAGCTGAACTAGAACAACGTGCTGCATCTGTAAAATTAATACATCAAGCTGCCAGTGATTTAATGAATAAAGCTTCATCTACTATTGATTCGGCAACAGCATCAGCAGCTGGTGGTGGTGGTGGTAGTGGTTCATCAACAAGTAATCAAGCTGATGTGTTTGCTATGCAAGCTCAATTAAATCATTTAACTAAGATATGGGATCGTGTACAGAATTTAACGCAACGTCGTAGTGAACGATTAGATCAAGCATTAAAAATGGTAATATTCTCATAAACATATTTCATAATACTTGTATTAAATCTTGTGAAAAAGATGTCTACAAAATCTAGCAATCTAGCAAGTCATCATGGGTCGTTGGAAATTCCACATATAATTACAAAATGCTTCACTTCTCTGGGATGCATCTTAAAGTTCTTCAGTTATATAACTGATGGATGTACTGTGTTTTTACAATGGCTTTAAGTACTAGTTAGTCACTAATGCTAGTATAATCATCACGTTATTAGTACTTAATAATTACCAATAGTTATCTCCGCCATGTAAGCAGATTGGCTTGTGAAAGCTCCGAATCAGCTCAACTGTCTCTGAGAGACTAAATCATAGAACCCGTTTCCTTAAAAAAACAGAAATGTTTGTTGCATTGAGTACTCTAGTTTTCAGTCTATTTCACTTCTGGCAACTCATTGTCTCATACAATATTCTCAGGTTCATTTCACATGTGAGATGTGTCGAATTAGGTCCATGGTGTTTCAAACCTTCTTGCAAGCGGTAGTGATTTCCAGCTGTAGTTACTAAGTTGACTCAGTGGTCTCAACGATTCGTTCCAGGTATATTGGATAAAACACTCGTCCTTTGAGGTTCTATTATTTCAGACATAACAGATGATTGTCACTTTAATCAAAGCTAGAATTATAATCAGAGATGAATGGTGGTTAGCAGTAGGATCCAGGATGCGCGTTTCATTCTGCTTGGAACTCGTCATTGGAATATGACTGTATCCCAGAGTTCATACTCACTAAGGAAATACAACCCAGTACTTTTCACTTCAAATGCCATCGCGTTATCCACTTTGCTACCAAGCTCGCTGAATGCTACCATCTATCTCTGTTCATAATGTCTGTGGTGTAATGACAATATTGAGGCAATCCCCACGGGATGCACATATACAAAAAGCGACTGATGAGTCGTAGTCCTAAACATCAATACCAAGATTCAAACTACCAATACAAATGAATCAAATCCAGAATCTTTCAGTTTTGAGAGCTAGATTGTGCTGTAAACTTTACCACAGTGCTACAGCATTAAGTTGTTTCCTGGCCGATCACTCACACCTCCAATGATGTTTATATACCTTAGGAGCAGAAAAGCGGATTAATCACTTTGCTCCTCGAAGCTTTGGTGCAAGTCAAACTGTTAACTTCTTGCTCTCCTTTGTTTCCTGTGTTTTTATTGATTCTTGTTGTAAACCATTCTTGTCCGGTTTCATATATTCTCCGATTTGCTACCAGTGCTAATTATCAACATTTACTAGTACTATCCATTATCTCAGGTACTAAATAATAATAGCACGGTATTGTAAAACCTTAAAATACTGATTATTTGATTACCACTTGTTACCTCAAAAGTAGGCCTCTCACCGCCATAACTAAATGTCATTTAACTTAATCACACCATATGGTATGAATAGCTCGTTTAGTACACTTTAATTTTCAATCATTCCCTAACACTTTAAATTTGATCGAATCACCGAGGTAAATGATCTTAACTTAATCTGTTTTTACGTTGCAACTTCACTATCTTTTCTGATAAATTTGTACTATATTTTAAATTAAGTATACTATTATAGGTAACAAGCAGTAAAACGCGACATTGACTATTGGATAGTTTAGACACCTGACTCATGATTTATCATCAGTCAAAACTCAACATTACTTACTTACTTACGCCTGTTACCCCCAATGGAGCATAGGCCGCCCACCAGTTTTCGCCAACCAAACTCAACATACGCATCAGTTTCAGAAGCTTGCTAGTTTTCCTAGTCATCATAGAAGAATTGTATCTTAAATACGAAGAAGCTTACTTGTATTCTATTATTGCATTACATTATCCAAATCTCAAGTAGCTAAATTTTAAAATCTCTGTTGTCTTCATTTATAGGCGCAGCAATTTCAGGATACATGTCGAAGTTTAATGGATTATTTTGCTGGCGCAGAACGCGTTATTTGTCGTTTGGCTGCTTTACCTACGTTCGATGACGATGGTGAATTGGAGAGTGAAACTGCTGATATTAACAGTCCACCGACTAATATAACAAATGCAATAACAGCTCATCGACAAACCCATGCTAATTTAATGAATCAAGCTGACCGAGTTGAAACAGCTTTACAATTAGGCAATAAACTTTTATCTCAAGCTCATCCAGCAGCTGTGAAACGTTTACGTCAATGGGTTAATACTATTCGTACACGGTGGGAAGAGGTATGCTACTATAAATATCGTTATTATTATTATTATTAATACTGGCTTCATTCAAAGTATAGACTTGATGTACTTGTAATTATAAGTGAATACGTTCGATGTAGTAGGTTGAAGAATTGAAGAAATATCTTCAGTTTTTTAAAACATCTAACTTTTTTTATCGAAAACGAAAACTGTAGCGCGTTCATTTCTGACTTTCATTTTTAATCTATCGTCATCAATGATGAATTTATACACTGAAGTCTATAGTCTTCTACAACTGGAGTGAATCATTTTAGCATGTGTATACTACCTTTTTGGAGCCGTAATCAGTGGTTAAAGGCTTTAAATAGCATAGCCCAAAGTCGTTTGCAATGGTACAGGTGCATCCATTCTTTGTCTTTGCCCAGGTTACAAGCTTCTGAATCCCTCATAACGTTTTATCTCATTAATTTTTCTTTAATTGTATCTTTGGAGCTTAATCTTTCCTTTCATCACTAATACCGAAGTAATCAATTCAGATGACTGTTCGCTGTAAACTCTCACCCGACAAACAGTGTTCGAGCAGAACGTCTGTACTAGGTTAATGTACTTCTTTGGTATGCCTTTCAATTGCAGACACTGTCACAGAAACTTACGACCAGCGCTACCTTAAGGTCGAAAAGTTCAATATTTGTTGGATATCGAAATGTGTGTCTATGTTTTAGAACCTGACGAAAAGTGAGTATCTAGTTAATACATCGACGTCCAGGTCTGAAACTAGCCTTGTTTTAGCGAGTTCGCTCTTCACGAGCTCTGATTAGGCGTCGAAGCATTATTGCAGCAAGTATTTCCGATACTACATTAATTAAACTGAAAGGGTACACCTTAATGCCGTCACTCCCATCTACGGTCAGCAGTGCGACTTCTCCCTCAGACCTTAAGTTCCTGCTTTTAATCCTACCGTTTCTGCAATCGACCTGACTAGAATGGTAGGATCTAGAGGAACCTATACTCCAGCCAATATAGTTCGGTTGGGTCATCACGATAGTCAAGCTGAACTACCAAATCAAGGTAGCAGCTACAGTCGGGTTGTAGCGATTAGACTGATGTAGCGAACTAGTCCTTTATAACCGGGATTTATGCATATTAATCTTTGACTTTGTATTAACTTATTTCGACTAAAATAAACCCAATTCTACGTACTTTAAATATTGTGACTCCGTTTTGAGTAAAGAACTCACAGTCCAGATAGATTGCTTTACCTAAAGACGTACTAAAGTAGAAGGTGGTCTTTGCTTCCCTTATGATTGGTTTTACAATACCAACATAAATATATCCATAACCTATTTCAACTAGTATGTTTAATTACATTTATACTAATTTCGCTAACAATTATTTATTAATTTTTTTTTCTAAACGAATAAAATTACCCAGCTAACTTCATGGTCTGAACAACGTGGTGAACGTTTACAACAAGCTTTAGAAGAACAGCATAAACGTAAATTTCAACGTGAAGAACTCATGCAATGGATTCATATAAAAACTGTTGAATTAAAAAGTATTCCAACATCAATACCGATCGCATCATTTTCATCTTCATCAACTAATCTACATTCAGCTCAGAGTAAACTCGATTCAACTGACTCAAAATCAATAGATTTTAAAGATTTATTTTCCATAACTCAAGAACGTATTGCTTTGTCATCTGCAACTTCTGCAATTCCTCATCCTAGTGCTGGCGCAAGCAGTAGTGCTAGCATCAATGGTAAAGATTTAAAACAACCTGAAACTCTTACTGATTTTACAACAGTTTTAAATGAGATAACTGATCCAAAAATTATTGAACAATTACTCAGTTTACATAGTCAGTTAGAAGAAGAAGTGAAACAAAAACAACCTATTTATGAAAATATTGTAAAACATGCTAAACGACGTACACCAGTTAAATCATCGCATAATATTAATAATAATATTATTAATCGCCGAAGTCGTTTACCAATACGATCTGGTGGTCATCTATACAATCGTTCTATTAATACAATCAATCAACAACATGCTACATCTAAAGTAGTTTTCACTTCACCGAATATTAATCAATTATATTTAAATTGGAGAGAATTATGGATTGCAATGTTAGCACGTAAATCACAATTGAATGAACGTCTAGCTTATTTAAATGAAGTTGAAAAAATGAAAGATTTTCATTTTGAATCATGGCGTCAACGTTATGTTTCATGGTTAAGTGCAAATAAAGCACGTGTCATTGATTTATTTCATCGTAAAGATCGTGATCGAGACGGTCGACTTACAAGAGCTGAATTTATTGATGGCATTATAGAAATGAGTAAGTTTTTTGAAAGTGGATTCCGAATCCAACTCATTTTTTTCCGTATAGAATTATGGAGACTATTGAGTTTCACTGAAATTATGAATCGATCATTGTTAGACCACCGTTAGAAACCTGGAATCACCGTCGGATGCCAGCTGAGTGGTCTACTGGTTAGACGTTCGCGCACGAAACAGAAGGTCCTGGGTTTGAGTCCCGCGAGCAGACACAGTAGATGCGCACTCCTGATGATTCCCGTACTAAGATAAGACAGCCGTTCAGTACTTCCAAGTTTTCAATGGTGGTCTAACAATGATCGATTAATAATTCCAATTCCAACTTATTTTATTTTTTCTTAATCTTGCAAATATAATGAAGAATAATAGTCTCTTTTTTCATAATTAATTCTTGATGGCAATTATGAACATGATGATACATTCTATTGTTTAGTTTTAGATGTAGCCTGAAAATAATTACCATACATCGAAAGCTATTTTAGAACTGCAGATCCGATTAGTTCGCATCTCTATATGTAATAGTATAGTGCATATAATCACTGAACAATGAATAATGCAACTTCATTACACTATGTATTTTGAGGAGAACAAACTAATTTGAAATCATAATTCTCCATGAGTCTTCAATATCTATTTTTATCATTAATTGATACATAACTAGTGACAGTGTTATATCCTGCAAAAATTGTAAGTCTTCAGTGATGGAGTCTAAAGACATTAACTGCCAGCTACGGAAAGTTTGTACAAATTCTTAGTGGTATAACTAAATCATTGTTTATCTATGGTCTACAGGATTTTTTTATGGTTAGCGTTTGTTAGCAAGGTTATGTTCTACGAAATGAGATTGTGAACTCCATACCAAACGCTCCTTCTTTATCGGAAGTTAGGATCGATGACACTAACCTTAAAAGAGCTCCAGATGCAGTTACTTTTTCACTATATAGCTTTTTTATTTCCTTACTGAATAGTTTAGTCCACGCACTAGTCTAATAATGACAGTATTTGAGTTGCAACAGTTATGTTCTACGCTTGAACTGCATACTTCTTGGATAAAAATGGCTCAAAAGAGTAGTATATTTTCTGGTGATTACTTACGATTTGTTTTTGACCATTTCTTTTACGTTCATGGTATTGAGTAGTTGTAAAATTAAACTAGATCACCTTAAATTTGTGTAGTTTGATGTGAATTGATCTAGTACTAAGCAATCACTACCTACATTATTTTCCATTTACTCCCGATATTAATTTTTCTGCGTGTTTAATACTAACTAGACAGTACAAGTCGTAAAAGTAAGTGTGATGTTTGTATGTGCATTTTTGATTTAAGTATATGTTTGTTTATGTGTACTACTCTATCGATTATTTATTCGTTTTTTTGTTCTCTCGTGTTCAACATGAAAAAAATTGTGTACTTCAAATGAATCTTTCCTATTCTTCTATGTTTTTAAACTATGATATTTGTGGGGTTTTTTTTATATTCGAATTCATTGTGTTACTACTTACTGTCTTTCGCATTTGTTCGCTTGCATCTTGTCAGGCAAATTTTTAAAAAAATATTATATATATTCTTCCTATAAAGTTTAATTTAGACTAGTGTTGTAGTATTGTTTTGAATTTTTTTTCTTTCATCCTTATTCTGTTGGGCATGTTACTTTCACTGTATTTAATGTGGGGCTTTTTGCTTTCTGCTATCATCCTCATATTATTACTACTCAGCTTAGTTTTGCATCGTATCAGTCAGTAGTTTATTGATTACAGTTAAAATGTCATAGATAAAGTTATTCACTTCAGACAGTCATCTTATCAATGGATAAACCAATCGAAATCCTGTATTACTTCTGAACAATACAGATTACCACTTTTCTTTTTTAAGAGAAATCAATGAAAAACTTTTCACAAAAATTGTTTAATTTTCTAAAAGCTTAAATCTAGTTTCTCTTTTATCCATTTTTGTAATAAAATTTTCAACAATAAACGATGTTCAAATCATACAATGACTGAATTTATCTTATGCTTATTATGTATTATGCAGTAGCTTTTGATCGTTTGTCAAAAGTCAGTGAATCTGTTGATTTTCAAATATGTTATTTTTTAAAATTCTTTTCACTACTTTGAAGACAAGACAGACACTACGCAGAACTTCGTACATAAGTACATCAGTTCAGGTTGCCATACCACATCAGCACAGAGACGCAACTGTCAGTTCAAATCCAGGAGTGATAGCGATAGTAGAATTATTAGCAGTGATGGAGAAGATTAGAGAGCAAAGATATGATTCGAAAAGTATAATTCAGTGAGATAAACTTAGACGGAGAAAGATAGAGATTATGAGGAATTCAGTAGGTTAGAATTAGAGAGAACATAGAGAGTGGATGCACTTACGCCACTGCAAACGATTTTGAGTCATGTCATTCAAGGTCTGTAACCATTGGTGACTTTCGTCTCGCGGAAGTCTACATCTACCAACATGACTCAGTCCACTAGTCAGTGACTTCATGGATTTCTGCCATGTTTTGGTCTGGCCTTCCCTAGCTTTCTTCCCACCTACTCCTACACCACAAAACATAGCTCTTCGCGGCAGTCGGTGGTTAGCCATACGCAACACATGTCCCAACCATCTCAAATGATGAAGTTTCACTACTTCATCTATTGATTTGCCATCCCTACGTAGAACTCGTTTCCTAACGACATCATTGCTTATACGGTTGTCCTAGGATACACGAGCAATGCTTCAGAGACATCAATGATCGAATACTAGTAACCTACGAATGTCCTCTACTCTTAACGGCCATGCTTCGCATCCGTATAGTTGGACGGAGAGAACTACTACTTTGAAGAATTTCAAACAAGATGATGACGCAACGAAATGTTTATTCAAATTTTAATCACTGACATTATTTCAAATAGGATTTGTACACATAATGTATTTTCATTACAGTTATTACTATTTTTTAACTCTTGAATGTTTTGCTTATTGATTTTCTTCGTCTGCATCGATTTGAAGGGTGACCGCTGGAATTATTACATCTTTGTACCAGATTAAACTTTGTTCACGTTAATTCCTTTGACTGATTAACATAGAAAAGAAAATTATTTTGAGCCTGATTATATATATTTCAGAATTATTGATTAATTTTCATACTTTGTATATTTCTCAATGATTATGTTTCATGTACAATCTGATGAAAGTTTTACACCACTAATAATCCAGTTTAAATTACTTTCCGAGTCTATCTAATGCAATCTGATTTTTTCTGAACTTTGTATAGAAACTTCTTTTAACAGAGAAGTATAGTTTAGACAGATAAGCTAAGCAAATGGAACTAGTAGAGTATGCAAGTTAATTAACTTAGCACATGATTCGCTAATTAACTAGAAACAATACAAAAAAGAACCAATAAATTTTTACAACCTATTAAATAATTGTCAATGCACAACAACCAGAATAAACTTAAACTAATAAATAACAATCGATATAATTACTGAATGCAAATCAATCGATCTGGAAATTCACCTTTCGGAAACTTTCATCTTTTTAGTTCTTATTCTTGTCTTTTCTAAGCATTTGAATGCAAGAACAATGTACTAGTTTTACCCAAACTGTCGAGTAATCTACTGATCTCAACAAAACTACTGATATTATATTTTAGTAGGATTAAAAAAAAACACTGAATTTTTTGTCAATTCATTCTGTGTTTTTTTTTAATCTATGCAGATTGTTATCGTAGTTTTGTTCTCTGGTTCTATAAAGTGTGTTATTTTCTGTTCAGTATAGGAAAATGTCTTGATTTATTTCTAGTATTGTTCTTAGATTTGAGTTTAACTTTTGTCTCGATAATATTAATAATGCTTTTTGCCAATGCTTTAATTGTTAATTTATGTTAATTTTGTTAATCTTTCTGGTAAGTAGATTTTTCGGCTTCCATAACTCTTTGTTTAAATTATCATCTCTGATCAAACAATGCATCGATTGTCTAATGATTCCTTTCATAATTTTCTTTGGCTAAATCAACTTTTTTTCTCTCTCTCTCTCTCTCTTTGCATAGAATTTCAAACAAGTCGTGTTGAAATGGAAACTGTTGCAGATATATTCGATGCTAATGGTGATGGATATATTGATTATCGTGAATGTTTAAATGCACTCAGAGCTAATTATTATAATTTCGATCGAGCATCCTCATCAAACACCAATGGTGGTGATAGTTCATTGAGTTTCGGTCCATCAGATGAAGAAACGATTAATGATGAATTAAAACGTCAACTTGGTTTGTGCACATGTCATAATACATATAAAATTAAGAAAATGGCAACAAATAAATATCGGGTTAGTTCTTTATTTGGCAATAAAATAAAAAAAGAATTTATGATCAACTGAATAATCCACTTTTTTTTTTCTTTTGTGAATTTAACAACATCGTTAATGATTGATATAGTTTTAAATTTTCTACTTTCTGAGATGGTGGAGAAGATTTGTAGCTCAGGTGGATGATTGTGGTGGTGGCGGTGTTTGGTTCTCTGAGCTGGATGTTTTGGTTGTGGAGCTTTCATTGTTCTTCTGAACAACATCATCAGCAGAAACTTCAGACAGAAGTGAAGCATTCGAATTTCTCCACGTTTGACCTGTAGCTTGTTCTGCTAACCTCGATCTTGATTGGTTGCTGTTGACCTTAAACCTGTCGTTGTTTGCAACTTTGTTTTGATTGTGTTCCCCTTTTGATCGGTTTCTTGATCCTGTGTCACCTATGATTTTCCTGATTGTTTGATAAATTGGATCAATGTCGATGTGTTTGTTGAATGGTAATTGACCTGAGTGCCAAGCTTCTAAAAATTCTCTAGTGTTCTTTATCCTCCCCCTACCCAGTACTTCCACATTGTTCCATCCGAATGTGTATCCATAATTGTCGGTGTGTACTGATATAAGCGAAGCGTTGTCGTGGCGTTTGACTGTTAATTGGTGTTCACGTAAACGAAGCTGAAGAAGAACAATGAAAGAAGAAGAAGAAAAATGAAAACTCCACAACCAAAACACCCAACTCAGAGAACCAAACACCACCACCACCACAATTTCTACTTTCTATTTGTCAACTGATTCTTGGTAATGTGCAAATCACAAGAAATTTAGCCTAGTTTCATTCATTGTTCATTTTAATTGTAATATCTCTGACTATAAGGTAAAATTTCAAGGTCGACAGAAAGTCAAGGGAATTGTGGAGTGTTCTGACTTTGAAAATATATTTTGTTAATGAGTAGTCACACTTCTTTGATTTAGGGATCCTCAAAAACTGACTACTACTCCCTAACAAGGCGAGTTTGTTTAATAGGAATGGTTTATACAACAAAACAATAGACCTTCCATTATGCTTCGAAACTTTCCAGTGTTACTAATTGGCTATTTCTTACGGTTTTCAATTCAGTATCACGAGTCTCCATAAATTTCACGTCATTCTTCCGAACTGTAGATCAAATTCTCTGTTCTGTGAACTCGCCAAATATCACTCAAGATAACTTTATACTTTTTTATGATAAACATTAGTAATAAGTGTTAGCTTAACTTAAAAATTACAAATACTAGCCACTTACTTCATACACTTTCTATGTAGAGACCAGTCTTCATAATTAATATCTTTATACAGAAACAGATAATGATATTGTTTAAAAAAGGCTAGAATCTCACACGATAGTAGTATCTTTATGTTAATGATTACTTCATAATTATTATTTACATTGAATAGTCACTGAATGTTAAGGATCAGTGTCATATTTGCCTAATTCTTAATATTAACGGAATATTATCGATCATGATTCGATGCACCCATTAGTCTAAGTAGCAGAGTTTCTTATTGGACTACATCTGATTACACGTATATATCTTAGTGGATGAAATTCCGCTCAACTATTATGCTGTATTGAAATTAATAAATAAATTTTTTTCTGAATTTCAGTTCGGTGATTCACAAAAACTGTGTCTAGTTCGTATTCTTCGCAGTGCTGTAATGGTCCGCGTGGGTGGTGGTTGGGTAGCTCTAGATGAATTCTTGGTGAAAAATGATCCATGTCGAGGTAAATTTCATTCTTACATCGTTATATCCAAACATTTTTCTAGCTATACTTTGTGTGCATATTTTTTTATACACTGGTTACAGTTTTCATTTATATTCGTGATATTCTCGTGATATGTCCACAAAATCTACATGGAAATTGAAATTTAAGAACTCTTTATACGAGGTTTAGTAAAATTATATTGTGAATAACGGTATAATCCATGATTCATGTTTCTTAGTATCTGAGACTCATTGACTGGACGTACCTGCATCTCGGTATTAATGCTCATGTTGAAACTCGAACCCAATGGCTTAAACACTAACTCATTCTCCACGAAACCAATAAGAGAATCTGGTTCAAATGAACACTTGTGTCAACAGGGGGCCGACCAATTACAACTCTTGTCTGTAACAACTGGAAATTACTAACCATTACTAATAGCTTTTCACAAAATTTCTATTATTTTCCTACATACATGAAATTACTTTTCTCTTGGTATATATCTGTTTATATATGTTATAGGCATTAAACTGAATGTCAACCGACGGGTCGTTTGTCCACGGTCCTTAAGACTCCCCCATACTTGAAAGAAATAGCTAATCAATGCTCTTTAGTTTTTAAGTAGTTGTTTTTGTTAATCTCCATTCGCGATATACAATTTAAATGTCACATTTGCTAGACATTAGTTAATGTTTAGGTACGCTTGAGTACAAACTCAAAGAGGCTATGGAGTCTAAAGTTTACGGTGGAGTTTTTCATTCTCTGAACTGGATGTTTTGGTTGTCGAGCTTTCATTGTTTATCTGAACAACATCAGCACAAACTTCAGGTAGAAGTTATGTGTACATTTAGTATAAATATTAGACATGCTGGACACAGTATAATAAGAGCTATACTTTGTGTTAACACTGTAAAGATAAGTCATTCAGAGAAGATTCAGATGGACGAGAATATTGGTATTCACACTGAAAAAGAATCATCAAACTTAGTAGAGACTAGAGAAAAAATTATAGTAAAGAACAAGGAGATGTGTACTGATAGAAGAATACTGCTTACTTGAATCCATCACCAAGATTAATTTTACTTATTGCTTTATGTAGCTTAGTAGTAGCCAAACACAAAGATTAGTATACTTACTTTGAAACTGCACTTCCATATGAAGACCGTTGGTACCATTTAATTGCTGAGCTAAGCTCGAATCTTCGAATCAATTATTAAAAGGCCAATTTTTTAAACAATTACGCCATCATTCCACTTTGATTTATGTTACTTAGCGTCCAGTTAATAAGCTATTGAGCTGGCTGCTACAATGTAACTTATCATAATAATAATAATAATAATCAATTGTTACAAACTTCATAGATTGGTGTTGCATAATCACTTGGCTACTCTGTATAGCATAGTTTTTCTATCAGTTAGCCTATCACATTAAAATAAGTAGAGTTGCACTACACGTGTAGCATACCTCACTTAATTTAGATCTATATAAGTTGATAAATTTACTGGTGAATTTTATTTTGCTTAAAATTCTGTCTAAACTTAAACGTATTCAGTCGATGGCTTGACTTGTTGAGAACAATGTTTACTGTCTAAACAGTTCTTAATACTATCTATCTATCTAATATATATATATATATATATATATATATATATATATATATATATATATATATATATATATATGTTGAGTTTATTGAGCTGTCAAGCCTGATGTAATGGTAAATAGTATTAAGAACTGTCTAGACAGTAAACATTGTTCTATATATATATATATATATATATATATATATATATATATATATATATATATATATATATATATAATTTTGAATACTTACATATTATACAGATTTTATACTATTTTATTGCTTCTAATTTAATAAACCTTTTGTTTTCTTTTATTTTTCCTCTATGTGTTTCACTTATATATTATTCTTTTCCATTTGAACATTGATCATTCTTTGTTGTACACATAAAATCATCTATATACGTATATATGTATATATTTATTATATATGCATTTTGCATATGAACTGTCAATTTGACTCTTTTTTATATGTGCTGTGCACTTTAATGTGTCGTCTATTCACTGCATGTATATTATACCATTCTGATCTGCGATGCATGCACACTTCGCACATACTGCCGCATATTTATTATCATACATACTATATTGTTTCAGATGCATGTGAACGCTTAACTAGTTTAGCTGATTTAGCTAAAGCAGCTGGTGTCGGTCGAAATTCATACTGGTCCTCTTCACCTGCTCCTTTACAACATTCATCTTCATCAATAAAATCATACCATCGAGTCGACTTGAGTAGTAATAATAATAATAATACAACTAATCATTATGTGATTAGTTCAACAAGTAGTTGTAGTGGCGGCAGTGGTCATAGTGTTAATTTTAATGATAGTAAACAAATTACTACTGATCAGCATACATGTAATTATTCTTCAATGAATAAAAATTCTCTAATTAAATCATCCGAATCATCATTGTCAAGTTCATCACGTTTAAAACCAGTGCATAAACGTTCACGTTATGATACACATAATTTATATCAATTAACAATGAATGGTCCTGGACAAGATAATGCATTTTATTTAGTTATGCCCAGTACAAAACCTAATCCAACCAATCATAATAATTGTCGTAATACTAATGATAATAGTAATAATAGTATTAGTAGTAGTAGTACTAATTCACATCTCCTAAGAAAAAAGCATCAATCATCACATGTCAGGAAATAATTTAAACTACTCACAAAAAAAACAAACAATTTCAAATACAAACTATTCATACATAACATGAATATATAAATTTCTGTGTACATAGATTTTTGAAATATTTTTCTTCACTTTTTGCACAAAATCAATTTTTCAACTTTTTAACAAAGTGATTATCAATTTCTTCTTGAATACATTGAACATTGATTATGTACCTAGTGTTTAAATTGGTCAACATTGCAATCAATGCAAATGCAATGTAGTAGTCATCTATAAGTGAAGTTGCTATTTCTATCATCAGTGTAAGCATGCTACATAATAATTATTGTTATTTTGTCATTACTATGATGCTATTTATGATTACTATTAACATTGTTTCATAGATTGTTTGAATATCACCCGTCGTCATCATCATCTTGTTGTTGTTGTCACTGTGATTGTTCTGTTGTGGTTGTTGTTGTTGTAGTGAAATGTATCAAATTCATTAAGCACATTTATTTCAGTGCACTTGATATGCATTTCTATATATCATGTATGCTGTATTTAAAATAGTAAAATTCAGTAAAATTTTGGTGACTATGCGTATATATATATATATATATATATATATATATATATATATTTCGGTATAATTAAAGTATTACTTACTTACATCTGTCACCCCGATGGAGCATGGGCCGCCGACCAGTTTTCTCCAACCTACTCACTGGTTATACTATGCAACGTACTTTCTTAAAAAAAAATGTCTCATCCTCAGCATACGAGTCAGCAGTGTATGGAGGTTTTGTGAAGATTATAGGATTTTCATGGTTTAGATTTCAATATTAGCTCAGTGGGGTCTGGAGGTTGAGCGTTCGAACCCGCGACCGAAAGTCCTGGGTTCGAAGAGTCTTTTACTTAGGACCGAATGATTTTTTTGAAGCTACCACTTTTTCAATAGTGATCAATTAAATTAGAAATATGTTTACCATAACTCGAAATTTATTTACTGGTATAAAATACGAAAATGTAATACTTTAGATCTGTTATACAGTTCACAATTATTCTTGTATAAATATTCAAACTTTAATTCAAACAACAGTGAGTCTAGTATGGATTGAATATTGATTTGTTATGTGTTTTACCACCGACTGTACACAGTATTGGAAATTATGCTTAAAGTCTTGTTATCTTAATCAGGCTAAACAAAAAAAAGAAAGATTCATATTAACATTAACTTGTGGCTTTTGTATCGAATGATATCTTAATTGATTGACCTGTAATTTCTATTATCACAAAATTATCAGTTTTGATAAATGTGAGAATTATTTTAAAAAAAAGCTGATTGAACTGTTTTTCATTTGTCCGTCATACAATCAACCACCTTAAACCTTAAATTAAAAAAAGTAACAACAACAGCCCCACAACTTACTAATAATCAACTTAGGTAAATAGATTCGTAACTCTAATTGAAAATATCGTAAAATGTGCTCACTAGTGACTAGCTTCGTGAGGAAATCCTCGGAGTTCTAGTGAGAAGACGTGACCAGTGAAGTTCAAACCTGTCGGGTGTAGGCAGTAACTGCCAAATACTAGTGGATGAGGTCGGGCAAAATCCCTAGATCAATCAGAGTTAGACATTAACACCGTTGGATGCCGACCCAGTGGTCCAAAAAGGTTAGGCGTTCGTGCACAATACCGAAGGTCCCGGGTTCGAATCCTGCGAGGTGCAGGAGTCTTGGATGCGCACTGCTTATGAGTCCCATACCAGAACTTGACGGCCGTCCAGCACTTCCAGGATTCTGATGGTGGTCTAACAATGATTTATTGATGATTTAAAGTGCGTAAAAACACCAAGATTCAAGATTGAAATAATCTCTGTTTTTATTTTTGTCTTTATTTTGGTACACAGAAAATACAACCACAAAACTAAGATTTTCTGAAACAAATCCAAAATATTCAGCAGAAAGAAAATTCTCTCTCTCTCGATAAATATCTTTCAGTAATGCTATACAATTGTAGTGATATTAATTTAACATATATAGTAGTTTATCAAAAAATATATTGAGAGAGTGGTATTGCTTCATAAATGAAGTTTACACAATGATTGAATAACACTAATGAAGAACAATAAAATAATGCACAGTATATTCACTCAATAAATATGAAAAACAATCATGTGTTGTAACAGTAACCAGTTAATAAGTACGGAAAAAAAATTAGCACGAATTAATGACAGATTGATTATTCAGTAGAGAAGATAGGAAAACGTGTTACGATCCTAGTTCAATGCGGGTGTTCTGTGTTTGTATTCAGAGATTGTCGGACATTTACTAAAATCTCTTTTTGGTCTATTAATTTGTAGTTTGTATTGTCTTCTAACAGACTCGTTTGAAGAAACACATGTCCAATACTACTTGGTCGAACTATGATTAATCCATGATGTAAACTCGGAAAATTCAGTAATCTCTACAAACCCCCATACTTATATTCTATTGTTGTCAGGGGATAAGTAAATCACTTTTATTCTCACTATTCGATTACCAATTTTTTTCATTGGGACCGTTAATCGATCAATGCTAGACCACCACTAGAAACCTGTAGGCGATGGACCGCCGTTTTGTCCCAATATGGGATTCATCAGCAGTGTTCATTCACGAATCCCACACGCAAGAATCGAAGTTAAACATTAACAACGTTGGATACCGTCTCAGTGGTTTAGAGGTTAAGCATTCGCGTACAAGACCAAACGCCACCGAGTTCGCGGATACAAAACTGTCATCCAGTGCTTCCAGATCTCTGACAACAGTCTAACATTGATCGATCCATAATTTCACTGTCAGTCATCAATCTCCACAACCCCCCCCCCCATAATGACTATTAAATTTTTGTCCTTTTTGTTTTGTTAAACAATTAGCTTCACAATGGAAATCAATGGGTGATTTTAATGAAGATTTACACAGTTCATCTGATTGTGCAATTGCACCAATCACACCTGTATTGACAATGTTTCAACGTAAATCGTCGACTTTGACTCATCCTCAACGATCATCACCTATATCACAATATAGTACAACATCAGCTAGTTCATATGTATCATTGCCTGCATCAAATCATAATTTGACTATAGTTAAAAATGATACTACTAATTCTATGCAATCAAATCCTCCTAATCGACAAACAATAATACCATCATCAAAATCTTATAGAAATAGTATACATGGTGAAATTGTTCCTGACAAATCTATAACTGATAATCTACATCATCAAAGACGTGCTTCAACACTTTGTATACCTTCTACAAATAATAATAATAATAATAATACAACATCAATGTATTTAAAAGAATTTACTAATAAACCATCTGGTATGTATAAAACATAAATGCTCTAGGTCTCTTATTTATGTTTCTTTTTTTCTTTTAAATAATAAAAATTAATAATTATTAAATGAATTTCATTTTTTTTTTGTTGAAAGTAGCAGCTCTTTATTAAAAATGTACATAAAATATGAATCGTGTGAAAAGTCACAAAACAAAACAAAGCATTAACTCTCGATTGTGTGACTAACTACTATTCAACAGTACCTACTATTCATCCTATAACAATCAATCAAAGTTAGAACTTTCAAATCACCCGCCAACACAGAGTTTAATTACTACTGAACATTCGTGTTACGTCATTGTTAATTTTCAAGATAAAATTGTACAGAGTTTGTTGATTAGTTTAGATATAATATTTTCCAACAAAAACTTGATTGTATTGTAGTATACCGGTGATTGATTATATTGTTTAGTAAAAAAAATGGTAACTTTCATTCTAGTTTCTTTATTCATGTTATTTGTAGTACCCGGAAACTGGGACCGATGTGAATTGGTGCCAATATCCTAAATTGATCATGTTGAACTGATTAAAATTGATTTTTTCTTTCTTTCTAAAAGTTGTTTTTTTTTGTTCTCAATATCTTTTTTTTTTACAGGTGTTATTCATTCTGAAAATTTGCCTCAAATAAGTAAAACCATGTCAACAAAATCACACAGTACCACATCTTCTCCTAGGATTGATTCATTTCAAATTTCTGATTCACCTAGTAGTACACTACTATTACCTATTGATTCACCTGATTCAATTCAATTTAATACAAAAACAAAGAGATATTCCTTAACTATGCCCGGTTCAACTTGTGATAGTTCACGTATAGATGATATTTTATCAAAGTCTAAAATTCCTTCACTACAATCTAATATGACAGTGGACAACAATTCAACACATCACCGATTGACGCAATTAAGCGACGTTGTTGCTGACGCTGACACCACAAATGATGACCCTAATAATAATAGTAATAATAATAAATGATCTATGTGAGAAACTATATATATATTACTTAGTTGTGTTTATAGTTGTTAATTCAACTAAATGTGTGTATAATCAACATTTATTTTCATCTCTTTAGAAAAAAATGGCTTATTTTCGTCTATTTTCGAATTTATTTTTCTTTTATTTAATCCCAACATTATTTGATTGTCTTATTGTTGAATGTAGATTTTGTTTTTTCATTATTATGATTTATGTTTGTGTTGTGTGTGTGTTTGCTTGATGACACATTACTGATTTAAAAATAAATAAAATAAAATAAAATCTACTTACATTATTGTATAAATAAATAAATTAATTAATTAATAAGACTATATATATACACTTGAAAAAAAAACTGTCTTCACATGAGAACTGTCGTCGTTTCATGAAAAATATATTAACACGAAAACAGTCCATTTCAATTTCTTCTTTCCTATTCTATTTCGAACTATATATTCTAAATTAACAATATACACCAATTAAAAAGAAGAAATATAAACACACTTACCATATCATTTAAATAATTAAAAGAAAAAAAAGTGTCTAGATTTAATTTAATGTAATTTAATTTTTTTTTTGGGGGGTAGGGATAATAGGTGTTTAGTTGTGTATTCATCATTTGAAATAACACGAATGAAAGCGATTAAAATGGGTGTTATGGGGTGTGTGTGTGTGTGTGTCTGTTTCTTTTTATTATTATTGTCATTTATTATTGTATCGTTTATTAATTCATCATCAATTATACAACAGCTGTCATTCTATATTTATATTTTATGCTGAGAACTTTCATTGTTGTATTTTATGAAAATATTTTATTGATGAATTTAAATTCGGTTTTTTTTTGTTCTTGTCCTTTCACATTTATTCTTATTGAATAATAATTTTATTCTATTTTATTTTATTTTGCTTTCACTTCTGCATTGACACCGTTTTGTTTTTTTTTGTTGTTTTGTTCACATGTAATGAATGAATGAATGAATGAACGATGGCATAATTAATTTTTATTCTGTGTGTGCGTTTTCGTCGATTTCTTCATATGTTTGGATCATTCATTACATTATTCAATGCTTGTTGTAAAATAAAATAAATATATGACCTTCTCTTATTATTATCATTATTACTATTATTATTATTATTATTATTATTATTGTTATTTATTGACTGTGAGTAACTAGAAATACATCTTTCTTGATAAAGTGTCTTTAAATTTTCTCCTGTGAGAAGGCATATAGAGTTCATCAATGATTTCATAGTAAATGGTTAGCATTCATTAAAATGTTTTAGGCTTAAATTCAATGGAAGCATCGTTTTTAAGTTTTTTCATACTAGTAAAATTAATTACCTTTTGTAAAAAATGAAAAGTAACAATAAGACCAGTCAGTATAAGTATCACCAACCAACGTGAAACTTGGAACCAACATGAGGGAGGTAGGGGAATTTTTCCCACCTACCGCCAAAACTATTTAATATAAACGGATTCTTGATATTGACTGTTTCTCACAAACAGTTTAAATGAATCACTAAGAATTCATTAAGACGATGACAATTCTCTTCTAAGATTACAGTGAGATGGTGGTTACCTACGACATTCACATTCTCTAGTTGAATTAATTTGTAAGTGGCTGGAATGCTCCTCATATTCGAATATATAGGATGATATATTGTAATGGTAGTAAGTACTCTTACACTTTTGAAATTAAAACAAGAAAGATTGATTCAGCAAAGAGTTGTCGCCTAATTAATTTTCCCTGTTTTATTTCTCAATGGGTGTATTCATTTTACCTTTGAATTAGTCATGAATTCATAGCAGTTATCCTCCACGTTGGATGTTATTATGAGTATTCTAATATTTAAGAGAAATTGTTACAGGAAAACTTAATTAACTGCCACTCACAGAATATCATGTAAATTATCAACTGAATTTAGTGTTCAACATGTTTCCCTACTAGATAACTAGGTAATGGAAAACACTAGGGTTCGAAGATATTATGAAAGTGCAATCCAGGAGGAGAAAGATGACAAGGAATTTGGAAGATTTGAATTTCAGAGAACACAAAGAGTGGATGCATCTGCACCATTCCAAACGATTTTGAGCCATATCATCCAAAGTCTCCAACCATCGATTAATACCATCTCGCGGACCACAACCAGTGTCTAAATCTACCGACACGACTTAGTCCACTAACTTCATGGATTTCTGCCGCGTTTTGGTATAGCCGCCCTTAGCTTTCCGCCGACCTAGTCCTACACCACAAAACATCGCACTTTGAGGCAGTCGGTGGTCAGTCAGTCAGTTGCAACGTAGAACTACGTACGTATGTACATAAGTTCATGTTGCCATACCACATTAGCACAAAGACGCAAATGTCAAATCAAATCCCATTGTGATAAAGATAGTAGAGGTATTAATGGTAATGAAGAAGAATAGGGTACGAAGATATTATTCAAGAAGTATAATTAAGTGAGATAAGGTTAGAAAGACAAAGGTAGAGGTGCTGACGAATCCAGAAGATTAGGATTTAAGAGAACACAAAGAGTGGATACACTTGCGCCATTTCAAACGATTTTGAGCTAAGTCGTTCAAGGTCTCTAACCATTGGTGACTTTCGTCTCGCGGACCCCAACCAGGTAGTCGACAATTAGCGACATGGCTAAGTCCACTCGTCAATGACTTCATGGATTTCTGCAACGTTTTGGTCTGGCCGCCTCTAGCTTTCTTCCCACCTACTCCTACACCACAAAACATAGCTCGTCGAGGCAGTCGGTGGTTAGCCATATGTAACATATGTCCCAACCACCTCAACTGATGAAGTTTCACCACTTCATCGATTGATCTGCCATCCTTACCTAGTACTCGTTTCCTAACGACAGCATTGCTTACTCGGTTGTCCCACGATATACGAGCAATGCTTCTTAAACATCTATGGTCGAATACTAGTAACCTACGAACATCTTCTACTCTTAACGGCCATGTTTCACAGCCATATAGGAGAACGGAGCGAACTGCTGCACAGTACACTCGTCCTTTGATTAGCGAACGGATATCACGCCTACGCCATAAGTGACGCAGGTTGGCAAAAACCAATCGAGCTTTCTGTATCCGAGCTGAGATTTCGTCAGTCACCAGGCTCTCAGTACTGATGAGACTCCCCAGATAAGTGAAGCGATCAACACGCTCGACTACTTCACTCCCTATCACTAGTTCAGGTGTTGATGCAACCCAATCTTGAAGCAACATTTTGCATTTCCAGGGGGAAAACCGCATCCCGAACATGCTCGCATTGTTGCTTATGGTAGTCAGAAGACTCTGCATTTTGTCAGCGTCTTCACCGAATAGAACAATGTCATCGGCATATTCTAGATCAGTAAGCGACTTTCCTGGTAGAAGGTCAACCCCTGAAAAATCTGACGAGCTTAATATTAACTCTAAAAGGATGTCTACGACAAAGTTAAACAAGAATGGAGAGAGTGGACATCCCTGACGGACACCACTTGAAGTAGAGAATTCAGATGACAGTTCGCCATATGCTCTCACCCGACCAGTGGTGTTCGAGTAGAGTGTTTGTATAAGGTTAATGTACTTCTTTGGTACACCTTTCAATGACAGACACTGCCACAGAACTTCACGATCCACTGAGTCAAATGCCGCTTTTAGGTCCAGGAACATGACTATTGTCGGACTTCTAGATGTGTGTCTGTGTTCCAGGACCTGTCGTAGTGTGAAGGTGTGGTCTATGCATACACACCCAGGTCGAAAACCAGACTGGTTTTCTTGAGTCTGCTCTTCACGTGCTCTAGTTAGACGTCTAAGTATAATGGAGGCTAGCAATTTAGAAACTATATTAGTTAGACTGATTCCCCTGTGATTGTCACAAGAGGACTTTTGTCCTTTCGTGTAGATTGGGACAATTAGTGACTAAGACCAGTCAGATGGGATTACATCCGGTTCCCAGATTCTACCTAAGATCTCGGTCAGTCTAACTATTAAAACTGGACCACCATCCTTAAACATCTCAGGGGTAAGCCTATCAGGACCTGCAGCTCTACCTCCCTTTAGATTTCCTATAGTTTTCTCAACTTCATGTAGACTAGGAGGACTTGAATCGATCGGCCATTCAGGATGACTGGGGATCGTGGGTAACCGAAGTGTGACTCGAGGCCAGTTGAACTAATCCCTAAAGTGCTCTGCTCATCGCTCCAGTCTCCTGGATTAAGAATGGATAATAAGACCATCCTTTTCCGAGATAGTCTCACTCACATTCGGGTTCCTAATATCGGTTTCTTTAATAAGGCGGAAAAGTTGTCTACTGTTGCCGATCGCCGCTGCCTTTTCCATCGCTTTTGCTTTCGCCACCCACCACTGTTCACGGTCGTTACGTAGGCTTTTCATAAGTCTGCGACCAAGCTGACTACGCTCTTCATCATGTTCAGAGTTAGGTGGGATGCGTTTTCGAGCATCCATCAGTTCGGTGGATGCGACTGAAATCCACGGCTTCATCTTAGCCTTATGGTTTACCTTGCTAGCAGATATCACTGCTGTTTCCACAGCCTTCTTGATATGATTCCAACCTGACTCCGGATGGGAATCACATGCATGGTTACCTAACGGGTTTTCTAGTCCCTCCTGAAATATTTCCTTGTGGTGTGTCGGTTTACTGCGTGTTCTTAAGCTCGGTAATTAACTCGTCCAGACAATCGTTGCCAAATAGCATATGACGGTTGATAAATCAGAAGATGAACACAGTGATCAATACGTTTATTCGGGACACACCACAAAGCGAAGCGGAGAAGCAGTGAATAAAACGAATAAAACGACGTGAACTGGAGAAGGCTTTTGAGCCAACTCTTTGGATTACAATGCGAACGAATGGGCGAAGCGAATTGGAGAAGGCTAAGAGCCAACTCAAAGAGATAGAGTATGACTAAGAATATATAGTCAGACAAAAATAAGACAGACATATGACAAGCGAAATAGGCATGCACACACATGAATAAAAGCGACGAATGATTGACCAGGTCAAAAGCAAGCGATACGAATCATATGAGGTCATGGGGAAATTAAGAGATTAACATTAAAGCGAAAAGGATGAGTAAGTGCGTAGGCGTAAGCAATGCTCAGTCGTATAAGCTCATGCAAACCAGATAATAAAAAATACCAATGGTACATATGAGTTGTTGCTATACAAATAGCTTGGTTACATAAATTAATCAAAAGGCTCAATCAAATTAAATATGAGCGAACTCAAGTTTATGTGGAGGCACTACATCCTTAGCCTGATTATCATCAAGTAAAGCCCTAAGAGGCTTCCTTGCGGTGTCTTTCCTACGTCCAGCAAGCCTCAAACAAATACGTACTCGCACTAGGGCATGATCTGAATCTAAACATGTGCCCCAGAACGAGCGGCAGTCCTCCATTGAACCCCTCCATCAGTGGCTGATGGCGATATGATCTAGTGTCCAACGTTGAGACGACTTCGGGGGTCGCCAGGTCAACAGATGTTTTTCCTTATGTTTAAAATTAGTGTTTGCTAGAAATAGGCGGTTATCTGAGCATAGTTGCAACAGACGGTCGCCATTGTCTGTTCTTTGAGCCGCGACACCATAACATCCACCATGGTGTCTTTCATTTTCACTTAGTCTACCTACTTGAGCATTGAAGTCACCAGCCATTATTACTACATCGGAGCGCCTAGCTTTTTGGAGGAGGTCCGAAAGCTTTCTGTAAAACTCATCTTTTATATCGTCTGAACTGCAGTCAGTGGGGGCCTAGGCTGATATGACGAAGAGGCAACGACGAGTGTCCCTATCCTTTAGAATCCTTACTGTCCAGTTTAGTCAGACAGCGCACAAGCGACTATCTACAGGGATCTAGTCAAGGAGAGATTGTTCTGCCCTACGACTCAATACTATACCTACACCAGCGAGACCCCGGGAAGCAGCATCAGGGCTACCGGATACACGAAGGATAAATCGAGCTGCTTCTTTATCTTGACATGGTGAGGTCAAGTGAATGATGCTGCTCGGATCCTGTATGCGCGTTTCCGAGACGCAGCACACATCGATGGCACGAGATTCTAAAGTCCTAGCTGATGATGCCTGTTGTCCAATTTGACACAATGTCCGTACATTAAATGCTCCAACATGTAGTTTAGAACGGGGTTTAAGGAGACCAGGAACGACATTTCTCGAACTCGCATCGTTTGCATTAGCTGTTGTGCACTGTGATGCATGAATGTGAGAAGAGCTAGTCGCGGAGATAAGAGAGGTACTAGGGGGTGTAGGAAGGATTTGATTTTGACCAATTTGGTCTCGTGTGCTGTTATGGGTATGAGGGTGGTTGTCACTTCCCGGCTGCCCAAACCGTTGAAGGTTGTTTCTTGAGGAACCTGAAAAGGAAGGTAGATTAGAGCCGGTCTTAGAGACCTGGTTGCGTGACCGCAGAGTCCAAGGGACAACTTCTTGAGGCCGGTCATGCACGGCCTTTTTATGAAAGGTTTTTTGAGGATTAGCTCCGCTCTTGCAAGCCCTTAGTGGGCACCCTTACCCAAGGAGACGGAAATCCGTGAGGTAAGGTGAGGTGTGACATTTTTAAAGTCGACCTTTTCTAACCCTTCCTTCCTTGTGAGAAGGCAGCATCGCTGCAGATGCTGGTTGTCCGAGGGAAACACCTTACTGCTGTCACACCCCTCTGCAGTCAGCAGCACGACTTCGCCCTCAGACCTTGGGTAGCTGCTTTTAGTCTCATCGTTCTCCAATCGACCTGCCTGGCATGGTAGAACCTTCAGGAACATATGTTCCAGCCAGTATAGCTCGTTTGGGTCATCACGATAGGCAAGCCCGACCATCACGTCAAGGTAGCAGCTTCGGTCGGGGGACCAAAAAGGAGGAAGGTGTTAAAAACTCTCCATTTACGCAGAAGCGGCTATGAGTGATCAATTTAAATTAGTTTTTTAACTTTACTACAATATCACAAATTGATTGAAGTTCGACACGTAGCACATCGAATGACAACATCCAGTAGTCTAGAAGTTATAGAAACTCAAAGTGAAACCGAAGGTCCTAGGTCCGATCAACAATAGGGTTGTGGATGATACTGGCATACTAGAAAGAACAAATGCCCAATATTACTTGGTTTCCAAACTATGAACACTTTATGATATAAACTATGAAAATTCAACAGTTCCTACAAACCCCTTTACTAACTAGAAAAAGACACATAATGTGATGTAAACTGTCACGTTTAGTTTCATTGGACCAACTAACTAACATATACATCAATCTCTAAATGATGGTATACCATAGAATATTCATAGAATATCATAGAATTTTTTTAAAAAAAAATCTTTATTTTATTAATATACCAATTGTTTGTAATAAATAAAATTGAAAAAAAACAAACAAATTTTTAGTGTACACAAATGCATGGAAAAAAATGTTCATAATTCATTATGAATAAATTAACACTAGGTGGGGGCAAAGAAAGGAGGGAAGAATTTTTTAGTGAGAAAAATACATGTATACGCATGATTGAAGAACAATAATAATAACCTTTTATTTACTTTTTATAAAAAAAATCTGAGTTAAGTTAACTAATTGAAAAATGAATGACCAAATTTCATTAACAGGTGGTGGTGGTGGTTGGTGGTGATTAAATGTCCCAGAGAGAAAAAAATAATTAAAGATCAACACACACAAATAGATCGTCAAGGTATTAAACAAACCATAAACAAAAGAATGTGAGCTGTTTACAAATATATATTTTTATTGATGGCGTTAATGTACAAAAATTGAATGTATAATAATAATGAAAGGCGGATGATATACTAGAATCTTTTATCATACATATACAAGCAGCAACAATGAGATGAACCAAAAAGAAACGGATCAGAATAGCTAACATGTTTTTTGTTGTTGTCAACCTTGTTTTATTGAAGTTCTTTTTTTTTTCTTAGTTGTTTTCTCGTTTACTTTTTTCCTATTGTTTTTGTCTCTTATTCCTTCTTTTTATTTTTTTTTACATAGAACGAGGTTGTTTTAACGATGATGATGATGATTGTTCTTCATTCAATGAAAGATTCTCATTGGAATTATGCCGTTTTAAAGATCTACGTGAATCAGATGAATGAATACTGGACTCTTCTTTTTCAGTTATATCAATAGAAATAGATTCATTTTTAAATGAATCATTTATCTTATCTAAATCATCATTATGACCGGAAACAGATGATGCTGATGATGATGATGATAATGAAGATGGATTCGATGTAGTAGAAATATCTGAAGCATTACACGAAACAGTCATTTCACCGGGTTTACTTTCTAAATAAATTTCAGCACCAGAGAAAACATATTGATTTGGATAAATACGAGTAAATGTTCCAGCTAAAAAAAAAAAAAAAAAACAACCAAAGAACATGTAAACAACATGATTGATTAAAACAATACGAATTGATACGATTGTATTTGGGGATTAGTGTAAGTTACAGATTGACACCTTAATTAATGCGCCATTGGATCTGGATTCAATGACCTAAAAGTAACACACATGATTTGAGATTTCAAACCGATTGGTTTGATATACGTGCAGTGCACATTATTTCATAATTTCATATTGGAATGAAACAGCCATTCAGTTCTATACAATTTTCAGTATATTCCTACCTTAATATGGTATCATCTAAAATTTGGTTATTTTTAAAAAATTGAATGCCTATCTTATTCTCACGTTATTATTGTTAATACAATCCTACCTGTTTCATTTGATTATGTCATCACTGACAGAAGTGAACAAAAGTGTACATAGCTAACTAATTAGTAAAAAAATCATCTCTGATATAGTTACCATACGATTCTTTACACTCGATACTTGTGATCCCATCACATTATAGTGAAACCTTTTAAACGTATATACAAACATTCGGTTCAGCTTAGTGCAATGTACTTAATAAGTAAATCTTTATGACAGTAAACAGCGAAATTATTACAATCGACGGAAGACAGAATAATATATTGGTCAGAAAATATACCTGACTCCACCTAGAGCCCTTCTGGAGTTAATAAAGGTCCCAAGCCTAGATAGAGGAGGGATCAGCATGTCGTTAGTAACCCGCTCTGTAGAAAAATGATTCAAACCATCTAAAATCTCTGCCCTGGGAGTTGGAAGGTCTTTATGTCGAATAGTTATCACGCCCCATGGTGAAAGCCGAGTTCCTTTGAAAGTCACAAAGCCGATGCCCCTTCTCACAACCACAGCGACCATTAATATAGGTACATGAAATGTCCGTACATTGTGGTAGAACGAGAGAACTATTTAATTTGTTGCAGAAATGAAAAGATACAACCTGGTGGTACTTGGAATTATTGAAACACATAGGACGCAGGTTGGACAAAAGAACTAACTTCAAAAGTGATGCTGCTATATTCCAGCCACGAAGAAGAAAATGCTACATATACACAAGAAGTCGCACTGATGCTATCCGAAAAAGCACAAAAGGCACTGATAGGATGAGAATCTAATGGACCCAGGATCATCAAAGCATCCTTCAAAACAAAGAAAGAAGGCATTACAATAAACGTCATCCAATGCTACGCGCCTACCAACGATTACAATGAGAACGATAAACATCAATTTTATAAGAGGATGCAGTCAACTGTCGAAAAATACTCAGCAAGGGTGGTGTTTCGTTCTCTGAGTTGGTTGTTTTGATTGTGCAGCTTTCATTGTTCTTCTGAACAACATCATCAGCACAAACTTCAGATAGAAGTGAAGCATTCAAAACTGGAATTCTTCGCGGCATTAGAGTCATCACTCAAAACGGCAGGAATAAGTGAAGAAACTCAACAAGAAATAAGGCAAACCATAGTACCACTAACCCGACAGAAGAGAGACAACAACCAACTAACAGCACAACAACGAAAAGCTCTAAAGAAACTCAAGGCCAGGGAAGATATAGTCATAGTTCCAGCGGACAAAGGACGCACGACAGTAATCATGGACAAGGAGGAATATATCAAGAGAGCCGAGGATCTACTTCAGGACAGAAGCGTGTATAAACCAGTCGACACAAACCCTATAAAACATCTGGACAATTAAATCTCAAGGACTCTAAATAGGCTTGTCAAAGCAGGACAAATATCAAAACAAGATCAATGGAGAATGAAATCCAATGGACCAATAATTCCACGATTCTACGGTAGGCCGAAACTCCACAAACCTAACATCCCACTACGTCCTATTGTATCCCTCCCCGAAACCCCGACCTACAACTTATCAAGAGAAATTTCAAGGATATTAAAACATCTGGTGGATGAATCCAACTACTCCATTAAGTCTGCCACACAATTCTTGGATAAACTCAAGGGGATTCAAATTGAAAACGACGAAATGATGATATCCTTCGACGTAACAGCCTTATTTACCTCAAAAGAGCCAAGCTTAGCTAAAGAAACCCTTTCTCTGCTCCTCATCAACGACACAAATCTACACAAATATACAAAGCTTGAGACTCAAAGTCTGCTTGAACTCATCGACCTATGCTTAACAACGTATTTTCAATTCAACAATAGATTCCATGAACAAACAAAAGGAACTCAAAATGGGATCACCAATATCAGAACTCATCGCGGAGGCGGTAATGCGGAGACTGGAAGTGTCAGTTTTACCAGTGATCAAACCAAAAATGTGGGTTCGCTATGTGGACGACACATTCGTCATTATCAAAAAGAATGAGCTGGAGAACATCTACAATCGGATCAACAACGTCTTCGATGACATCAAATTCACGATGGAAAAGGAATCAAACAACAGCCTATCATTCCTGGATGTACTAATCACCAGAACTAACACAGGAAAACTAGAAACTCAAGTATTCCGGAAGCCAACCCACACAGACGTAATTCTCAACTACGGTAGCAACAATCCAAGAACCCACAAAATCAACTGCATACAAACGTTGTTCAAGAGAGCGAAGACACACTGCAGCACACGTGAGGCACTAAAAAACGAGGAAAAACATCTTATGACTATATTCCAAAAAACGGCTATCCACGCAACTTCATCAAAAAACATCAACCGAAACCGTCAACAGAACCGAAATCAAGTACAGGAACCAATAAACGGATCATCCTACCATACATAAAAGACATATCGGAACACACAGCACGACTACTGAAACCAATTGGAATAGGTGTGGCACACAAACCAACAAAATCATTTCAATCAATCCTATGTAGACCAAAGGACAAAATGACAAAGGAATAAAAACCAAATACCAGCTACACAATAAATTGCTCAGACTGTGAAAAACACTACATAGGACAATGTGGACTGCCTCTCCGGCTTCGTTTACGTGAACACCAATTAGCAGTCAAACGCCACGACGACGCTTCGCTTATATCAATACACACTGAAAATTATGGACACACATTAGATTGGGACAATGTGGAAATACTGGATAGGGGGAGGACAAAGAACACTAGAGAATTTTTAGAAGCTTGGCACTCAGGCCAATCAGCAATCAACAAACACATCGACATTGATCCCATTAATCAACCAATCAGGAAAATCATAGGTGATATGGGATCAAGAAACAGATCAAAAAGAGGATACAATCAAAACAAAGTTGCAAACAACGACAGGTTTAAGGTCAACAGCAACCAATCAAGATCGAGGTTAGCAGAACAAGCTACATGTCAAACGTGGAGAAATTCGAATGCTTCACTTCTGTCTGAAGTTTCTGCTGATGATGTTGTTCAGAAGAGCAATGAAAGCTCCACAACCAAAACAACCAGCTCAGAGAACCAAACACCACCACCACAATCATCCACCTGAGCTACAAATTTTCTCCGCCAACTCAGCAAAGGATTTGACGATTATGATGGGAGAGACCTAAATGTCAAGGTTGAAATGGACATTGGACATAAAGACATCATGGGACGACATAGACTTGGAGAAAGGAACGAAAATGGTGATAGATTTTCAGACCTATATGCCTTCAATAGACTGGTCATAGGCGGCAACATATTCCCAACTGGAAAGTTATTAAAAACGCATTAACTTCAGCATGTCATGAGGTTCTGGGGCGCAAGAAGCGCCGTCATTGGGAATGGATCTCTGATGATACTCTGGATAAGATTCATGGAAGGGAGGAACGTAAAACAGCAGTCAATAACAGCTGAATAAGAGCAGAAGAAACCAAGGCACAAGCTGAATACACAGAAGCAGACAAGCAAATGAAGAGGAGAATCAGCTAGCAAACGTTAGATTTAGCAAGTACAGAAGAAAAAGCTGCAAGAGAGGGAAATATGAAACAACTATAAGATACAACGAAAAGCTTGCTAGAAAACATCTAAAATAGAATCGCCAGTGAAAAGTAAAGAACGCAAAGCAATCACGGACATTCGATAGGAGAGAAACAGGTGGGTAAGGGACTTTGAAGAACTCTTGATTCGACCAGTCCCACTAAACCCACCAAACATCGAAGCAGCAACCACTGACCTTCCAGTCGATGCAAGAAATCAGGATGGTCACCAGACAAGAGAGCAAAGCAGCAGGGTGATACAACATTTCAGCTGAGGCACTGAGAGCAGACAGGAGTAACTGCGAAGATGTTCCACGCTCTGTTCAGCAAGATCTAAAAGGAAGAAAAAGTACCGGCAGACTGGAAAGGAGGACACCTCAGCAAGATATCAAAGAAAGATCTTAACAAGTGTGAGAACCACAGATACATTACTCTTCGCTCAATACCAGAAAAAGTATTCAACAGTGCTGTTGAACAGAGTGAAAGATTCCGTAGACGCCTTACTTCCAGATCAGCAGTTGAGGTTCCGTAAAGATCGGTCATGTACAGACCAAATCGCGACACTACGAATCGTAGTGGAACAATCAATTGAATACAAATCATCAATATACATCAACTTCCTTGACTACAAGAAAGCATTTGACAGTATGAACAGGAGGACACTATGGAGGCTTCTTCGAAACTACGGTGTATCTGAGATGATAGTCAACACCATACAGAATTTTTATGATGAATTAAAATGCAAATTCGTGCATGAAATACAGCTCACAGACTCATTGCAAGTGGAGACCAGTGTCAGACAAGCTTGCTTACAGTAATCCTTTCTCTTTCTCCTAGTGATTGACTGCATTATGAAGATGTCGACATCCTAGAGGAGTCGCGGAAATCAGTGAACAGCTCGAATGCCGCTGGACGACTTGGACTTCGCAAATGATCTAGCCCTTCTATTCCATTAACAATAACAAATGCAAGTGAAAACGTACAGTGTAGCAACAGCCTCTGCAGCAGTAGGTCTCAACATACACAAGGGAAAAAGCAAGCTCTTCCGATACAACCCATCATGCACCAGCCAAATCACACTTGATGCAGAAGCTCTAAAAGACGAGGAGACTTTTGCATACCTGGTCATCATCATTGATTAACAAGGTGGATCTGATGATATGATGATAAGAATCGACAAAGTAAGGGCAGCATTTCTACAATTGAAGAACATCTGGATTTTGAAACAGCTGTCTGTCAACCAACACTAAATCCACAGTTTTCAATATGAACGTCAAAACCGCTCTATTGTATTGGAGAACTACGAAAGCCATCATCTACAAGATACAAGTGTGTACACAAGATACGCCTCAACCGTTGGCCAGACACCATTGTTGGGATAGCCAATCGAGAAGACAGCCACGCACAATGTGGATTGATGATCTTATCGATTAAATGCTTAAATATTTCAAGGGCAGTCGATTGATGAACTATTTGATTAATGTTCAAATATTTTAAACGACAATATCGATTATATGTATAATTGTATAAATACGCATGTTTTATTGCGCATTTTTGATTCTGTTAATAAGTGTTCTCCAACGTCTTCCGTCTTCCGTCTTCTTGTTTTTTGAACGGTGGGAGTCTAACGTTCGGTGTTGTCATTTGTACAGTGGTTTGGCGTTACTCAAGTACAGAACATAAAAGTGGCGATGGAGTGTACAACCCACAATGCCAATTACCCTTGAACAGATAGAATCTTTACTGGGACGTCAAGGAAAACGATATGAACAGTTCCAGGAACGTATGTTGGAGTTGTTAATGAAACAAATGAATCTGAATCACAGAGGTCTTACCGACGATTCATATAATCCGCATACAGACTCGATAATTAATTCCATTCATGAATTTCATTTTGATGGCGTAGCTGGTGTGACTTTCGAGTCTTAGTTCAAGAAGTATGATGATTTGTTCAAGGTTGACCTCAACAAACTTGATGAAGCCGCCAAAGTCAGAATCCTCTTGAGAAAGCTCGGCACAATCGAACACGAAAGTTATAGTAATTTCATCCTCCCAAAGAATCCACGAGATTTCTCTTTTGATGCTACAATTGAAACGCTGTCGCAAATCTTCTCTGAACAGTCATCTCTATTTAATATTCGTTATCAATGCCTCAAAATAACTAAGTCAAGTGAAGATGACTGGGTAAAACACGCCGGCTTAGTAAATCGTGAATGCGAACGATTTAAACTATCATCAATGACGGAAGACCAGTTTAAGTGCCTTGTGTTTGTGTGCAGCTTACAATCTCGCGAAGATGCTGATATAAGAACCAGAATCTTAAGTAAAATTGAGCAGTGCCCAAACATCTCGCTTCAAGAAATAACTGCAGAGTGTCAGAGATTAGTAAATTTGAAGCATGATACCTCCATGGTCGAAAACAATGGCCGTCCATCATACGTGCATGCCGTTAGTGAAAAGACGATTCCGGCTCACAAAAACACAGACAACTAGCCCTCATCTCCATGCTGGTCATGTGGAGGTGGGCACTACAAGAAGTTTTGTCCATACAAAGAACACGCTTGCACTAAATGTCACAAAAAGGGCCACAAAGAAACCCGATGTAGGACAAAAACTCGCAGACATTACTCCGCGAAAGTCGATTCCAAGAAATACAGTTCTAGTAAGCCAATAAACCGAGTATCGGTGTCTCATAACCAGACAAGAATTCACCACAGAAGAAAGTATGAGATTTTGGATATGAATTCACACCGTATCCGTCTTCAACTTGACACAGCATCTGATATCACCCTTATCAGTCCAAAAACTTGGGAGAAAATTGGAAGACCTACGGTTCACCAAACGAAGCAACTAGCACACAGCGCATCTGGTGGCAAGCTAAATATTGTTGGAGAAATATTGTGCACTGTTTCAAAAAATGAGGCAACAACGAGTGCAACTGTATACTTAACTAAGAACCCAGACCTTGATTTATTGGGGTTGGATCTGATAGATGCATTAAAATTAACAGACCATCCTATCAACAATATCTGCAGCCGAGTTAGAATCAATAACCCTTTAGAGTCAAATCTGAGAAATACCAATATAAAAAGGTATCATGAAGTATTTTCAGAAGCGTTGGGCGAACGTACGAAAGCCAAAGGACTACTGACTCTCAAGTCAACAGCTATTTCTGTTTTTCGACCAAAAAGACATGTACCTTATGCTTCTCTCCCAGCAGTTGAACAAACCCAAATGCCGAAACTGCCTTTCGTGCTGACAAGCCGCAAAAAAACCATTCGAAATGCGAGCCCCAACAATGGCAGAAACCTACTGGACCTTGGGAGAGAATTCATGCAGATTTCGCTGGCCAAATCCAAGGTAAAATGTTTCTAATTATTGTAGATGCGTATACAAAATGGCCAGAAATATGCAGCATGCCGAATTGTACAGCCTCAGAAACTATTCAGTATTTAGTTGTTTCGGAGTGCCAGAAACCTTGGTAACTGATAATGGATCACAATTTGTTGCGGACTCATTCAAGCGATTCTGCAGTTCAAATGGCATAACGCATCTACGGTCCCCACCTTACCATCCCCAATCAAATGGACAAGCAGAACGCTTCGTTGATACATTCAAAAGAGCTTTACTGAAAGGGGGAGACGATGGGCCAACTAGCCAAGTAATCACTAAATTTTTAACGGCGTACAGAAGCACTCCGAACCATACGGTCCCAGAGGGGAAGTCTCCAGCTGAAGCAATGTTTGGAAGAAGTATTCGGACTATTTTTAACGCGATGTTGCCCCCTAAAAGAGTGAGTAGGTACAGGTCAAGTCCAAATATTCGCAGCTTCAACCTTAGCGATAAAGTGTTCCTAAAATCATATCTGGGGAAAAATCAATGGGAACCAGGAACCGTCGTACAAAGACTAGGAAGAGTTTTGTATCGAATAACAGGAGCTTTCGGGAGCTGTGTTAGACACACGAACCAACTGAGAAAGGACGAAGGAATGGTACGCTTGGGTGATAATCGCGTAAATCTACCGCTAGAGTTGATCACAGAACCGACAACTACACATTTGTCCCGGGATACCGAAGAAAAGGGAAGGTTGGAGACACTAACTCGAGATTCAAGCTGAGAAAGAAATCAGGAGAAAGCGCCGGAGATGAATTGGACATACACTGCGGAAAACACCCAACTACGTCACGAGGCAAGCCTTAAATTGGAATACTCAGGACCAAAGGAAAAGATTCAAAACAGAGAACACATCCAACCGAAGATCAGAGAGAGATATGGACAGCTATTGGGAACAACTGTAAAGGGGAGCCCAGGACAGAGTTGGTTGGAAAATACTAGTCATCAGCTTATGCTGCATGAGGAGTAACAAGCGTAAGTGAAAAAATACGCCTAAAGATTTCTGAGGTCCTTTTTTAACAGATGGTTAGAAAACATATTTCTAATAGTAATAAATTAAAATAAGATACTACTAACGTGGTAAACTTGACGCCACCTCCCACGCAAACTCTTCATCTTCATCCTCACTAACTTCAATTACGGCATCATCATTTGGAGGATCCCCATGAATCACTTCTGAAGAATTGTCAGATGTAGGATCAACGGTAGGGTTGTAAGTTTTCTTATCAACTTCTGCATTACTATTTGTTTCAGACTCATTGTCTGCTAGTTCCAAAGATCCTGTGTCCTGAGCAGTGAGATGAGATACATTTGAAGATCTTTCATTGGGTTTTAATAGTTCACTTGTAATTTTTAGTGAATTTAAAGGGACTTCAGTGAGGGGCGTATAGTCTGATAATCCTGGAACTTCCCAACCCAATCGATGACATAATTCGCTAACAATAGTATCGCAATTTCCCAGAAGTTCAACATCGAAATCGTGATTGGATAACGGTTCTCTATTAATAAGTATTTGTGGAACTTGTCTGGGAACAGCATCTATATTGAAAAAAAGAGTTTAGGTAGAAGATAAGTAGTTTCCGAAACATTAGGAATACTCGAAAAATTCATTAAGAAACCAACTTTTTAAGCAATGACTATCTTGGAGGTTTCCAAAGTAAGATGAAGGAACTAATTCGTGTACCTTCAATAATCAGTCAGTCAGTAGTTACAACGTAGAACTCGGTACGTATATACATCGGCTCAAGCTTCCATGTCCTAACTGGTATAGTGAGATAAAACTTTCAAACACTATAATTATTACTATTGCCATTAACAAGACCAAATTCCCCTAGTGTACATCTTACACAGTTTATTGTACTATTGATTACGATTTGACACTTTACTATGAACCATTCTGACTTTGATTAGATGACCGTTTTAATTTACAAATGATACAACATTGAAGTATTTATACCGTAACAGATTCAAAAATTCATTCATTAGTGTATGCCTTATTTTTGACCCTTATAATAATAATTATAGACTGTAGAGTCTGATGATGAAATTACTGAAAACAATTGTTTGCTTAAATATTCTCTGTTTCTGAATAATCTATGGGGTATTGTTAAATGTTGGATTAAAGTTTTAAAATCTGATGTTAATCGAGAAGAAAATGGTAAACCTATAACAACTGTGTCGTCACTGGCTTAAGTGTATCGACTGTCAACCAAGCTTAGGACCGCATAGTTTATAATAATCAATCATGATGCCTAATCCAAAAACAAGTTAGTTTTAGATTTTAATTCATCAAGTAGAAGTGACGTTAAGCTTTTATGTTTACATAGCTAGTACAATTGTGTCAAGAAAATAATAATAATAATATAATGTAAGTTATTGTGCAAAAAACATGGAATAGATTTTTATACGATAATGCATCAAGTTACAGAGAGGAATACTCGTTAAGTTTGGAATGGTGGTAGCTACTCACAATCGAATTTTTATTACAAAATCAGGTATGATATCACTAAGAGAGGTTGGAGAAATTCGTTTCAATGATGTCCAGTCTGATTCACTTATCCAGTTCAGAGACACAACATTGTCACATTTAAAGCCGAATCCAACATCCAATCAAATGCCAGATGTCATACTAGGTACTGCTAACCATGACTTTCTTAATGGTGTAAAAAACATTGTTTCAATCACTATCATAAGTATCGGTTTTCTAATGTTAATAATGCCAGTTAGAAACTGCTTCTAATATCATATCTGTTTTAAATCAACCTTGTCAAGAGCCTAGTTAGTCAAGTATTTGTTCTAATTAATAAGTGCTAATGTTATAAATGCTTACAGAACGGACAAGGAGGCATTCAAGCGAAGAAACAAATTGCATTGCGAAAAACATTACACTAAATGTAAAGTTTGCACATCTTCTTTGAATCGACAATTTCAATCTTCATTCATTCTTGTTGTCATTGTAATCGCTCCTATTTCCTCTTTCTCTTATGTCAATGAGAATTCTACTACATATTCCCATTCCCATTATATACTACTAACATCTGCCCGAATAAATAGCGCACACCACATTCATATTGTTAATAATTATGCTAAAATTATTCATTCTATTAGTGATCATGTTTACAAGCACCTCTGGCGTACTATTTAAAGGTGTTTATCAATTTAATAACTATATTACTTGCCCTAAAAAATGTTGGATTATTTTTAATCCATATGAATCATACTGGCAACACAGTATCTTATGAATTCACAATAAATTATAATCATTAAATTTGAACGTTCAGGTATGTCAATCAGATGAGCAGAGTTATAAGATGTATGTTTGCCGCCAGAGTCAACACACACTTCTTCAAGAGGGAGTATACATGGTGGATGTCAACTTGGATTTATCTCCAGGGTCAAGTCAATCTATATCAGCAGACTTTATGCCAAACATAACAATCAGTCTTATCGGAAAAAAAAAACTATAAGACTTACTAGGAATATGAGAGACAGGTCGAACTTTTAAAGATGATCCAATGACTAAAACTAGATCAGTTTGTTTTATATCATTGGAAAGCGAGTCATGAAATTCATTTGATAAACCTTCACCGAAAAACACTATATCCGGTTTTAATACACCATATGAAGCTAGTTTACGTCGAGATTTATTATTTCGCTTTGATTTAACTTGTGGAGGTGTATCAGTTGACATATTATTATTATTATTATTATTATTATTATTATTATTATTATTATGTTCATCATCATTATTAACGGAATTAGAATTTTCGTCGACATTTGATAAATCAGATGAATGATTTGTGGATTCTGAATCATTCATTTCATGTGATATTAGTGAAGATGATGATGATGGTGAATCGATTTTCGACGGCCAACATTGTGTACATCGTGGTATAGACTGTGTGAAAATAGCTTCTTTAATGAAATCAGATGAAACTTTAAGCTTGCAATTTGTACATGTGGCTGATGCAAATGAACCTAAATTAATTAATTAATTAATTAATAAACAAATCAATAAATTATGATTAGTGAATATGAATGTCGTTTTTTCTTCTTTTAAAAAGAAAAGCAATAATAATTGAAAATATTATTGTAATAAATTTTTTAGTTAATTACGAGAAACCATTTTATCTAGACAAATAAAAGCACGCTTCAATTTAACGAAATTACAAACAATAGCATAACAGATGTGGTAAATATGAAAGTATATTTACCTTAGTTGAGATAAAACAGAAAATGTTCATTCTCTTTTTTTTTTCTATTTAATGCTGATCAAAGTGTAACAAATAAAAACAACATTGATTTACTTTAGTCAGATGAAAAATATGTCTGAAATTTGCATACTCAATTGAAAAACTATAATGATGATAATAATAATAATATGCTATCAAATTTTTTCAGAAAGATGAATAAATAAACGGGAAATATGAGGAAAATTTATCTACATTCGAAAAGAAATGCTTACATTAACTGTAATTATTACTATGCTCTTAAAAACCATCAACGCCCGTAGTTTAGTGAAGAACTTCGATAATGCATATATATATATATATAGTCAGCAGTACCACTTCGCCTTCAGACCTTGAGTTGCCGCTTTTAGTCACAAAGTTCTCCAATAGACCTGCCTGGCATAGTAGGACCTGCGGCCACGTTCACTACAAGTATTGCGAAGATATATAAGCCACTGGCAAAAAACCTCAGAATTAACAGCTAAGATAGTATGACGAATATGTTGAAGATGAAGGTATCCATTCAGGCTACCTATCTTAAAAAAGGATTAATATTCAGTTCTGGATATATCAGCAATCCCCTAAGGACAATAAACTTCCTGTTAGGATATTCATCCAATATCCTAAGAGAATTATTGGTCAAAATTATGGTCGTTATAACTGTCAAAGTCAGATACTTCAATGTTGTTTCTTATTGGTTGTCCTAACTATCAGTGTCACTTCAAATGTTACTTCCTATTGGTCGTCTTAACTGTCAATGTCACAGAATTCGATGCTGTTTCCTATTCGACCAAAATATATAAATACGCATTATCTGTAACGTCTATTGATCACCACCAGGACCAGGGCTCGGTCCCGGATCCCTAGTCCGGGATCCTGATTCTCTTCTGGATTCGGACCTCGTACTTTCTGGATGCTTGTAGAATACACGTTCAACTCCATATCATGTCTTCTTATTTTAACTAAATATGGGGGTTGTAATAATCGGATTTGAGTAACATGTTGTGTCGCCGAATCATCGCTCTCGTTTCCGACTAGGTAAACTTGTAATATCAAGTTGACGTGTTTATGTGCAGGTGTAACACTTCCAAGATTAGTTTAACGAGTTTCTAATCGTAACCCATTAACTCAAATGCTGAGCAGAATGCTGACTCAGAGTCTCCCCATATCTCCCTCCTTTGATTTAAGCAACGGCTTCTTTTAACTGTCACTACTATCAAAAGAGTCATCTAGAATCACAAAAAAAGTTGAAAATTATCCTAACTTCCATAACTAATACTTATATCATAAAGTGATTAGTTTCGTAATAAATTCACAGACAGAAATGTTTTACGTTTCTTTTAATACTGTTTAAGACCAATGGAAGTAATTAAAACCAGAAAGGTTAATGAATTGTTCTAGCCTGTTCACCACAATGTGTTCATATATATAAGTGTACACAAATAAATGTTAGAAGGTGGAAACACGATAGTAAACATGAAACCTAACAAGTAATATATGATAAGCCCCTACATACCATGACACTGGATAAGTCGAGTAATCCCAGCAGCCTGTTCCAAAGTATCGATATTTTGTGTGTAGTTACGCAACAATTTTCCTTTGGACTCCAGTAAAGCAATCATTCGGTGAGTGATTGAAGGTTGAAACTGACCAGGAAAGAGCTCCTGAAGTTTTTCAACGGTAGAAATAAAATGAACATTATCAATATGATCATTCTTTTATGCAATCATCACATATGATGTAACAAAAATATTTTGCAGTACTGAAGTAATTGCAACAATCATGTCCCATAAAAAACGCAACCGGTGAATTGAATCTCTACGTGGACAAGTATACTTTCCAAAATGTCAGCTGAAATTCTGTTTTGGAAAAATTGTCCCAAAACCTTATTCTGAGTCTCAAAACACAACGATATCATCACTGTATTTGAATATCAAAAGTGCGCTTTTCTACTTTATTTAGATTGTGATATTTGTAACACGATATTCATTTTTTTTGTTTTTTTTTTGAGATAGTATTAACCAATTCTGTTTTATTATTGGTCAAACAAACATACTATCTATAAAATCCAAATTGTTCTATTCGAAAACGGTGTATGTTGAAAATAGCACAACAAAGTAAACAGACAAAATAATGCGGTGTATATTTTTTCTTCGATGTGACAAGCATGAAAATGAAATGACTATAAAATTCAACATCTTAAGAAGGCTAATTCATCTACTTTTTTCTACTCTTTGAGAACAAATCTAAACTTTTTGACAATAATTATCGAACATAAAAATAAAATTTGTGACACTTAAGATAAAACCACAAGTAATAGTTAAATTACATGGCTTGAATGTTATCATTTCAATAATTGATATTTATTTCAATAAATTAATCGATAATTCTAAAATGATCCCTATCATAAAAGTAGTATATTTTAACATTTCAACATCTATGTCAATTTTAATTAGTAAATTTTTATGACACCGAATTATTATTAACTATTGGGATTTTTAACAGAAATAAAACATACCTTAGCGAATTTAAAGAAAGGAATTGGATTTCGTTTGAAATATGACATATCAAACATTGCCTGAGGGCTTGATAGATCCGGAAAATCCCGAGATAAGCGAGCATAAATACCATCACGAGAACGAAAATCAGGAATTCCGCATGACACTGAAATCCCAGCACCAGTGATTACAAGGATTGAGGTGCAAGTAGACAAAAGTGACAGAACTTTTTCTAAACTATTAATATGACGCAGTCTGCGTCGTGGAGCAGGTTCAGCCAAAAGTGTCAATAATAAACTTAATACATGATTAGGATCAGATGGTAAAGAGTCTTCATCCATCCCAAAAACACGAACCAGTAATAACCGCGGATCATTAAAGCCAGCTTGTATGAGCCTATTCAGTCGCTTGAATGGACCTGAAGCAATTTAAATAATAATAATGATAATAATAATAATAATAATAATAATAATAATAATAATAATAATAATAATAACCAGAAAATGAAACTTTAATAAAATATAAAGATGAATACACGGTGTGTGGATTTACCGCAAACATACCACATATGATAATAATAGACAAAAACATTGAATTTAAAGTATATGTTGTTGAAACTGCCGTTTAACTCGAGCTACTACAATGAGAGAATAATGAAGTAAAGAAGTGTGACTAGAACAAACAACATAGACATACAATGAACAGATCTGAAATAATGGATGTTACTTATCATAAAAGCTAAAATAATTAGGCATATTCATATAATAGACAGGTGTTCCCAGAGTGCTACACGATACAGTTAGTCATGAGTTAGCTAATGAAGAAAAATATATTGGTATACACTTGGGGTTACTGCCGCTCCCATGTCCGGATAAACAAGGAGGTTGGGCATGTTGTTGGTGATGCTACTCTTTTTCTTTCTCCTGATGATCGGCTGGATCATGAAAATGTCAACATCTGGAAGGAAGCACGGGATACAGTGGATGCCTAGGACGCAGCTGGACGATCTAGACTTCGAAGACGATCTAGCTCTTCTATCACACACGCAACAACAAATGCAAGAGAAGACCACCAGTGTATCATCAGTCTCAGCAGCAGCAGGTCTCAACATACACAAAGGGAAAGACAAGATTCTCCGATACAACACAACAAGTAACAACCAAATTACACTTGACGGAGAACCTTTGGAAGATGTAAAAACCTTTACATATTCGGGCAGCAAAATTGATGACCACGGTGGATCTGATGCAGATGTGAAGGCGCGGATCGGGAAAGCAAAGTCTGTATTTCTACAATTGAACAACATCTGGAACTCCAAACAACTACCAACCAACACTAAAGTCAGAACTTTCAATACCAATGTCAAGACCAACGGAACAGAGGAAGGTAAAATAACACGTTACGCTGAGAAACGTAGACATACATGAGAAGGCCCACGACAGAGTAGGTTGGAGAACGCTGGTCAGCGGCCTATGCTTCATTAGAGGTAACAGGCGTAAGTAAAGTAACTATAAATTTAACTACATATTTGAACACCATTTATACCATTTGTAAAAAATAACACCTATTCAGTTTATAGCTTGAATGAATATTTTGTTACAGAAACATGACATTTCAAATACATTAGCAGGGTTGGCGCGCAAACAGAAAAGAGAGTTGACTACAAAACACCACCATTTAACAATGCACAAAATTTATTGAGCCATTTTAGAACCAGTCGGTTCTGAGTACAGGTATGAGACGTAACTAGCGAACGAAGTACGATTACTAGAAGTTTAGACTATGGTATATTCCATTCGATATAAAGCCTACTACATATAGGAAACTAGTGTTTCCAGAGATCCGGATACGACACTACAAACAAAATTTATTTTATTTGGTAAGGATATTCAGTCAGTCAGATGCAACGTAGAACTTCGTACGTAAGTACATCAGTTCATGTCGCCATACCACATCAGTACAGAGATGTAATTGTCAATTCAAATCCATTAGTAGAAGAGATAGTAAAGGTATTAGAAGTAATCGGAGAGGTTAGGATTAGAAGATATTATTCAAGAAGTATGATTCAGTGAGAAAAGTTTAGAAAGTCAAAAATAGAGGGGTTGAAGAATCCACAAGATTAGGATTTGAGAGAACACAAAGAATAAATGCACCGGCGCCATTGCGAACGATTTTGAGCCATGTCATTCAAGGTCTCTAACCATCGATTAGTAACTAAACAAAACTAATATGCTTTTAATTTTGACTGAATCGACAGACATTTACAGGCTCATATTTCATATGAGGAAACCTTGATAGTGCCGTGATTCACCTTCCCGTTGAACCCATCCCAGGCTCTGCAGCTATAAACTAATATACATTATCACAAAGGATATATTGGTAATATTGAGGTATCAACACAAGATTCGTATGCCGACAATGAGCAATGAGTTTGACATGACAAGTCAATAATTGTTGTGTTAGCTGCTTTTAGTAAGGTTTAAATTAATCTATGAATTAGAGATTGAAAACAAAGTAATAAGTAACTAAATTAAACCATCCGTTTACATTAGGCCAACCAAACATCAAGTAAGAGTGAATTCATTTGATAGTATGACATTTTATTGCATAAATTTATACTGAAGGTGAAAAGACCATAATGCTTGCACAAAAAATAACTGGTTTAGGTTTCAAAATGTAAGTGAAATGACAGTTTTTGATAAGTTAATTTAAAAATCGTCATTTTTGTGGAATTACTACTGACTAATTAGCTATATCACTAGGTACAATAAAAAAATACTAACGAGGAAGATAAACAGATTACTCGTTAGAGATTTAAAACAAGCTGTACAATTAATCATTATCAAAGATTAAAATAATACGCAGAACCATCTGCTCTGTTTGAGTTTTTATGCAACCTCTAAGCATGGATGTTAAATATCTCAAACCAGGAAATGACAGCACTTTAGCTACTTGCATTTTCAAAACTTTTCCATATATCATTTTACGAATTTAAAGTTCGTGGTAAGCATTGCTATACGTTTAACGACAAAATTTCTGAATGATGTTATGAGTGTAGAAAAAAGAACAGGAGCTCACGCACCGAAGATTATTTAATGCTATTTAGTAATCACCATCAGTGAAAATCATTCACTAAGTAACATTTATTTTTGCTCGGCTTGTAAGCTATTGATCCTGAACGACTGATCAAACTGAAGCACGTGAGACAGGATTCAAAACTGTGATCTCATGATTGAAAGCCATGTACTCTAACCAATAACAAAAAATATCCTATAAGATTGGATAGTTTAATATGAGTGTATGATTACAATAACCAACTATCATAATATTTGCTCGGCTGCTGAATATTCAAGGTGAAAAGCTCAGCGAAGTGGGATCAATTTAAGTAACTAAAGCGTCACCACACGTTCAAAAAGTGACGATAAAGGGCAAAGGTTGTTATTATTTTTGAAAACCCTTCAGATGATATCGTGGAACTGACTGTTTATCTGAATTATTAAAAAGTATACTTGACATAAACATCTAATAGGATAATTTTAACTTTATCCGATTGAGAAAATAACAAACATTAGTCGCACAATAATTCTCTCACATGAACAGATTAAGCGTTTAAGGAATCAAAAGGAGTAGACTAATGTCAGCCAGTCAGTTACAACGTAGAACTTCGTAGGTGCGTACACCAGCTCAAGTTGCCATACCACGGTAGCACAGAGATGCAATTGTCTATTCAAATCCCATAGTCGTAGAGGTAGTTGAAGTACGAGCACTAATCGGAAAGATCACGGTCCGAAGATATTATTCAAGAACTATAATCTGGTGAAATAGATTTGAGACGAGAAAGATGAAGGTTATGAGGAGTTTAGATTAGAATTCGGGAGAACACAAAGAATGGATGTACCTGCACCATTCCAAACGATTTCGAGACATGTCGTTTAATGTCTCGCGGCCTCCAACAACGTAATCTACATCTACCAACATGACTTATTCCACCTGTCAGTGACTTGATGGATTTGAGCCATGTTTTAGTTTGGCCACCCCTACCTTTTTTCCAACCTACTCCTACACCACAAAACATTGCTCGTCTAGGCAGTCGGTGGTCATGTAAACGTAACATATGTACCAACTATCTCAACTGATTTGCCACTCTTACCTAGTTCTCGTTTTCTAACAAATGCATTGCTTACGCGATTGTTCCAGGAAATACGAGCAAGGCATAGAAGACAGTTATGATCAAATAGAAATAGCCTAAGAGTATCCCCCTACTCTTACTGGCCATGTTTCACAGCTGCAAAGTAGGACGGAACGAACTGTTGTACAGTACACTCGTTCTTTGGCTAGCAGACGGATATCTCACTGACGCTATAAGCGACGCAAGTTGGCAAAAGCCGATTGAGCCTTCCGTATCCGTGCTGAGACTTCGTCAGCCATCAGCAATGACGAGACTCCCGAGATAAGTGAAGCGGTCACTACGCTCTACTGTTTCACTCTCTATCACTAGTTGAGGTACCGACGCAAGCCAATCCAGAAGCAATATTTTGCATTTCGAAGGAGGGAACAGCATCCGAACATGCTTACATTGTTGCTAAAAGTAATCAGAAGACTACATTCAGTCAGCGTCCTCACCGAATAGAACTACGTCATCGGCAAATTCCAAGTCAACAAGCGAGTCTCCTGGTAAAAGTCCAACTCCTCAAAAGTCAGATGATGTAAGCGTCGTATCTAAAGGCATGTCAATAACAAAGTTAAACGAGAATAGAGAAAGTGGACAGCCCTGACGAACACCACTCGATGTAATCGATTCCGATGACAGTTCGCCATAAGCTCTGACTCAACATGTAGTGTTCGAGTAAAGTGCTTGTATAAGGTTAATGTACTTCTTTGGTACACCTCTTAATGACAGACACTGCCACAGAACCTCACGATCAACAGAGTCGAATGTCCCTCTAAGGTCAAGGAATACAACTATTTTGGGACGTCCGAACGTGTGTCTATGTTCTAGGACCTGATTTAGTGTGAACTTCTGCTCTATACAGTCACGTCCAGGTCGAAAACCAGCCTGGTTTTCTCTAGTCTGCTCTTCACGAGCTCTAGTTAGATGTCCGAGTATTACTGAACCCAATATAATTCAGACACTATATTAATTAAACTGATTCCTCTGTGATTGTCACAAGAGGACTTTTGTCCTTCCTTATAGACTGGGACAGTCAGTGATTGAGACCAGTCAGATTGGATTAAGTCCGGTTTCCAGATTCTACCTGAGCTCCCAGTCGATACAACAGCTAAAACTAGACCATCATCCTTAAAAATCTCAAGAGTAAGCTTATCAGGCTCTGCTGCTCTCCCTCGATTTAGATTTCCTGTAGCTTTCTCAACTTCATAAAGAGTTGGAAGACATACGTCGATTTGCCGTTCAGGCTGACTGGAGATCGTGGGCAACCGAAGTGTAGCTCAAGGCCAATTGAACTGATCGCTAGAGCGTTCTATCCATCGATCCAATCTCCTGGATTGAGAATGAATAATAAGGCCACCTTTTTCCGAGATAGTCTCACATCCGGATTCCTAATACCAGTTTTCTTGATAAGTCTGAATAGTTGTCTACTATTACCTACCTGAGCATTGAAGTCACCAGGCACTATTACTATATCAGCTGGAATAGAAATGGTTCTTTATTTTGACGTGATGAGGTCAAATGAATGACACTACTCGGATCCTATATGCGCGTTTCGGAGAAGCAGCATACATCGATGGCGCGAGATCCTAAAGTCTTAGCTAAGGAAGCTCGGAACAAAGTTCGAACACTGAAAGCTCCAATATGCAGTTTAGAACAGGGTTTCAGGAGACCAGAAATAACGTTTTGCGTACTCAAATCGTAAGCATCGGGGCGTGTGGTGATAAAGGAACCGGGGGAATGTTTAGTCATGGAGGTAAAAGGGTTATTAAAAAGTATAGGAAGAATTTCGGTCTCGTGTGCTGTTACGGGTATGAGGGTGATTGTCGCTTTCCAGCTGCCCACACCGTGGGAGGATAATTTTTGGGGAACCTGAAAGAGAAGTTGGATTTGTGTTGGTCTTAGAGACCTGAGAGTGTGATCGCAGAGTTCGAGCGACAACTGCTTCAGACAGGTCACGCACAGCCTTTTTATGAGCAGTTTTTAAGTGTTAGCTTCGTTCTTGTTTGAAAGGCCTTACCGCCGGAGACGGAAATCCGTGCGGTAGGGTGAGGTGCGACCATTTAAGGGTCGACCTTTTCTAACGCTTGCTTCCTTGTGAGAAGGCAGCATCGCTGTAGATGCTGCTTGTCCGAACGAAACACCTTACTGCTGTCACACCCCTCTGCAGTCAGCAGTACGACTTCGCCCTCAGACCTTGAGTAGCTGCTTTTAGTCTCATCGTTCTTCAATCGACCTGCCTGACATGGTAGAACCTACAGAAACATGTGTTCCAGCAAATATAGCTCGTTTGGGTCATCACGATAGGCAAGCCCGACCACCACGTCAAGGCGGCAGCTACGGAATAGACTAATGTTTCTACGAACTAAGAATAAAGAGAATGAGGCATAGCATTAATCCATAAAGTCACTGAATAAATTGTGGAAGTACGGACGTCCTGGATGAACTTCCCGAAAATAAGAGAACAAGTAGTTTAAAGCCATAGGCACATAGATTAGATTCGACCAAAATGGAGCAAATCCATTATCTCCTCATTATTTGGATTATAAACAACTTATTACTAGCTCATAACTTGCCCTTTTTGATATATTCTTTTTCTTGTTGATTTTCTTTTCAAGTGTGGTAACTTGAGTTGACAGACTCCCCTGATTGTGATATTTGAGACCTTTTCAAATGATCTGATTTTTCTCTGACTGCCATAAAATAATCCGAAAAATTTATATGAGATAACTAAAGGAAGTGTACTAGTATTAGTGATAAAGGAAAATTTATAACAATTCTCATTGAAGTTTGTATGAAAAACCACTATAATGACTGGTATTTAGACGTTACACACTTAATATAACGTTTCATAGACATACCATGAATGTCACGCCACTTCTCTTCACCTTGCAAATCTTCAACACTTAAGATCTCACAATCACTTTCGGCAGATACGTCATTATTAGTATTATCATCATCGTCAACAGATATAACACTACTGGGACCTTTTCCATTCAAAATATTATCATGAGAATTCTGTGAATCATTTTCATCATCTGAACTAAGAACAACTATCTCTGAATTGTCCATGTTGATTGACGGCTCTTTGTTAGCGTCCATCGGGTATAGCTGAAAAATGTATAAAAGTTTGTTTTTTTAATTCTGACTAAAACAAATATCTGTACAACAAAGGTAAATTCTGTAATGGCACAACAATTTAATGTGACGGATTATGTTCTGCTGTTGACAAACGAAATTTGTACCTTTAATGCAAACATTGACTTGAGTTTTCAACACCACAACAGGCTAAAGCAGCAGGATTTACTATCGATTTTTCACAGTCTAGGTTGCAACACTTTGCGAAATAGCAATAAAAATTCTGCAGGAGCAAATTCAAAATTTAAAGCAGTAAGAATAATGAAAAATAAGGAGATAATTAAGAGAATCAGTGGAATCGAAGAATGCAAAATATGAAATAAGGCTGTTGAAACTGAAACGGGGATGAAAAATAAACCCCATTATTCCAGCCATAAATAACAACGATCGTCTAAATCCTTGCCGAAAAGACTGCACTTTAAAAAACGACCTCGCTTAGTATTCAATAAATTCACAAACTAGTCATTTTGATGAAACATCTAGTTCTTATTTCAGCATATTTATCTATGTTAGGAAGTATATTACCAGAGCGTTCGGCAACTGTGAGTTTAATGTCCTCAATACTACATAAACCGACTTACCACCTTTACTTTTTACCCTGAGATAGGAACCGTAGTTCAAAAATATCACAATCCTCAATGCTTGAACTTCATCACTTCATCGGAAATGTATATTACTTCTTAACTTCACTTAAACGTGATCGATGAAGTGACCATGCACAGCCTAGCACGAGAATTATTCGGTGACTCAATAGCATCACTTTATTTTTTCTCTGCATGTGGGTATATGAGTGGACTTGAAAATAGAATATGCATTTGTTAATGGGATTCCAGTCAGTCAAAACTTGATACAAATGTTTGTCAACCTACAATACCACACTACATTAACACAAAATAAAGGGACTAAAAAATTACATGGGATCTGAATCAAAGTAACAGTAGTGTCCATGATTATGAAAAGAATAAAACATAAGAATACATTCTGAAAAAAGGAATTAAGCAGAGTAACATGCAGTGGTAAAGTGTAAAGTTTAACATTGGTAAGAAGATAAGAAATCAATATGTTTGTACTACGACGACTGAATTCAAGCCACATCAAACATTTCCAACCAGTAAGTTTTTAGTCTGATAGTTGACTGTTACTAATGTTACGTCCTAACTTAACGGCCCCTAGCTTCCTTTCAATCTGGTGCAACGCCAAGAAGCCTAAGGGTCTCGAGGTAGGTGATGGTTGGAGACACATCATACACCTCCCAACCATCTCAATCGATGGAGATTCACGACCATATCAACCAATTAGTTACCTAGTCTGATACCTTAAGACCAACTCCAGAACACGGTTGTTCTACGGTACACGACTAATGCTTTGAAGACACGATTAGTCAGGAGCGTGCAGCCTGTATAGATTTGACTATGTTTCACAGCGAAAAAATAAAAGAGAGGATTGATGTGCAACATACTCAACTCTTGGTTGACACACAAGTTGTAAAAAATAGAGCGAAGTTTCTGAATCTGTGCCAAAAGTTTGTTGGTTATCAGTCCAATGAGGTCAAAAATTTAAAAGATTGGTGAAGTGGTCGACATGCACAGTAGTTTCGATACCTATTATCAGTGGAGACACATGCATACCAGCGATTAATTAACATATTACATTGGCAAGGAAACACATATGCTTGCATTGTTAATCAAGAGATCCTAAATGCTGAATTTTGTTACCATCTTCATTAAGTTGAATCGTCATCTGTGCAAGTAGGAGTCAGATCTCTGAGCAAATAGATGAGGAAGGTGTGTATATATAACGAAGTTAAATGAAAATATGGGGTAAGTCAGTCAGTAGACAAGAGTAAATATCTATGACTAGTGATACGTCAAGGACATAGCTAACAGTCCGCTAAGTGCTCTAAAACAACCATGCTTTTTAATAAGACTTAAGGAGATTTACATGCTTTTAGACAGAACCTTTGAAGTCAAATACTATTGCAAGACCCCTTGGTTGATGAACTCAAAAAGAGACTCAATTTAAAGGAATATTTCTAAAGTCACAAACCCGTGTCCTTTATTCATAAAACCTAGCGCTAACGATGAACCATTGAACTCATAATCTTGAGAATTATCAGTAACATTGTAGTTTTACCTACTAAATCATAAGCCTAGACCGATGATCATTGAAGTCAGAGGTACTAATGAGTATTCCGATATTTTCGTAGATGAGTTCATCTATTCCAGTTACCTATATTATTTAAATGTAATTTTTTGTTTATCAAAGCTCTAACATATTTCTGCTTAGATGATTAGCCGGAGCTCCTTCGCCATTTAAAAATTAACTCTATTAGTTTAGCGCATATAAATTAATGCCTCGTTATTGGTGAAGATATTATGACAGTTCCGGACCAAATATTTGTCTACTTACCATATTCAGAATTAAGTGCTTCTATCATGGAACGGTCCGTTTCAGCGTAGTGTCTCTGAAACATTATTCTGTTCTATATAAATAGTTTGCAGGTTGGTGACGAATTAAGTGGATGGTTCTGATTTTCTATAAGACTATCCATCAGCTTTACGGCTTAGAAAACATAAATTTAGACTCTCAAAGTAAATCGTAATTCACTAAATTATGGCAGTAAACTTTTCACCAAACATCACCACAATGAACTCGAGTTAATTTGGTGGCATAGTTGTGAAAGTAGAACTTAATTTGTTAGAAACGAATCCCCTAACACTTACCATCACCACACACTTTTTCCTTTATTACACTTTTGATAGATTCGAATCCACTAGTTTTGAAGCCGAATATTATGGGTGCAGTTGTTTTACACTGCCCTGGATCTTTGGAAGTTATTAGTAGGCGTACTAACTGTCGAATTTCTAATAATTGATGTGATAACCACTATCTGACTTGCTATATCTCACGTCTTGAAGTTGTAGGATCACTAATGAGTAATTGATAGGATCTTATTTACCTAAGTGAATATAGGTTTAACGTCCCGTTGCTGCTTAACAGTTAAATGTTGGCTTTCCCACAGCTACTACTTTTAATATTAACATGACAACTCTGCGAAGTGCTACTACATACTGCCAGTTTTTCTACGACACCCATTCCTTCAATATTCCTTGGACTTAATTCTCCTTACCTACATTAAAATCATGGTTTTGAAATACTTATTTACTCACTAACTTATCGCTCCATTTAGAAATGCTGTAATCTAGACTGTCATAGATTCGCAACAGATACGTAAACTATTTATTCGGAAACTCTACACTGGTTGGATAACCGAGGTACATCCACTTAACTGTTGTTTGAAAAACTTTTCGTATCAAAAACCAACGGGATCTAACTTACAGTGCAAGCCCTACCAATGCTTTGTACCGAAAAGTATTTGAACTAGGCTCGTAAAAGTGAACAGACCTATCGTATGAAGACAGAGTGAAACGCCTTAACCGTAGGTTACGAGATGATTTAATACTGGCTTGCCTTATACTGAACTTGTTGGATCACTACCTATTTGTTACCCCGTAAAGTGACTGAAACTCTACCTGTCGACGCATTCAAGAGGAAGCCGGACTAAATGGGTGATTAATATTGCCAGGATCAATACAGACCATTCAGCCTGATATCCTTTCGAAACTGAGACTGAAACTGATTATTTTCATCAACCTGCCTTATCTTGTCCTTCTAGCTAGGACTGATCAGCTGAGAGGACATTCTAGGAAAGTTTAAAAACCCAGGCCAGACCATTTATGCCTAGAACTTTGTTTATCACATTGAGTAGTAACCTACCAGAAGTCTCTACCGCAATGTTTAACAACAGCACCTATTGACGCACTCTGAGATAGGATCCTCACAGTACTAAAATTAGAAGTATCAACACGGACCTACTGAACTTTTATCTTTACTACTAACGGTTGAACCAAATATAGCAAATGATAAGGCTTAATTTACTTGAAACGGGGATATTGTCTTAACTTATTCCACCCAATATGGGGATAAACACTACAACAAATACTAAATAAGTCGCCGTAACGCGCGATCTTAAAGATTTTTCCAAATGTTTACTTTTAAATGAATTCGACTAATATTAACATTTTGATAATACTTTCTCCTCATCCAATCACAAGAAAATTCCATTTGCACCTTGAAAGAGTTTAGCCTGCCAATCTCTTCGAAATAAACACACTATGTATACGCCGTAAAGTGTCTGTTAGGCTGAGGATTTAGCAAGACAAATTTTACCATACAGTTATAGTTTATTAAAAACGATCATTCATCAACGGTTGCATTAATTCATGCACTGATCTGGACATTTATATTAACATTGTTCTATTCATTATACATACTACACTAAATACGGTTCAACATATAGGTCTCTGACGCATTCCTCTGTTTCACATAAAAATAGCAGTGAATGCATACGTAGCCGATCAAAATATTAAGTTGACGTACCGCAAATTGCAAAATGTTGCGCGTCCAATCCTCAGTTTCAATAATAGGGATGAGGAATTCTCTGACTTGTCTAAATCTTTAGATTAATTATCTGTCTGGGAAGTTAGTTGTTTTGCTAGTGTCTACCATCTGTCATGGGCTTAGTGACCCCATCCCATAAAAAACTCACTCGCTATAAAACGCTAACCAGAAAACGTAATTCAAACCATTCTAATTCATCCCTGGGAGTTAGCAGGTCTTTACTCAGAAGATTTATGACGCCTCATGATGAAATCAAAGTTCCTTCCGGAGTCACGAAGCCGATGCTCCTTCTCACAACCAGAGCAACCATTCTCTCAGGTACATGGAATGCCCGAACATTGTGGGAGACCTAGACAGTCATCCAAGTCGCTGCAGAAATGGAAAGATACAACCTCGAGGTTCTCAGTATCAGTGAAATGCGTTGAACGCAAATCGGGCAACTGGGACAAGGTTCAGAAAAGCTGCTGTTGTACTCCGTCCATAAAGAAGAAAACGCCTCACATACACAGTGAGTTGCACCGGTGCTATCCAAACAAGCACAAAAGACACTGACACTAACACTGGGACTCCCATGAGCCCAGGACTATCAAAGCTTCCTGCAAAACAAAGAAAGAGGACATTACAATGAACGTCATCCAATGCTATGCACCTACCGATGACTGCAATGACGACTATAAAGATCAATTCTACGAAAGGCTGCAGTCAGTCGTCGACAGGTGCTCATCAAAGAATTTGATGATTCTGATAGGAGACCTAAATCCCAAGGTTGGAATGGACAAAATTGGATATAAAGACATCATGGAATGACATAGACTGGGAGAAAGTAACGAAAATGGTGAGAGATTTCCAAACCTATGTGACTTCAACAAATCGGTCTTCGGCGGCACCATATTCCCACACAAACGTATATACAATGTAACCTTGGTTTCACCAGATCATATTGCGGAGGACCAAATCGACCACATTTGCATTAATGAGAAGTTCAGAAGGATCATGAAAGATTTAATAACAAAGAGAGGAGACGACATACAGCAAATGCAAGAGAAGACGACCAGGGTAGCAGCAGCAGATCGACACATACACAAAGGCAACTGATACAAAACAACATGCACAAACCACATCACTTTTATGGGGATGCATTGGAGGATGTTAAATCCTCTACATAACTGGGCAGCATCAGTCATCCAATCGTAAAGTGAAACTTCGTACATGAGTACATAAGCTCAGGAACAAGTCAGAAAGGAGCGCCAGAATTGGATAGGACACACATTGAAGAAAACACCCAACTGCGTCACAAGACAAGACCTGACTTGTAACCTCAAAGTAACGGGAAAGAAGGAGGGCCAAGAAACACATTACGCCGAGAAATGCAGACAGACATGAGAATACTGGAAAAAATAGGACAGAACTAGGAAGGGAAGCCGACGATAGAGTAGGTTGGAGAATACTGGTAAGCGGCCTATGTTCTATTAGAGGTAACAGGTAGCAGTAAGTCAGTAAATAAGTAAGTGGGTAAGTAAGTAAGTGAGTAAATAAGTAGGTAAGAAATTAAGTAAGTAATATCTTCAGTTGTGAGCCTCCATTTAGTCTGGTACAGCGACTGATATGCTGTTGGTTTGTCCCTTATTGTAAAGTTGAATTTAAGCTCCCTTGCGATGTTAGTACTCACTTTCTTGGATTTTACTGCGTATTTATGTATTTAATTCTCATTATTTTTACAATCCTTTTGTATATCGTTGTATATTTCTTCGTCTCTCAATCAACAACTTATGCCACTTACATTTAATAACACATGTGTCTGCTCCTGTTATCCAAGAGTTGGATTCCGCAATCACAGCATGACAGCCCCATTTACTCGGTTCTTTGCTGCATTGAAGGCATTGTGGAATGAGCTCACGACATTACACCTAGTATATTTACTGGGGTTGCTGAGAAACATCATGAAACTTTAGAAGAAGTTATGCCTGGACGCAAAGACCTAATGAATTAACGAAGGTCAGATTAACCTTTCCGCACTGTTGAAAGGATGCAAGGCTCGAAAGTTCTGATGGTTACTGACCAAAAATCATTCGGTGAAGATCTCTTTAAACAAGTACTTCTATCTTAGACCCATCAACAGATTAAGGCAGTTTTCTTTTCCTTCCACCATAACGCCGACGATAAACTAACTTTATATGACAAGTGCAATATATAGACCAAAAGAAGTCCTAGCATCGAAATTTTTTCCTTCGAGATAAGGTTTCACCCGGCCGAAAACAAATTAGAGCAGCTCTGCCGAACATCCACCCTCCCTTCAATCTTTAGAGTTACTACGGACGGTCTAGAAATGTCTAAATTAGCCATCAGCGAATAAAACGAATTCATCTTTCTAGAAATAGATTACCAAGCCGGGTTTCTAAAGGACTTCAGCAAGACAGCTTACTTTAATAAGCGATCTTTCACGCTACCATACAGATTTGTCACGAACTCTTTAGTCTGAATTTGGCATGCTATCAAACAAGAGTATACGCCTAGGTCACTCTCCTTTTTCAAACAAGTATACTCCAGGTATCACTTTCTTTGGACCCATCATTTGAACGGTTGCCCATTTTTCATTTATTCCTGAGGCCGACTTCGGCTACATCACTTAGTTTACATTCCTTTGTTAGATAAACTTAGAAAGCTCATGTAAAAGAAATCGGTGCCCCCAGTGAATATGTTTCTTAATTCTTTCCATAAATCTAAGATTGCAGATGGTTGACATAATTCAATTAACATCTGTTGTAATGTGAATGTATATTGATCACTGAATTGAGTTTTCAGCGAACGCTCATCACCTCATATGATCCAACGAATTCACATTGTTTTGTTCGTAAAATACCGCCCAACTATGAACCAAGACACTGCTTGCAGACTTAGAAACAACGCATATACACTATTAACGGCAAAACACAAAAAATCATTGCCTTCTAATTTCTTTGTAATACGATACAGTCTACTGTGGAACAGGTTACCAATCGCTATTCGTATCTGTGACACAATCACTAAGTTCAAGAAACTAGTCATGTTGTTGCTAGATTCTAAAGAGATTTATCGACTATTCCCAGAACTCACACAAAGTCCCCAGGCACTCTTTTATGGTCCACCAAATATTTAGATAAACCTCAGAAACTAATTATAGACTATGACCATATTGTGTTCTCATTACCACCCATACATGCATCATGAAATGGTAGACAAATCCCCCTGCTCCTACTAACAGCAATAGGTTACGCCTTTGAGGTGTTAACCGTGACTTTTCTCTGCTTTTAAATTCCAATCATTATTTTCATATCTTCATAGCAGTTTTAGTTTTTATTTCTAGTAGACAGACAAATTGACAAGCCTGTAGATGCTGATCAACTACTGTCAATTACAAGGAACTCAAACACCATGTATAATTGTGAGTATCTTCTTATTTACGTATTAACAGTTTAACTTATTTTTATTTCCCCAATTCATTAACATCCAAACACCTTGCCTGCTTACCAACTTATCGCTTTACTCATTAATTTTTAACATTATTTCAACTCTTTTTTTTCACTTTCTCCTCGTTCCAGCTCCCTGTCCTTCCTATTTCCAAACTACCCATTAACTGACTCATCTTACAAATTATACCATTCGTTTACTTAAAATCAGTGTGATATGCTAAGTGGATATATTATCTGGCAAAGTTGTCTGGATTGCTTGTAATGTTGGAGCTAGTAGAGAATGTTAATACCGATAAGGTGTACAAAAAAAAATTGAGAGTAGACTAGAGACCATTATTTACAATTAACCATTAAACGTAAGAGAGCCTAACATCACAAAAGGAGAAAGGGTGGTGTATCTGACCAGCATTCATGACGGTGGGGTGATAACCTCAATCTACCCATGTCTGGGTGGCAGAACATTTTGTTTGCTTACGGCTCCTTACGATATAGCAGGATGTAACAAATCAGTGATATTGATGTTACTTTTCCTAGTTAACCTCGTCTACAACCCATGTCTGCAACCTTGCGCTGGTTTTTACTTCCTACCGAGAAATCCTATTACAAGCTGGTCTGGACAACTATACTAAAAAAGAGCTTTTAGTGAGCGAGTCCGGAAACCAGCTTGACTATGCCCACCACTAAATGTTCCATATGGTTGCGTGATAAAAAGGAGAACAAAATAAATCCACAGTTCAGTGGTTTATTGAAGGAGAACGTTGGCGTTACATAGGGAGCAGAAACATGGCGGCAACGCGAAGAGAAACGTTGCGCGCAAGAAGTAGTAGAAGTGTTTTTGGTTAAGTTAAACAAAGCGAGTACAATAATGTTTACATTTCAAAAATCGCATTTTCTTCGTAGATGCGTTCCACTACAGCAGCCCCCGCCTAGAAAGGGTTTACACTTTCGATACATAGCGGCTACGTTTGACGGGGGGCTGGTCGGCCAACATTTGGTTTTAGCGCGGAAGGGTTGACGAACAGGAAGCGACCAATGAAGCTCGAGTTGTCACCGATAGTCTTCTAGGTTGAACTGTACCAGTAGTAACGTGCCAGGTTTGCTGCTCGAGTTGATGTGCCAAGTTTGTCTATCGGGTTGGCATGCCACACCAGCGTGGCTCGTATCCAGAGTCTGACGATTGCTTTCGTAGGCGTTCGGACCAGATAAATCTGCAAACGTAGGACGGAACCAGATTGAGCGGAGCCAGAAACGACCAGTGCGAAACCATTCGTATACCAGATATATTCGTAGCCAGAAAATCGACTGAGTGCATTGACAAGAGCGTGGGTGATCAGGCCAGCTTTCGTCAAGGTTGACTGAAGTCGACGGTACCAACAGGGCAATGGTCGAAGGTATAGGCTCGGGATAAAAAAAGAAAAGGGAGAAAAGTGTAGCATGCATGTAGTACGAGTGTAAAATCCTATGCCGAACCCGTGGTTGATTGGTAGTTATTCGAGAAAGCGTACAGGTAGGCGTACGCGGCG